ACGCTGGGCGGCGGCTTCGGCTGGCTGTCGCGCAAGTACGGCCTGACCGCCGACAACCTGCTGGCGGTCGAACTGGTGACGGCGGAGGGGCAGCTGATCCGTGCTTCGGCGGAAGAGCACCCCGATCTGTTCTGGGCGCTGCGCGGCGGCGGCGGCAACTTCGGCGTGGCGGTCGGCTTCGAGTTCCGTCTCCATCCCGTGGGCCCGGAGGTGCTGTTCGGGCCGACCCTCTATCCGCTGGACCAGGCCGCTGCGGTGCTGCGCAACTTCCGCAACGTCGCCCCCGGCCTGCCACCGGAGGCCTGTGCCTGGGCCGACATGCTGACCGTGCCGCCGCTTCCCTTTCTCGACCCGCGCCATCACGGCACCCGGATGATCTCGGTGATGCAGTGCTATGCCGGCAAACCGGAGGACGGCGAAGCGGCGCTGGCACCGCTGCGCGGCTTTGGCGACCCGGTCGCCGATGCGGTCATGGCCCGGCCCTATACCGAGGCGCAGTCGATCTCGGACAGCTTCTTCGGCCACGGGCTGCGCAACTACTGGACCTCGGCCAACTACACGACCCTGAGCGACCGCAGCCTCGATGCCTTCGTCGAGCTTGCATCGAGAACGCCGACGCCACAGTCGGAGGTGATGATCCACCTCGTGGGCGGGGCGATCAACGATGTCGCGCCTGACGCCACCGCCTATCCTCACCGCGATGCGGTTTTCGTGCTCAGCCCCGGCGCGCGCTGGAGCGACCCGGGCGACGACGCAACCTGCCTGGCCTGGATCGCCGACTGCCGCAAGGCCCTGGCGGAGGAGTCGAACGGCGGCACTTACGTGAACTTCATCGCCGAGGGCGTCGGCCGCGAGCGGGAGGCCTATGGCCGCAACTACGCGCGCCTCGCCGCAGTGAAGCGCCGCTACGACCCGGACAATCTCTTCCGCATCAACCAGAACGTGGCGCCGTCATAACCGCGCCATGCAGGACGTCAGGCCGCGTCCCGCATCTTCCGGGCCGCCGCCGTCACCGCCTCGATCGTCGGATAGTTGGCCCGGTTCACCATCATGTCACGGGCGAGCCTGAGGCAACGGGTCTCGCAGGCAGCGCGGCGGTCCAGGTCTTCGATCCATTCCAGGTCGATGTTGTGAGCGAGGCCCAGGATGCGGCGGATCATCTTGGCGGCGGCGAAACCGACGCTGTCGGTGAAGAGGCGGTCCATGTAGGCCTCCTGTTCGGCCTTCAGCGCTTCGGCGCCGGCGGTATCGGCAAAGAGCGCGGCCGGGTAGGCATCCCCTGTCGCTCCGTTACGCCAGAGCGCCAGAAATTTGGCACGGAAGCCGGTCCAGACGCCCTCGGTCGCCGCCAGCACCCAGTCCTGATAGCTCTCGCGCGGGTCCTCCGGCGTCGCGTGGCCGTCCTGGCTGAAGTAGTTGATCAGCAGGTTGGCGATGACGGCGCCGATGTCGAAGCCCATGGGTCCGTAGAAGGCGAACTCCGGGTCGATCACCCGGGTGTCGTCTTCGGTCACCATGACGGAGCCGGTGTGCAGGTCGCCGTGGATCAGCGCCTGGGCCTCCGACAGGAACTTCAGCTTGAGGCGCGAGACCGCCACCTTCAGCGCCGCGTCCTCGCGGAACTCCCGGGCGATGCCGTCGAGCTGCGGCGTCGTCCAGCGGTTGTTCTCGGCGATCCTGTAGGGCTCGGTGAAGATCAGGTCCTCGGTGATCTTGCAGAGCGCGGTGTTGCCGCAGAATTCGGCCATGGCGGCCTTCTTCTCCTCCGCCGTGAGCGCGAGGTCCGAGGTGCCGAAGAGCGTGCCCGCCATGAAGGTGGTGATCGCCTCAACGAAGCCCGGATAGCGCACCGCTTTGATCATGCCCTGGCGCATGATGATGTGCGGCTGCAGCAGTTCCATGACGATGAGCGCCAGGGTCTGGTCGTAGTGCAGGATGTCGGGCACCAGGCCGGGCGCGTGCTGCGCTTCGGTGGCGAGCGCCATCTGCTCGAAGTGGGCGCGGCTGAGCGGCAGCGGCCAGGATTCGCCGACAAGGCGCACGTAGGGCAGGGCCTGTTTCACCGCGACGCCGCCGGCGGGTCCCTCGACGATGAAGACCAGGTTCAGGTTGCCGTCGCCGACCTCCCGCACCCGCCAATCGCCGGCCGCGCCGCCGAGGTGCGCCGCGACGGCCGAGACACCGGACAGGTAGGCCGCCAGGCTGGCTTCGCTCTTCGGCTCGTAGCCCTCCGGCACCGGCAAACCGCCGGCTGTCCGTTCCCCGTCCGTCGATTCCCTGGCCACCATGCAAGACCCTCCCTTTTTTGCCTGCTTCGATCTTTTTCGCCTCGGCCTTGGCCGGGCCGCAGGATAGCAGCGGGCGGCGCAGACGCCAGACGGACCCGTAAAGGCGTGTCCGGTCAATCGTTTAGCGGAAATGGATGATTCTGCAGTCGGGGTATCAGGAAGTGTTACTCCCTGTGGGAAAACTCACCGTACGCGCGATCAGCCTGAACCATAGTGTATGGGCAGCCGACCAATGCTGCATCGTCCCCCTCAGGGGCAAGCCGCACCACACGCCTTTCACCGCCAAGGCTAAAAAACTAGGAGAGCCCTGTGCCCAAGTTCTTTCGGGCCAGCCTGCTGGCCTTGGCGACATCCGCGGCCCTGAGTGCCCCGGCGTCCGCCGATATCAAACTCATCAAGGATGCCTCTTTCGGCGCTTCCGACAGCTATCTGAACAACCCCCCGGCGCTGGTCTTCGTGCCCAAGAACGGCAAATACGAGGTGCAGAAGTCGGGGAACTACCAGGTCAAGCTGCACCTCAAGGCGGAAAAGAAGTGGAATGGCCGGATCACCAAATGGGAAATCGTGGAGACGAGCGCCGGCGGTGGCACGATCGCCAGCAATGGCTTTCAGGACAGCTCTCTGAAGAAGCTCAATAAGACGGTCACCTTGAAGATCGACTGGAACAAGCTGAAGCACTTCGAGGCGAAGGGCCGCAAGGTCTGTGAGCAGCACGGCAAGCCGGACGAGAAAGTCATCAAGTCCATTAAAGGAGTACGCTTCGAGTTCTCCAGCTTTATCAAAGCCCAGAACAAGAACAGGACCGATACCTGGAAGGACTGGGATTACGTGCCGATCCGCGTCGTCTGCATGCCGGAGCCCTTCGCCGTGAAGGACGTGAAGCTGTCGGTGAAGTTCCACAGCTCGCCGTTCCAGTGCCCGGTGAAAGCCACCCTGAAGGCCGAGTTCGAGGGCAACAAGCCCGGCACCTTCAAGTTCCGGATCTTCCGCGATGACGCCGCCACCCAGGACCTCGTCACCCAGGACGTCACCCGGACCATCGGCAATGCCGGGAAAGTCAGCTACACCAAGCACTACACCTTCAAGAAGGCGGCGAAGCGCAAGTATCTGATCGCGGTGATCGGCCACCCGGTCGCCACCCAGTGGGTGCCTATGAACGTGAACTGCAACCCGAAGATCGACGGGTTCCAGGCCCCGACCAAGCCGCAGACCACCAACTACTGACGCTTAGGCCGTCTTAGAGGATGGAGCGGTGCTGCGCTGCGCCGCTCCGTCCCGGCCCCGCGCGAGACCGTTTTTACCCCCGCGTCTGAACCCCAACCCCAACCTTTTCGACAGACTAGTCACCGCCTCGTTAGGGGGCGCACCTCAATCCTTGCCTTTCCACCGCCGGGGCAGTTCCAACTAGGGAGATTTTTTCGTGTCCAGGTTACTGAAAACGACTTTATTGGCTCTGACCGCGGTGGCTCCCCTGGTGACCGGCGTCCTGAGCGGCCCGGCTCTTGCGGCGAGCGGCGGCATGAAGAACACATCATTCTCGGCCACACCTGTAGGCGATCTGCCGACCCTGGTTTTCCAGGAGAAGAATGGCAAGTACGTCTTGGGGAAGGGAGGGCCGAAGGCCACCATCAAGTTCCGTGTGAAAGCAGAGAAGAGGAGGAGCTTTCGGATTGTCGGGTATCGTATCGATAGTATGAATTCGGAAAGAAAGCGGATCACTCAGGTCCGGAACTTTTCCGTGAAGAAACTCGACAAAACGATCATGCACGAGATCAAGCCGGCCGAATTGCAGACCTTCACTGAGCTGGGCCGCAAGGTTTGTGAAGACGAGGGCGACCTGCAACAGGAGATCAGGAAGACCATCAAATCCGGCTCGACCTACATGCTTTCCCTAACAGCGCGCAGAAAGCAGATTGGCGGATATGGGTTCGATTACCGCTACGCCTATGCATCCGTTCCCGTCCGAATCATCTGCAAGCCCGAGCCCTTGAGGGTGATCGACGCCGACCTCACGGTGAAGTTCGACGGCTCGCCCTTCAGTTGCCCGGTGAAGGCGACGCTGACGGCGAAGTTCAAGACCAACAAGCCCGGCACCTTCAAGTTCAACCTTTACCGCGGCGATGGCGAAGTCCAGACGGTCACAAGAACCGCCGGCGCATCCAACACCGTGACTTTCACGAAGCGTTACACCATCAAGAAGCCCACCAACCGCAAGTATCTGGTCGCCACGATCCCGTCCGGCGCCGCGAGCGGCTGGGTGCCGATGAAGGTGCATTGCAACGGCAACGCCGGCGGCATCCAGGCGCCGAAGAACCCTCACTCCACCAACCACTAACCTGAAACCCTTTGCAAAGACGCCGGCGCCCCGGGAAACGGGGCGCCGGTTTTTTTGTATTGGTGTCTTCGCGCCGTGTCGCCGGCGAGGGGCTTGGCCGGCCTTGGTCCCTTGACTTCGGCATCGCTGCCGAAGAATGATATCCTCAGCGTCGCAAAGCGCTTCGCAAGGCACGGAACGCGAACAAAAAAGAAGGCACCGGGGAGGACAGAGGGCATGCAGGCTGGTGCAGCCTCGGCCGCGTGGGGGGTCGTTTCGGTCCGTTCTGCAATCGATTGTGCAGTGGAGAACTGCGCTGGGAAATGCACGGCGGGCTGCGCAGGAGACCCTGCGGTATCCGGACGTTTTGAAGCCTTTCTGACGCCGGTGCGCGCCTGATGGCGGAGACCACCGCGGCCGCGGAACTCCCCGGCGCGCAGCCTGAGACGGCGGGCCCGCTGGACCGCGGCGATCCCGCGACCTACCCGGAATGGTTCACGACGCGCAAGCCGCGCGCCAACCTGATCGTCGCGCGCTGGGTGCCCATCGCCCTGGTCGGCCTGCCGGTGCTGGTGCTGTTCTGCATCGTGGTCTATCCGACGGTCTGGATGTTCTACCATGCGCTGCATGACACCAACATGATGCGACTGTTCCAGGGCAACTGGAACTATATCGGCTTCGAGAACTTCGCCACGGTGCTGAACTCCGACCGCTTCGGCGATTCGGTGGTGCATCTGGGCATCTACCTCACCTTCGGCGCCTGTCTGCAGGTGATCCTCGGCACAATCCTGGCCCTCATCCTCTATGAACTGGTGAAGAGCAACGCCCTTCGGGTCGTCCTGCTGATCGCCATGGTGCTGCCGATGATGCTGCCGCCCTCGATCGTCGGCGTGCTGTGGAAGTTCCTGCTCACCCCCTCCAACGGCGCCATCAACCAGGCGCTCCTGAACCTGGGGCTCATCGACCAGCATATCGAGTGGTTCAACGCCGGGCTCTCGCTCTGGACCATCATCATCGCAGACGTCTGGAACTGGACGGCGCTGCCGCTGCTGATCGTCTACTCGGGCCGTGTCTCCCTGCCGCCGGCGGTCTATGAGGCGGCGCGGGTCGACGGGGCGGGCGCCTGGACCACGCTCAGGCGCATCACCCTGCCGATGCTGAAGGAGGTGATTGCCATCGCCTTCATCGTGCGCTTCATGGATGCCTTCAAGTTCGTCGACCTGGTTTTCATCATGACTTCCGGCGGGCCGGCCCAGTCTTCCGAATTGCCGGCCTACATCGCCTTCCAGCGCGGCATCCGCGAGTTCGCCATCGGCGAGGCGGCGGCCTACGCCATCGTCATCTTCATCGTCTCCGCCGTGCTCATCACCCTCTTCCTGAAGTATCTGAAGAAGGTGCTGAAGGCGCAGGGATTTGCGTGAGGGCGGCATGAGCAAATCCAACTACCGCCTCGTCAAGCTGCTGTTCCTGTCCTTCATGGGCCTGTGGCTGCTGATCACGCTGTTCCCCTTCTACTGGCAGGTCATCACCGCCTTCAAGTCGGCGGCGGAGACCAACCGCACCATCCCGACCTTCTGGCCGGAGGTCTGGCATCCGCAGAACTTCGTCTCGGTTTTCGCCGAGGCCTCCAACTTCAACGCCCTGGTCGACAGCTTCATCATCGCCACCGGCAACACCCTGGCCTCGCTCTTCCTGGGCACCCTGGCGGGCTATGCCTTCGCCCGTTTTCCGCGCCAGGCCGGTGGCGAGAACCTGGCCTTCTGGGTGCTCTCAAACCGCATGTTCCCGCCGGTCGCCGTGGTGCTGCCGATGTTCTTCCTCTTCGACGCGACGCCCTGGGGCACCGACAGCCATATCTCCCTGATCATCCTCTACCTGGTCTTCAACATGCCGCTGGCGACCTGGCTGATGATGGTTTTTTTCCGCGACGCGCCGCGGGAACTGGAGGAGGCGGCCTATCTGGACGGCTACACCCCCTTCCGCGCCTTCTTCAAGGTGACGTTGCCGCTGGTGCTGCCGGGCATGATCTCCGTCGCCATGCTGTGCTGGATCTTCGCCTGGAACGAATACCTCTTCGCCAACCTGCTGGTCGGCACCGACGTGCGCACCTACACCATCGTCATCCCGACCTTCACCCACGGCAGCCAGACCCTCTGGAACCTGCAGATGGCCTTCAGCCTCATCGCCATGCTGCCGCCGGTGCTCCTCTTCATCCTGCTGCGCCGCTACATGGTGCGCGGCCTTTCTCTCGGCGTTGTGAAAGGCTGAAGCGATGTCGAGACTTGAAATCGAGGGACTCTGCAAGGGCTGGGACTTTCCGGTCATCGACCGCCTGGACCTGACGGTGGAGGAGGGCGAGTTCTTCGTCGTCGTCGGCCCCAGCGGCATCGGCAAGACCACGCTGCTGCGCCTCGTCGCCGGGCTGGAGCGGCCCGATGCCGGAACCATCCGCGTCGGCGGGCGCGACCTCACCGCTTTGCCGCCCTACCGCCGCAAGGTCGCCATGACCTTCGAGAGCTATGCGCTCTATCCCCATCTGACGGTGTTCGAGAATATCGCCAGCCCCCTGCGGGCGCGGCGCCTGTCCAAGAGCCAGATCACCGAAACCGTGGTGGCGGTGGCGCAGCTGCTGCGCATCGAACAGCTGCTGAACCGCCGCCCGGGCGAGATCTCCGGCGGGCAGAAGCAGCGCACCGCGCTGGGCCGCACCCTCGTCGCCCAGCCCGATGTGTTCCTGCTGGACGAACCCATCAGCCATCTCGACGCCAAGATCCGCCACGAGCTGCGCCTGCAGTTCCACACCCTGGAGGAACTGCGCTCCGTGGCGACCCTCTACGTCACCCACGACTATGCCGAGGCGCTCTCGCTGGGCGACCGCATCGGCGTCATGGGTCACGGCGGGCTGGTTCAGGTGGGCTCGGCGCGGGAGCTGTTCCAGCAGCCGCAGCATCTTCTCGTCGCCCAGCACCTGGGCCAGCCGAGCATCAACGTGGTCGAGGCCTCGCTGGCGTCGTCCGGCGACGACCTGAAGTTCACCGCGGAAGGCGCGAGCCTGACCCTGCCGGTGGCGGGGCCGCATCGCTCGGTGCTCTCCGGTCTCTCCGGCCGCGGCGCCGGGCGCATCACCGTCGGCATCCGCCCCCAGCATGTCCAGGTGGTCGCGAACGGAGAGACGGCGAATGGCGATGCCGTCGTCGACGCCACGGTGTCGATTTACGAAGCGCTCGGCGCTGCCGGCATTCTGGTGGCGGAAAGCGGTGGCGTGAGGCTGACGGCGCTGACGCCCCCCAACGCCGTCTTCCAGCATGGCGAGCCGGTGCGGCTTTCTCTGCGCAACGAGACCTTTCTCTACTTCGATGCCGACAGCGGCCGCAACGTGATGGTGGCCTGAGATATGGCGCGGGTTTCCCTGAAGGACGTGAACAAGGTCTACCGCTCGCGCCACCACGAGGTGCATGCGGTGAGCGACCTGAACCTCACCATCAACGATGGCGAGTTCGTCGCTTTGCTCGGCCCCTCGGGCTGCGGCAAGACCTCGACCCTGCGCATGATCGTCGGGCTGGAGGACATCACCTCGGGCGAGATCCATTTCGACGACACCCTGGTCAACAGACTGGACTCCCAGGCCCGCAACGTGGCCATGGCCTTCGAGACCTACGCGCTCTACCCCAACTTCACCATCGAGGAGAACCTGGCCTTCCCCCTGGAGGTGCGCGGAGTCGCGCCGGCAGAGCGCCGCAGGAAGGCGCGGGAGATCGCCGAGATCCTGCGCATCGACGACATCCTCGATCAGCGGCCCAGCGCCCTTTCCGGCGGCCAGCAGCAGCGCGTCAGCCTCGGCCGTGCCCTCATCCGCGACCCGGCGGTCTTCATCCTCGACGAGGTGATGAGCCACATCGATGCGCACCTGAAGTTCCAGATGCTCTTCGACCTGAAGGCCATTCATCAGGAAATGAAGAAGACCATGGTCTATGTGACCCACGACCAGGTCGAGGCCCTGGCGCTGGCCGACCGGGTGGCGGTTATGAGCCACGCGGAACTGCAGCAGGTGGGCACGCGCAACGATCTCTATCACACGCCCGCCAACGTCTTCGTGGCCGACTTCATCGGCGAGCCGCCGACCAACTTCTTCGAGGCGGAGCTCTTCACCGGCGGTAACGGCACGGTTCTGAAGGTCCAGGGCACGGACCTGGAGATTGCGTTGGAGGAAGGCCATGCCCAGCGTATCGCGCGCTGGAACGAGAAACAGCTGACGGTGGGGATCCGGCCCCAGGCGCTGCATCTGGGCGGCGACCCCAGCCTGCCGGCGCTGGAGGCGGAGGTGGCGATCAACGAGTACCTGGGTGAGCGCTCCATCCTCACCATGGTCAATGGCCGGCAGACCTTTCGCGCCGTAGTCGATGCCGACACGGCAGCGCAGCGCGGCGACAAGGTACGGGTGCACTACGCGCTCGACGACGTGATGGTGTTCAGTGGCAAGACGGAGTTGATTATTCTTTAGACGGTCAGAAAACAGGCGCGCAGGGACCGGCCTCGGCGGTCGATCTTTCAGGGCGCGGAACCGCCCGGCACCGAAGAGGGCCGGCCAATCGAAGAGGGAGGAAGCAGCTATGGGTCTCTTTAGCGGATTTACGCGGCGAAAGTTCCTGCAAGGGGCGGCCGCCGGCGCCGCGGCGGCCGGGGGTCTGATGCCCGGTGCCTCATTGGGCGCAACGGCGGTGCCGCCGGGCAAGAAGCTCTTCAAGGACGTGGAGCTGACCTACTTCCAGGATTCCAACTGGCTGCACTCGCCGCTCTGGCTTTCGCCGCATCTCATGAAAGAGGCAGGCGTCGGCATCAAGAGCCGCGAGATGTATGACGGCGGCGACGCGGTGGCGAAGATCCTGCCGCAGCTTCTGTCCCGCCGCCCGCGCTTCGACTGGGTGCAGTTCCCCAGCCTGTTTTTCGGCGCATTCGCCGAGACCGGCCAACTGGAGCCGCTGGACGACTACTTCGCGCAGTACGCAGGCAGCCAGGACTATCTCGACTGGGTCATGCCGGCCTACCGCGAGTTCTACACCAAGTGGGACAACAAGACCTACGGCGTGATGCTGGACGGCGACATCCACATCCTGCATTACCGCAACAGCTACTTCCAGGATGCCGAACTGCGCAGCAAGTTCTCCAAGCGCTTCCAGCGCGAACTGGAGGTGCCGAAGACCTGGCTCGACTTCGTCGATGCCACCCAGTTCTTCACCGAGGAACTGAGCAGCCAGGGCGTCTACGGCACTTCCATGGTGGTGAATCCGCCGAACTTCGGCTGGGGCTTCTGGATGGATATCGCCGCCTCCGCCGGGGTGAACTACTTCGATGAGAACATGAACCCCACCATCAACCAGGGCAAGGCGGCGGAGAGCCTGGATATCTACAAGGAGATCATCAAGTTCGGCCCGCCGGGCGCCGAGGCCATGGACATCGGCACCACCATCCAGCGCTGGCAGTCCGGCTCCGACGTCATGTCGGTCTGGTGGATCGACCTGTCAGAGTTCACGGTGCAGCAGCAGGGCCCGGAACTGGCGGAAGACCAGCGCGGTGCCATCGTCCCGGGCTGGCTGAACGACGACGGCTCGATCACCAACCGGGCGATCTCGCTGTGGTGCCGCACCGCTTCCATCCCCAAGAACATCCCGCAGGATGTGAAGGACGCGGCCTTCTACTTCATCTACCGCATGTCCCATCCCGACTACTCCAACGAGATGGTGGCCGACGAGTACTGCGGCTCCGACCCCTACGGCAAGACCCACTACGGCGATGCCGCGGCGCAGCTCTATCTGCAGGCCAATCCGCAGCGCGGCACCGACAACGAGCTGTGGTCGACCAACGCCGGCATCTTCAAGAACTTCGAGACCGCCAAGAACCACCTCGACGCCGGTCTCGCCAACGTCGAGGTCGGCTATCCGCAGTTCTTCTGGGAAGGCACGCCGGAATACGCCGACGCCCTGGGGCGCAACATCTCCAAGGCCGTCTCCGGCGAACTGACCAGCCAGCAGGCGCTGGACGAGGCGGCGGAGGAATGGGCGCAGATCGCCCAGAAGCTCGGCCTCGACAGCCAGAAGCGGCAGTACAAGAACTTCATCGATGGGGCCCGGGCGCTCGGCTACAAGATCTGAGCGTCTGACATCGCGGAAGTAAGCGTCACCCCCACCCCATCCCTCCCCCATCAAGGGGGAGGGGGCACCAAGAGGCCGTTGGGGTCTCCTTTCCTCCCCCCTTGTGGGGGAGGGTCAGGGTGGGGGATCTTTTTTGGTTGGCAATCGCCGTGCAGGTTTGGCCGGTAAGGCTCCCGACGGAGGGCAGGCATCATGAAGAAGATTCTCAACGATCCCTTCAGCTATGTGGATGAGATGCTGGAGGGCCTCTGCATGGCCCATCCGGAATTCTACGCCCAGCCCGAAGCCCGGGTGATCGCCCGCGCCGGCGGCGCCACTCAGGGGAAGGTGGGCATCGTGACCGGTGGTGGCTCCGGTCACCTGCCGATCTTCACCGGCTATGTCGGCAAGGGGCTCTTGGATGCGGCTGCCATCGGCGACGTTTTCGCCTCGCCCTCCGTCGAGCAGATGGCCGCCGCCATGCGCCACGCCAATGGCGGGGCCGGAATCCTGCGCCTCTACGGCAACTACGGCGGCGACGTGATGAACTTCGACATGGCCGGCGAAATGCTGGAGATGGAGGACATCGCCTCCACCACCGTACTGCTGGCCGACGACATCGTCTCCGCGCCGCCGGAGGAGGCGGCCAAGCGCCGCGGCGTCGCCGGCATGGTCTATGCCTTCAAGTGCGCCGGCGCCAAGGCCGAAGAGATGGCCGATCTGAGCGAGGTGACGCGGGTTGCCCAAAAGACCGCCGATGCCTGCCGCTCCATCGGCATGGCGCTCACCCCCTGCACGGTGCCGCAGGCCGGCAAACCCACCTTCGAGATCGGGGAGGACGAGATGGAGATGGGGATGGGTATTCACGGCGAGCCGGGCATCTGGCGCGACAAGCTGAAATCCGCCGATGCCATCACCGACGAGATGGTCGACCGCCTGCTGGCCGACATGCCCCTGTCCAAGGGCGAGCGCATCTCCCTGCTGGTCAACAGCCTGGGCGCCACCCCGCCGGAGGAGCTCTACATCATGTACCGCCGCGCCAAGGCGCGGCTCGACGACCTCGGCGTCACCATGGTCATGCCCCTGGTGGGCCGCTATGCCACCTCCATGGAGATGACCGGCGCCACGTTCACCTGGTGCCGTCTGGACGACGAGTTGGAGGCGCTGTTGAAGGCGCCGGCCGCCTGCGCCTTCTGGCAGGTCTAGGCAGGTCATGGCGGAGCTCACCAGTGCCGGCCTTGGGGCTGCGCTGCCAGGCCTGGCAGCGCATCTGGAGGCGCAGGCCGCCTTCCTCAACGAGGCCGACGCCAGGCTGGGCGACGGCGATCTTGGTGTCACCATGCAGCGCGGCGCCCGCGGGCTGATCGAGATTACCGACGATTTGCCGGATGACCTGGGCATGGCCTTCATGCGCTGCGCCCAGGCCTTCACCAAGACCTCCGGCTCCAGCTACGGCACCCTCCTGGCGACGGGGCTGATGGCTGCGGCCAAGGCCTGCAAGGGCCGCGAGGCCGTGCCCTGGTCGGAGACCTCGGCGCTGCTCGGCGGCGCGCTGGAGGCGATGATGGCACGCGGCAAGGGCGCACTGGGCGAGAAGACGGTGCTGGACGTTCTGGAGGCGGTCCGTGCTGCGACAGAGAGTTTGGACGCGCCGGGCCCGCTGCATCAGGCGGCGCTGAAGGCGACGGAGGAGACGATGGAGCGCATGCGCAGCCAGCCGGCGCGCCAGGGGCGCGCCCGCATGTTCGCCGAGAAATCGGTCGGCCTGGACGATCCCGGCATGCTGGCCTTCCGCGCGCTTCTGGAAGGGCTGAAAGGATGAGCGGTGACGGCCCCTATGTGATCGGCATCGACGGCGGCACGGAATCCCTGCGCGCCGGTGTCTTCGACCTTGCCGGCCGGCCGCTGGCCTTCGCCGCAACGCCCTATCGCACGGACTTTCCCCAGCCCGGCTGGGCGGAGCAGAACCCGAAGGACTGGTGGGCGGCGCTCGGCGCCTCGGTGCGCCAGGCGGTGCAGGAGGCCGGCATTGCTCCCGACGCGGTGGCGGCGCTCGCCCTCGACACCACCTGCTGCAGCGTCGTCGCCCTGGATGATAAGGGCGAGGCGCTGCGCCCGGCGCTGATCTGGATGGACGTGCGCTCCGCGGAGGAAACCGAGCGCGTCGTCGCCAGCGGCGATGCGGCGCTGAAGATCAACGGGGGTGGGGCAGGTCCGGTTTCGGCGGAATGGATGATCCCCAAGGCGCTCTGGCTGCAGCGCCATGAGCCGGAGACCTTCGACCGCGCCGCCACGATTTGCGAGTACCAGGACTACCTGAACTATCATCTCACCGGGCGCCGGGTGGCCAGCATCAACAACGCGGCGATCCGCTGGCACTACCTGGCCGCCGACGGCGGCTTTCAGCCCGGGCTTCTGGCTAAGCTCGGCATTGATGCGCTGATGGACAAGTGGCCGTCGGAGGTGCTGCCGCTGGGAGCGGTGATCGGCGGCCTTACGGCCCGCGCGGCGGAGCATCTGGGCCTGCCGAAGGACCTGCCGGTGGCCCAGGGCGGCGCCGATGCCTTCATCGGCATGATCGGGCTGGGCGTCGTGCGCCCGGGCTCACTCGCTTTCCTGACGGGTTCGTCCCACCTGCACCTCGGACTCAGCGAGACGGCCTTTCACGGCGCCGGCATATGGGGCACTTACGCCGATGCAGTCATCCCCGGCCTCCATGTGGTCGAGGGCGGCCAGACCTCGACCGGCTCGGTGGTGAAGTGGTTCCGCGAGCTGTTGGGCGGCGGCGTCACCTATGACGACCTGAACGTGGAAGCGAGAGATCTGCCGCCCGGTTCCGAAGGCCTCATCGTTCAGGATCACTTCCAGGGCAACCGCACGCCCCATACCGACCCGCTGTCGCGCGGCGCCTTTGCCGGCCTGACGCTGAAGCACGGCCGCGGGCACATGTTCCGCGCCATCATCGAAGGCATCGCCTTCGGCAGCGAACATATCCTGGAGACCATGCGCGGCCACGGTTTCCAGCCGCGCGAGATCGTTATCGCCGGCGGCGCCACGCGCTCCGACCTCTGGCTGCAGATCCATGCGGATGTGTCCAACGTGCCCTTGAGCCTCACCCGGGTGCCAGACGCACCCAGCCTGGGCTGCGCCATTCTGGCTGCCGTGGCGGCCGGGCAGTTTCCGGACATCCCCACTGCGGCCGATGCCATGGTGGCGGTGGAACGGGTCGTGGAGCCGGATCCGCAGCGGCACGAAGCCTACAGGCCCTTTTACGAGGCCTACAAGCACGCCTACCCGGCGCTCTCCGGCATCATCCGGCCGCTCGCAGCGGCGCCGGATCAGGGTTAGAGTGCTGCCGTAAAAGAGGGAGGCCCTAGGCCATGTTGAAAAACATCGATCCGATCCTGAGTCCCGATCTGCTGCGGGTGCTCGCGGCCATGGGGCATGGCGACGACCTCGTCGTTGTCGACGCCAACTTCCCGGCGGATTCCGTCGCGCGGCAGACGGTGGTGGGCAAGCTGGTGCGGCTCGACGGCGTCGATGCGGTGCAGGCGGTCAGCGCCATCCTCTCGGTGTTCCCGCTCGACAGTTTCGTCGAGGCGCCGGCCCGGCGTATGGAAATCGTCGGCGCGCCCGATGAGATCCCGGAGGTCCAGCAGGAGGTGCAGCGGGAGATCGACGATGCTGAGGGTCAGGCCCTGCCCATGGCCTCCGTCGAGCGCTTCGCCTTCTACGAGGAGGCGAAAAAGGCCTATGCCGTGGTCGCCACGACGGAGGGGCGGGCCTACGGCTGCTTCCTGCTGAAGAAAGGCGTGATCTTTTTCTAGTCCGCGGAACGCTCAGATCGCTGTGCTTCGCAACTGCTGGACCCAGGTGAGCCAGGCATGGCGCGGCCCCTCGGTGAGGACGCCGCCCTTGCGGATGTAGCTCAGATCGTGGCGGCCATCGGCGGTCTCCATCAGATAGCCAACCATGTGATGGGCCGCGAAGCCCAGGCAGGGCTCTGCGACCACCTCGTAGAGCAGGCCGTGGCCGTGATCCTCCAAGACGCGCCAGGTAAGGGCGCCGGGGCAGCTCACCTGGAACTGGCCCAGGCGCCGGTCCAGCAGCCTGCGCAGGCTGCCCTCGCCGGGACCCTTGCCGTTCCAGGACCTCAGGGCGACGCGCTGCGTCCAACCATCCAGGGATTCGTCGCGCCGCAGCCAGAGGCGGGATCTGCGGTCGCCCTCTTCTTCTATGGATTGTGCCAGGGTCCAGCCTTCGGGGGTCTGCAGGTTGAGGGCGGCCCCGGGAGGGGGCTCTGACCTTGCGCCCAAGGGCACGGCCTCGCAGGCAACGGCGGCCAGGGCGCTAAGCACCAGGGCCCAAAGGGTGAGGGCCTTCGGCATCGACTTTCTCCGGACAGGATGGAGTCTGCACTCTGGCGGCCTGCTGTTTCCCGATGACCTCCTCTCAGGGGAGTAATCGTTTCAATGGTATCAGCGCAGGCGAGTCCGGCAGGCGGCCGCGGAGGCCGCCCAGGACCGTCCTCTGCCCCGGATTTCCGGCCTTTTCACCGGGGTGTGGTTGAACCGCCGGGGTGCGGCGGATAGAGTGCCGGCTCCATTCCAGCCACGTGACAGGGCACCATGGCCAATCCAACGCACCTCAGCCTGCGCAAAGCGATCATCGCGGCTTGTTTGAAGATGAACGAGCTTGGCATCAACCAGGGCACCTCCGGCAACATCTCCGCCCGTATCGAGGGCGGCTTCCTGATCACGCCCTCCGGCATCCCCTACGAGAAGATGAAGCCCGAGCAGATCGTCGAGATGGACCTTGGCGGCGGCTACTTCGGCGACTATCTGCCGTCGAGCGAATGGCGGATGCACTACGACATCTACCTGAACAAGCCGGAAGCGGGGGCGGTGGTGCACACCCATTCGATCTACTGCACGGCGCTGGCCTCACTGCAGGAGCGCATTCCGGCCTTCCACTACATGATCGGGGTCGCCGGCGGCACCAACATCCGCTGCGCCGACTATGCGACCTTCGGCACCCAGGAGCTTTCGGGCAACATGCTGAAGGCGCTTCAGGGGCGCTCGGCCTGCCTGCTGGCGAACCACGGGATGATCTGCTTCGCCAAGGACCTCGACAAGACGTTGTGGTTGGCGGGCGAGGTGGAAACCCTGGCCCAGCAGTATTGGATCGCGCGCCAGATGGGCAAGCCGAACATCCTGAACAAGCGCGAGATGACCAACGTCCTGGCGCGCTTCAAGAGCTACGGCAAGCAGAGCAAGGATCTCGCCAAGGGCGAAGCCCTGGCCGTCGAACCCCCGCCGCGCCGCGACGCCCCAAAAGCCGCCAACGGCACCGCCAGACGCGGCGCCAAGAAATCTGCCGGCAGGGCCAAGGCGGCGCGCAAGCCCGGGAAGCGGGCGGCCAAGACCTCCAGGTCGGCACGAGAACCAGCGGCATGATCACTGTCTTCGGCTCCCTGAGTGCCGACCTTGTCACCCAGGTGAAACACCTGCCGGCACCGGGAGAGACGGTGACCGGGCCGGCTTACACCGTGGTGCCTGGGGGCAAGGGGGCCAACCAGGCGCTGGCCGCGGCCCTGGCCGGTGCACCGGTGCGCTTTATCGGCTCGGTCGGCAACGACGGCTTCCGCGATCTTGCGCTTTCCGGTATGCGCGCGGGCGGCGTCGACCTCAGCCTGGTTGCCGAAAGCCCGGAGCAGACCGCCTGCGCCTTCATCGCCGTCGATGCCGCCGGCGAGAACCTTATCTTCGTCGCCAGTGGCGCCAACCTGGACAGCAGGGCCGCGCAGTTGGATGCGGCCGGCCTCACCTCCGATGACGTTCTCCTGCTGCAGATGGAAATCACCCATGCGGAGAACTGGAAGGCGGTGGGCATCGCCAAGGCGAAGGGCGCTCGGGTGGTGCTGAACCTCGCGCCCGCCGGTCCGATCCCGGAGGAGACGCTGCGCCAGCTCGATGTGCTGGTTGTCAACGAGACAGAGGCGGGCCAGCTCGGGGCGCAGCTCGGCATCGCCGACACCGATCCGGAGGCTGTCGCCGGCAAGATCGCGGCGGACTTCGATCTGGATTGCATCGTCACCCTGGGCGCGGCCGGCGCCCGGTCCTTCGGACCCTCCGGCCGCTTCTCGGTGCCGGCCCTGCCGACCGAAGTGGTCGACACTACGGCCGCCGGCGATGCCTTTGTCGGCGCCTTCGCGGCTGCGCTCGATCAGGGCCGGCCGATGGATCAGGCTCTGCGCCAGGGTGCGGTGGCCGGCAGCCTCGCCTGCCGCTCCGTCGGCGCCCAGCCCAGCCTGCCCAAGGGCAAGGAGATCGCCGCCCAGCTTGCCGAGCTCACCTGACGAAACGATGGCAGGTCAGGCGCCGGCGCCTCTTTCGTGGCTGATGGAGTAGACCAGGACCTGGGTCACGGAGACGCCGTCCTCTGACAGCGGCAAAAAGATCGTGCTTTCCTTGCTCCGGCGGCCTCCGGGCGTCACGTAGGCGTTGGGGTCGTAAAGGTAGGTGCGCTTCTTGCGGACGTGCTCGTAGGAGTCGATGACATCTTCGAGGCTGGGGCCCCAGAAGCCTTCCTCGATGCGCTTGCCGGTGGGGTCGTGGCCCCGCAAGGTGACTTCCGCTGTGCCGACGACGCGGTAACGAAACACGCCGACACCGTGGTTATCGACGCTTTCGACGTCGACCAGCAGAATGCCCGGCAGATGCCGTGGGATGTCTGCCGGATCGATGTCCGCACGCCGCGGCATCGGGCGGTCGCCGCGCTTTGCCTCCCAGTACCGGAAGATTTCCACGACCTCCTTCGGGCAGTGCTCCAGGAAGCCGGGCTCGGACGGCGATGGGTGCGGCACGGACTCTTCCTCTGACGGTTCCCTCTCACCACAGGATGACCGAGAGTACGAAAGAGAATCTAAACAAAGCAGTATAATTGAATTGATTTGATTGCAGGGGCGGTGATCTTGAGCCGGAGGTGGAAGAGCCGGTCCGCATGTTCGCCGCTATCCGCCGGCGCGCCCCGGTCGATGGCGCCGCGGAAAATGCTCCTGCGAATCTACAAACGGTCATGTCTGCGATGTTCACTATGGGCCTTTGCTGTTGCTGACCGGAGAGGAGCAGCCATGACGGGACGGTATCTTGCAGCCCTGCTGCTGATCCTGGGATGTCCGCTTGCAGCCCAGGCCCAGGACTTCGTCGCCCTCAGTTCCCAGCATTTTGCCGGCGTGACGACCTCGCAGACCACGACCCGGGCCATGATGCTGACGGTGACCCCCGATACGGGCTCGTCCTTCAGCGCAAAGGCGGAGACCCTGCGCGATCAGCGCGGCGCTCCGACAGACTTTGCCTATACCAGCGACGCGATTTCGGCCGCGAAGGTGGAGACCGAGATCGTTGCCCGGGTTTCCCGGTCCAATCCGCAGGCCGGCAAAACGCTGGCCCGGCAGTTCGCCCGGCACGACTTCGCCGAGGTCTACCGCGGCATCGTCGGCCCCTATGGCCTGCCGCACCGCAACCTCGCCGGCTCGGTCACCGCCTACGAGGTGCTGGCCTGGCTGATCGCCAACGACAGGCAGGAACCGCCGGCCGGCGCCGTGCAGGCGGCCTTCGCCCAGAACGCGGCGGCCATGGCGGCAGATCCGCGCTTCGCCGCGGAGGCGCTGCGGCGCGACATGGACGAGGAACTGATGCGTCTCTTCGTGGTCATGCACGCGGGCTGGCTGAGCGCGCTCAATCGCGAAGGGCCGGCGGCCCTGGCGCGCTACGCCGATGGGGTCAACGCGATGTGGAAGACCACCTTCGGCCAGGATCTGCGTCAGGCCAAATTGACGGCAAGCGGCTTCAGCGCGCGCTAGCCTTGGCGGGTCGATCCAGTCTGCGGTGTTCCGATAACGACGTCACCACGTCGGCGTAAAGGGCGAGCGCTTCCGCGCCTTTGGGCGAGAGGGCGTAGACGCCGCGCTCGACCCGCTGGAACCAGCCGTAGACATCCCGTTGCAGGATGCGCTGGGCGCCGGCGACGGCGGTCGCCTCGGCCACGGCGGCGGCTTTGGTCGGGCCGCTTTCCCTGAGCAGGGCGGCGCAGGCGAGCGCGGCCTGGCGGTAGGCGGTGACGATGGGCCGGCGCGTCTGGCCGCCGGTGTTCGGGTCGCCGATCCTATGGGCGAACTCCTTCAGCAGCAGCCCTTGGCGCTTCCGGTTGGGGCGCGGCTGGTAGGGCAGGGGGTCGAGCAGCGGCTCCACCAGCGGGTCCTTGCTGGCCGTCGCTTCATGCACCGCCAGCAGGCCGAGGCCCAGGCGGCGGCAGAGCTTCAGGATGCCGCGGCGTTCGCGGCGCCACAGACTGCCGCGGGCGGGCCGGGCCGGAACACCGACTGCAAGATAGACATGATCGCTGAGTGCCAGACGGTCGATGCCCTGCAGGACCAGGGGCAGGGTGAAGCCGGTCTTCAACTCGACGATGACCGGAGGGTCCTCACCGCGGCGGGCGACCAGGTCGCAGCCGCGCACCTCGGCCTTCACCACGTAGCCCTGGCCCTCGAAGAAGGCTTTGACGGGGGCGTAGAGATCTTCTTCCTTGGCGAATCCCACGCCCGTGAGTCTAACGCCCGCGCCTCGGCCGGACCAGTGGGGGACTCACGTCGTCAGGGCGCGGTTCCAGGGCATGAGGCCGAGCAGCCTGGCCATCCCGCAGGTGCCGGAAAGGCCTGCGAAGGTGAGGCCGGCGCCGACGAAACCGGACAGCACAAAGAACCAGGGCGAGAGGGCAAAGCCCAGCAGCACGCCCAGCAGCACCATCAGGCCGGCGGTGATCTGTACCTGGCGCTGCATGGAGATCGGCACCCGGCGGTTGACGCGGGTGGCCATGCCGGCGGCCTTCCAGCCGGCAAGCCCGCCATCGAGCTGGCGGACCGCGGCAAAGCCGCTGGCCAGGATGCGCGGCGCGGCTTCGGCGGTGCGGGAGCCGCTGGCGCAGTGGAAGATCGCGGTCTTGTCGCGCGCGCCGGGAAAGTCGCCCGCGTCGAAGCCCGAAAGCGGCACGTGATGCGCGCCCGGAATGTGCTCGCGGGCGAACTCGTCGCTTTCGCGGATATCGATCAGGACGGCCTGATCCTGATCCAGCATGGTCTTCGCCGCCTCGGCGCCGATGGTCTTCAGTGTCTGCATCGCTTTGGGTCTCCTTAGCCTGCGTCCTGCAGCGCCGCGGACGGCGCGCTCTGCGTCTGTTCCCGATTGTGGCGGCAGAAGAGGTCGTAGAGCAGGGCGATCACCGCCCGCGCTTCACGCCCGCTCAGCCGATAGTGGATCTGCCGCCCCTCGCGCCGGGCGGCGACCAGACCGTCCTTGCGCAGCAGGGCCAGTTGCTGCGAAACCGCAGCCTGACGCAGCCCCAGGGTCTCCGCCAGGTGCCCCACCGTTTTCTCCTCCTCGGCCAGCTGGCAGAGGATCATCAGCCGGTTCTCGCTGGCCAGCGCCTTCATCAGGTCGGCAGCCAGGGTGGCGGACTGCTGCATCGATTGAACATTCATATATTCATATATATGAAGATATCGGGTTCAGTCAAGGACGGCTGGACTGCGGCGGTGTACTGCTGGGATTGTGGCGGCCCGTGCGGGCAGGTTATGGAAGAGGCAGGCAGCGGCTCCGATATCAGGGACTCGATGAGCGATTCGGCCAGGGAGTGCAGAGATGAATGAAGCGGCCGGCCGGCCCGAGGTGACGGCGTTTTTCGATGAGGCGACCTTCACGGTCAGCTACGTGGTGGCCGAGCCCGGAGGCGGGCGGGCCGCGGTCATCGATTCCGTCCTCGACTACGATCCCAAGTCCGGGCGTCGCTCGACCGCCTCGGCCGACAGGATCATCGACTTCGTGCGGACGCAGGGTCTGGGTGTCGACTGGATCCTGGAAACCCATGTCCATGCCGACCATCTGACGGCGGCGCCCTACCTGCAGCAGCAGCTCGGCGGGACCATCGGCATCGGCGCCGAGGTCTGCCGTGTGCAGGAAGCCTTTCGCAGTGTCTACAATCTGGATGGGGGCTTCGCCGCCGATGGCAGCCAGTTCGACCATCTTTTCCGGGACGGCGAGAGGCTTTCCATCGGCGGCCTGACGGCAGAAGTGATGTCGACGCCGGGCCACACGCCGGCTTGCATCACCTATGTCATCGGCGATGCCGCCTTCGTCGGTGATACCCTCTTCATGCCGGACTACGGTTCGGCGCGCACCGACTTTCCCGGCGGCGACGCGCGCCAGCTCTACCGCTCCGTCCGGCGCATTCTCGCGCTGCCGTCCGAGACGCGGCTGTTCCTCTGCCACGACTACAAGGCGCCGGGGCGCGATGTCTTCGCCTGGGAGACGACGGTGGCCGAGCAGCGGGAAAAGAACATCCACCTGCACGACGGGGTGGGGGAGGAGGACTTTGTCGCCCTGCGCGAAGGGCGCGATGCCGGGCTCTCCATGCCGGTGCTGCTGCTGCCGGCGGTGCAGGTGAACATGCGCGCCGGTCACCTGCCGCCGCCGGAAGACAACGGCATCTCCTACCTGAAGATCCCGGTCGACGGGGTCTGACCGGCACGTCGGAGTCCGAAACCGGCCCCGGACAAAAAGAAAGGGGCCGGTCGACGACCGGCCCCGGAGCTTTGACTCGGCTTTCTCTTAGAAGCCCATATCGCCCATGCCGCCCATTCCGGGGGCGCCGCCGGGCATGGCCGGGGCCTTGTCTTCCGGCTTTTCGGCGACCATGGCTTCCGTGGTGATCAGCAGACCGGCGATGGAGGCCGCATCCTGCAGGGCCGCGCGCACCACCTTGGTGGGGTCGATAACGCCGTCCTTCACCAGGTTGGTGTAGCGGCCGCTCTGGGCGTTGTAACCCGCCTGCTGGTCCTTCTGCTCGCGCACCTTGCCGACCACGATGGAGCCGTCGGCGCCGGCATTGACCGCGATCTGGCGCAGCGGCGACTCCAGCGCCTTGCGGACAATGCGGATGCCGACTTTCTGGTCCTCGTTTTCGCCCTCCAGCTTGTCGAGCTTGGCGGCCGCGCGCAGCAGGGCGACGCCGCCGCCCGGCACGATGCCTTCCTCGACCGCGGCACGGGTCGCATGAAGCGCGTCGTCGACGCGGTCCTTGCGCTCCTTCACCTCGACCTCGGTGGCGCCGCCGACGCGGATCACCGCCACGCCGCCGGACAGCTTGGCCAGGCGCTCCTGCAGCTTTTCGCGGTCGTAGTCCGAGGTGGTTTCCTCGATCTGCGCCTTGATCTGGCTGCAGCGGGCCTGGATGTCGCTCTTCTTGCCGGCGCCGCTGACGATGGTGGTCTCGTCCTTGGTGATGATCACCCGCTTGGCGCGGCCCAGCATGTCCAGGGTGACGTTCTCCAGCTTGATCCCGACGTCTTCCGAGACCGCGGTGCCGCCGGTCAGGATGGCGATGTCCTGCAGCATGGCCTTGCGCCGGTCGCCGAAGCCCGGCGCCTTGACCGCCGCCACCTTCAGGCCGCCGCGCAGGCGGTTCACCACCAGGGTGGCGAGCGCCTCGCCCTCCACATCCTCGGCGATCACCAGCACCGGCTTGCCGGACTGCACCACCGATTCCAGCAGCGGCAGCATGGACTGCAGCCCGCTGAGCTTGGCCTCGTGGACCAGGATGTAGGGGTCTTCCAGCACCGCCTGCATCTTGTCGGCATCGGTGACGAAGTAGGGCGAGAGGTAGCCGCGGTCGAACTGCATGCCTTCGACCACTTCCAGTTCGGTCTCCAGCGACTTGGCCTCTTCGACCGTGATCACGCCCTCGTTGCCGACGCGCTCCATGGCCTCGGCCAGCATTGCCCCGACCTCGGCATCGCCGTTGGCCGAGATCGTGCCGACCTGGGCGATTTCGTCGTTGGACGCAATTCTGCGGGAACGCTTCTGCAGGTCAGCCACCACGGCTTCCACGGCGCTGTCGATACCCCGTTTCAGGTCCATCGGGTTCATGCCGGCGGCCACCGCCTTCACGCCCTCGCGGACGATCGCCTGGGCCAGTACCGTGGCCGTGGTGGTGCCGTCGCCGGCGATATCGCTGGTCTTGGACGCGACCTCGCGGACCATCTGGGCGCCCATGTTCTCGAACTTGTCCTTCAGTTCGATGTCCTTGGCGACGGTCACGCCGTCCTTGGTCACCCGCGGGGCACCGAAGGACTTGTCGAGAACGACGTTGCGGCCCTTGGGACCCAGGGTGACCTTGACCGCATCCGCCAGAACGTCGACGCCGTGCAGCATGCGCTCGCGGGCATCGGTCGAAAACTTGACGTCTTTTGCAGCCATCTTGGGATGCTCCTCCGTGTTTTGGTTGCCGGCGTCGCTCAGGCGGCCTTCTTGGAGGCCTTGGTCTTTTCGAGCACGCCCATGATGTCGGACTCTTTCATGATCAGGAGGTCTTCACCGCCGACCTTCACCTCGGTGCCGGACCACTTGCCGAAGAGAACCAGATCGCCGACCTTCACGTCCGGCGCGATCAGTTCGCCCTTGTCGTTGCGTGCGCCGGGCCCGACGGCGATGACCTCACCCTGGCTGGGTTTTTCCTTGGCGGTGTCCGGGATGATGATGCCACCGGCGGTCTTCTCTTCTTCGTCGACGCGGCGAACGGCGACCCGGTCATGCAAAGGCCTGAATTTCATCGAACTTTCCCCTTTTTTGGTGTGGACGTTTGGTGTGGATTGGGACGATCTTAGCACTCTCGTTTCAAGAGTGCTAATGTAGGATGCACTTGGGATCTCCGGCGCCTGCGTCAAGAGCGCGGGTGGGGTTATTTTCGGTCCCTTGCGGGGGGCTTCAGGCCGGGGCTTAGGCCGGGATGATCGCGCCCTTGGTCCGGATCACCCGGCCGGCGAGGGCGTGGCCCGCTGCGGCGGCCTCTTCGGCACCGCTGCCGCCCAGGCGCGCCGCCAGATAGGCGCCGTTGAAGGAGTCCCCGGCGGCGGTGGTGTCCACCGGCCGCGCGACCGTCTCGCCGGCAACCCTTGACTGCCGGCCTTCAACACTGACAAGGCAAGGCCCAGCGCCGCACTTGACCACCACTTCGCCGACCCCCAGGCTGTGCAGCCGCTCGGCCGTGGCCTCGGGCGATGTGTCGCCGAACAGCGCCGCCTCGTCTTCGTGGGTCGGCAGAGCCAGGTCGGCCAGGGACAGCGTGCGGCGCACCGCCTCCTGCGCCTCCGAGGGGTCGCGCCACAGCCGCGGGCGGTAGTTGGTGTCGAAGGCGAGGCGGCTGCCGCCGGCGCGAAGGCGCTCAAGCAGTTCGTAGAGCCGTTCCCGGCTTCCGGCATCGAGGATTCCCAGTGTGATCCCAGACAGATAGATCAGATCGAAGCCGGCGAGGGCCTCGGCCAGACCGGCCGTCCGCTCCGCCTGAAGCATGTCGCGGGCGGCGGCGGCGCTGCGCCAGTAATGGAAGGTCCGTTCGCCCTGCCCATCGGTGCGGATGATGTAGAGACCCGGCAACCTGCCCGGCAGCCGTGCGACCAGGCCGGTTTCCAGGCCTTCGCGCTGCCAGGCTGCGATCATCTCCGAACTGAACGGATCGTCGCCCAGGGCCGTCACGTAGGAGACCCGGCCGCTTTCCGGCGCCAGCGCGCGGGCGAGATAGACCGCGGTGTTCAGGGTGTCCCCGCCGAAGGTGCGCTGCATGGCGGCGGCCCCTGCTTCCCGGCCGTTTTCCGGGCCACCGGCGCTTTCCGAAAGCTCGATCATGCACTCGCCAAGGCTTGCGATGCGCAGCATGGGAAGGAAGCCGCCGTGCTGTTGAAGACCTGCCGTCCCTTTGGGGCATGCCCGTCAGGGACGACGGCCTAGGCAATAGCGGCTGGCTCGGCGCAGGGCAAGCGCGGCGGACCCGATCGATCAGCCGCAGATGTCGGGTATCATGCGGCGCAGATGGCCGCTGCCGGCGCAGGGCGCAGGCGCCGGCGGCCAAGGGCGATCGCGGCGATCACATCCTCTTCCGTCAGTCCGTCGCGTTTCAGTACCGCCTGGATGACTGCATCGCGCAGCATCTCCTCGATCTCCGGCTCTCCCTGAATCCAGGCGGAGCCGGCACCGGCACTGTAACGAACTGCGAAGGGATTGATCATGAAGTCTGCCTTTCTGAAGAGTTGGCTTCCGGAGAGCCCGCTGGACCGGGCTCACTGTTCGACGCGTTGGTCACCCTGAGAAGAGACAGTCATTCGCAAGCAAAGCTTCCATCGCGAACCACTTTAGACATAGTGGACCATAGGTATGAGAATGATCTGATCTATTTGTGACAATTTGACTGCTGCCCTTGGTTGTAGCGGGCGCGGAGATTTTCCTACAAAAACAATATCAGAAAACAACCTAAAATTGAAAATCGAATATGAAGCCTTCCGGGCTCCGGCCTCTCCGCCCTGCCGCCCGCAGGCGGCAGCGCCTGTGACAGAATTGTCATGCCGCGGAAAGATGTCTCTAACAAAGGCGGGTTAGCGTTTACCCGTTGGCGCCGATGCAGGGCAGGCGGTCAGAGCGGCCTGAAGCGCAATTCGCCGGCATCGCGGCGGTCGGATATCCGCCCACAGCCGGCAGCATGCTTGGCCCCGTGACCCTCGGGTCGTGCGACAACGGAACGTCAGCATCCGGTTCACCCCCCAACCGGAACTCCCCCGTACGATTTGCCCGTACGGGTACCCGGGTCCCGGGTCGCTGTGCAGGTGCGAACAGCCACATGCGCGACGTCCCGGGCCTCACAGTGGTTTAGATCCCTAGCCAACTGGCCGGGCTCTCCGATTTCGGGGTGGCCCGGCTTCCTTTTTCCACAGCCCCTTCCGGAACCCCAGGTCAGCATCCGCCGCCCCTGAAGGCGTCCCCCGAAGGCGCGCGAAATTCAACTGGCGCTTCTGTGCGAGCATGGTAGCGTAGGCGCTTGGACGCAGCGGATTCCGGGCCTTACCGGCGGGATTTTGCACTGCGGAACGAAGCGAAGAACAAGAACTCAGGCGAGGCATCTTCATGGTACGCACTTTGACGGCCGCGGCGGCGGCCTTGCTCGTTTCGACCTCCCTTGCGGCCACGGCCGCGGTCGCCGACGACATCAATCCGGCGGTCGTCTTCGACATGGGCGGCAAGTTCGACAAGTCCTTCAACGAGGGCGTCTTCAACGGGGTCGAGAAGTTCAAGAAGGAAACCGGCGTTTCCTATCGGGAGTTTGAGGTCACCAACGAAACCCAGCGCGAACAGGCGCTGCGGCGCATGGCCCAGCGCGGCGCCGACCCGATCATCGGGGTCGGGTTCGCCCAGGCGCCGGCCCTCGAAAAGGTGGCCAAGGAGTTTCCGGACACCCGCTTTACGATCATCGATTCCGTTGTCGACCTGCCGAACGTCCGTTCGGTGGTGTTCAAGGAGCACGAGGGCTCCTTCCTCGTCGGCATGATTGCGGCGCTGAAGTCGGAGTCCGGCAAGGTCGGCTTCGTCGGCGGCATGGATATCCCGCTGATCCGCAAGTTCGCCTGCGGTTACGAGCAGGGCGCCAAGCACGTGAGCGGCAACACCGAGGTGCTGCAGAACATGACCGGCACCACGCCGGCCGCCTGGAACGATCCGACGCGCGGGTCGGAACTGGCCAAGAGCCAGTTTGACCGCGGCGTCGATGTGATCTACGCGGCTGCCGGCGGCACCGGCGTCGGCGTCTACCAGACCGCCAAGGACAGCGGCAAGTTCGCCATCGGCGTCGACTCCAACCAGAACCACCTGCAGCCGGGCACCATGCTGACCTCCATGCTCAAGCGCGTGGATGTCGCGGCCTACAAGGCCTTCAAGGACGCTCATGACGGCAGCTGGGCCCCCGGCATCCAGGTGCTGGGCCTGGCCGAAGAGGGTGTGGGCTGGGCGCTTGACGAGTACAACAAGGACCTGGTCTCGGCGGACATGATGGCAAAGGTGGAAGCCGCGGCCGCGGACATTGTTTCCGGCAAGCTCAGCGTCCACGACTATATGAGCGACAACAGCTGCTCCTACTAGGCGCAGCCGTCGTCCAGGCTTGATCCACCAGGCTTGATCCAGATGTCCGGACCCGAACACGGCAGGAACTGACCTCTCGGCTTCCTGCCGTGGTTCGGGTGCGTTTTCTGGGTGCTGCCGCCGCCGGCCCGGGAACGACCCTTGTCTCATCAACAAGAAAGCCAGGAACAGCATGCGGGCCCGCCGGGAGGCGCCGGCGACTCGCCCGCCATCGAGCTGCGGGGGATCAGCAAAGCCTTCGGGCCGGTTCAGGCCAACAAGGACGTCTCGCTGAACATCCGCCCGGGGTCGATCCACGGCATCATCGGCGAAAACGGCGCCGGCAAGTCGACCCTGATGAGCATCCTCTATGGCTTCTACGAAGCCGACAGCGGCGAAATTCTCATTTCCGGCGTGCCGACGCGGATCCGCTCTTCCAACGACGCCATCGCCGCCGGCATCGGCATGGTCCACCAGCACTTCATGCTGGTCGACAACATGTCCGTCGTGGAGAACATCATGCTGGGCGCGGAATCCGGCGCGATCCTGACCTCCAGCGTCGCCGCCGCGCGCGCCGAACTGGAGCGCCTGGAACGGGACTACGATCTGGAGGTCGACCCGGATGCGTTGGCCGGCGAACTGCCGGTGGGCCAGCAGCAGCGCGTCGAGATCCTGAAGGCGCTTTACCGCGGCGCCGACATCCTGATCCTCGACGAGCCGACCGGCGTGCTCACCCCGCAGGAAACCGATCAACTCTTCCGCATTCTCGATTCCCTGCGTCAGCAGGGGGTGACCATCGTTCTGATCACCCACAAGCTGCAGGAGATCATGGCAGTCACCGACCATGTCTCCGTCATGCGCGGCGGCGAGATGATCGCCCATCGCAGGACCAGCGAGACCAGCAAGGAAGAGCTGGCAGAGCTGATGGTCGGGCGCAAGGTGCTGCTGCGGGTCGACAAGGCGGCGCCCCAGGCCGGCGAGACCGTTCTGGCGCTGGAGAGCCTGACCTTCGTGGACCGTGTGGGCGTGAAGCGCGTCGACAACGTCAGCTTCTCGGTGCGCGCCGGGGAGATCGTCGGCATCGCCGGCGTTTCCGGCAACGGCCAGAGCGAGCTTCTGGATCTGCTGTCCGGCATCCGCCCGATCAGCGCCGGACGCTTTACCATGATGGGGCAGACCTTCTCCGCGGGCCATCCGCTCGACCCCGCCACCATGCGCGACCTCAAGGTGGCGCACGTGCCGGAGGACCGGCTGCGCAGCGGCCTCGTGCGCACCTTCGCCGCCGAGGAATCGGCGATCTTGGGCTACCACAACGACCCCGCCTACAACGGGCGCGTACTCATGAACCAAGAGGTGATTCACGAGGACTGCGCCAGGAAGATGGCGGATTTCGATGTGCGTCCGCAGAACGCCAGCCTGAAGACCGCCAACTTCTCCGGCGGCAATCAGCAGAAGCTGATCCTGGCGCGGGAAATCTCGCGCAGCCCGCGCCTTCTTCTGGTCGGCCAGCCGACCCGCGGCGTCGACATCGGCGCCATCGAGTTCATTCACCGCAACATCATCGCCATGCGCGATTCGGGCTCCGCCGTGCTGCTGGTTTCCGTGGAGCTGGAGGAAATCATGTCGCTGAGCGACCGCATCGTCGTGATGTTCGAAGGGCGCATCGTCGGCGAGCTGCCGGCCCATGAAGCCAACGAGCGCCTGCTCGGCCTGATGATGGCCAACGCGGCGCCGGCACGCGGCGAAGACGCCTTGCCGGCCGCGGACACGCCGGAGGTCTCGGGCGCATGAGCGCGGCGCCGGGCAGCATTCCGCGCTGGGTCGATATCGGCCTCATTCCGCTGGTCAACATCGCGCTGGCCTTCTTCGTCTCCGGCATCATCCTCTGGACCATCGACGTCGATCCCTTCACCGCGGTGGAGATCATTCTCTTCGGCGCCTTCGGCTACGACGAGGCGATCGGCTACACGCTCTACTACACCACCAACTTCGTCTTCACCGGACTGGCGGTGGCGGTCGCCTTTCACGCCGGGCTGTTCAACATCGGCGGCGAAGGCCAGGCCTACATCGGCGGCCTGGGCGTCGGCCTCGGCATCCTGCTCGTCGACACGACTCTCCCGTTTGTGCTGATCCTGCCGCTTTCGATCCTGCTGGCCGCCGCCTTCGGCGCCGGCTGGGCGGCGATTCCGGCCTACCTGCAGGCCTATCGCGGCAGCCACATCGTCATCACCACCATCATGTTCAACTTCATCGCTTCGGCGCTGATGGTCTACCTGATGGTGAACATCCTCATTCAGCCGGGCTCCATGTCGCCGGAAAGCCGCGAGTTCGCGGCTTCCGGTCAACTGCCGTTCATGCACGAGGTCTTCGGCTGGTTCGGCATGCAGGTCACGCCCTCGCCACTGAACCTTTCTGTCGTCTGGGCGGCAATCTGCTGCGTACTCGTCTGGGCCTTCATCTGGCGCACCCGCTGGGGCTATCAGATCCGCACCGTCGGCGCCAACGAGACGGCGGCCATCTATGCCGGCATCGATCCGCGCCGTGTCATCATGCTGGCGATGGCCGTGTCCGGCGCGCTGGCCGGCTTCGTCGGCATCAACGAGGTGATGGGCGTCCACCACCGCCTGCTGCTGAACTTCACCGCCGGCTACGGCTTCACCGGCATCGCGGTCTCCCTGATGGGCCGCAACCACCCCGTCGGCATCGTGCTCGCCAGCCTGCTCTTCGGCATGCTCTACCAGGGCGGCGCGGAACTGGCCTTCGAGGAGCCGAAGGTGACCCGCGAACTGGTGGTGACCATCCAGGGCCTGGTGATCCTCTTCTCCGGTGCACTGGCCTTCATGATGAAGGGCCCCATCGAGCGGGCCTATCTGCGCATCGCCGGCGGCTTCCAGCGCCCGGCGGGGCAGGAGGGCTGATCGGTGGAGGGGCTGCTCTTCAACCTGCTGCTTTCCATCGACGCCACCTTCCGGGTCGCGACGCCGCTGGTGCTCTGCGCCATGGCCGGGCTCTTCGCCGAGCGTTCCGGCGTCATCGATATCGGCCTGGAGGGCAAGATGCTGGCCGCCGCCTTCGCCGCGGCCTCCATGGCGGCGGTCACCGGCTCGGCCTGGCTGGCGCTCGGCGCCGGCATGGTCGTCTCCGTGGCCCTGGCCCTGCTGCACGGTTTTGCCTGCATCACCCACCGCGGCAACCAGGTTGTCAGCGGCGTGGCCATCAACATCCTGGTCTCCGGCCTCACCGTGGTCCTGGGCATCGCCTGGTTCGCCCGTGGCGGCCAGACTCCCTCCGTCTCCAACGAAGCCCGCTTCACGCCGATCACCTGGCCCGGCGCCGAGACGCTGGCCGGCGTGCCGATCCTCGGCCCGATCTACAGCGAGCTGCTCAGCGGCCACAACCTGCTGGTCTATGTCGCCTTCCTCATCGTCCCGCTCACCTGGTGGGTGGTTTATCGTACCCGCTTCGGCCTGCGCCTGCGCGCCGTCGGCGAGAACCCCAACGCGGTCGACACGGCGGGGATTTCGGTCAGCGGCCTGCGCTATGCGGCGATGCTCTGCTGCGGCGCGCTCTGCGGCATCGCCGGCACCTATCTCTCCATCGCCCAGAACGCCGCCTTCGTGCGCGACATGACGGCCGGGCAGGGCTATATCGCCCTGGCGGCGATGATCTTCGGCAAGTGGCGGCCCGTGCCGGCCATGCTCGCCTGCCTGATGTTCGGTTTCCTGGACGCCGTGGCGATCCGCCTGCAGGGCGTCGAGGTGCCGGTGATCGGGCCGATCCCGGTGCAGCTCATCCAGGCGCTGCCCTATGTGCTGACCGTCGTTCTGCTGGCCGGCTTCATCGGCCGGGCCATCGCCCCCAAGGCCAGCGGCATTCCTTACGTAAAAGAACGCTAGCATGGCCGAGGATCTGGTTACCCTGGCGATCGCTGCCATGGAGCGGGCCTACGCGCCCTATTCGAACTTCCCCGTGGGCGCCGCGCTGCGGGCGCAGAACGGCGCGGTGTTTTCGGGCTGCAATGTCGAGAACGCGGCCTACCCGCAGGGCTGGTGTGCCGAGACCAGCGCCATCGCCGCCATGATCATGGCCGGGGAGACGCGCATTGTGGAGATCGCGGTGGCGGGCGGCGGTGCGGGGCTCTGTACACCCTGTGGCGGCTGCCGCCAGCGCCTGCGGGAGTTCGCCGGCGACGATCTTGTCATCCATGTCTGCGGGCCCGAAGGACTGCGCCGGACGGTGACCCTGGGCGAGCTCTTGCCGCTTTCGTTCGGTCCGGACAATCTGGACTGACCGTTAGGCTCCGGCAGGTAAAAACGCGTCTCAGTGAGGTGTCTTTGATGTTCGAGGAAGCGGCCGAAACCGCCGCCATGATCCGCCGACAGGCCGGCATCGTGCCGAAGGTGGCGCTGGTGCTGGGCTCCGGCCTCGGCGCCGTCGCCGATGCGGTGGAGGCGCCGCAGACCCTCGCCTACCGGGACCTGCCGGGTTTCCCGCGCCCCTCGGTCGCAGGGCACGGCGGCAGCCTGATCCTGGGGCGCATCGCCGGACTGCCGGTGGCGGTGCTTCAGGGCCGCGCGCACTACTACGAAAGCGGGCGCGCCGATGGCATGAACCTGGCTCTGGCGGTGCTGAAGGAACTCGGCTGCGCGCGGCTCATTCTGACCAATGCCGCCGGCTCCCTGCGCGCCGACGTCGGGCCGGGGCGCCTGATGCTGATCCGCGACCACATCAACTTCGCCGGCGTCTCGCCGCTTTTCGGGCTTGCCGGCAACGCGCGCTTCGTCGATCTGGTCGACGCCTACGACCCCGCGGCGCGCGCCGCCATCGTCGACGTCGCCGGGCGCCTGGGCCTGCCGCTGGCCGAGGGCGTCTACGTCTGGTTCTGCGGGCCGCATTTCGAAACCCCGGCGGAAATCCGCGCGGCGCAGGTCCTCGGCGGCGATGCGGTGGGCATGTCGACGGTGCCGGAGGTCATTGTCGCACGGCTGCTGGGCCTGAAGGTTTCCGCGCTGTCGATGATCACAAACCTGGCCGCCGGGATGTCCGCGGAGCCGCTCTCCCACGACCACACCATGCAGCACGCGACGGCGGCCGCCGCCGATATGGCGCGCCTCCTGACCGCCTATCTGGAGACCCTGGCCCATGATGGACCCGAGCCATGACAGATGACACGAAGGCGATGAAAGCCGTGGCGGCGCGGGCCCTCGGCCTGCTCGACCTCACCAGCCTCAATGACGACGACGATGCGGCGGTGGTCGACGCGCTCTGCGAAAGGGCGAGGACGCCATTCGGCCCCGTGGCCGCCGTCTGCATCTGGCCGCGTTTCGTGGCGCAGGCGAAAGACCTGCTGCATGGCAGCGGCATCAAGGTTGCGGCGGTGGCGAACTTCCCCGCCGGCGGCGACGACATCGCCGCGGCGCTGAGCGACACGCGGGAGATCGTCCAGGCCGGCGGCGACGAGGTGGACCTTGTGATGCCCTACACGAAGTGGCTGGCCGGGGAGCGGGATCTGGCCAAGCGGATGATCGCCGACTGCAAGCAGGCCTGCGGCGACACAGCGCGCCTCAAGGTCATCCTCGAAACCGGCCGGCTGGACGCTGCGGAGACGATCTATGAAGCCAGCGGCGATGCCATCGCCGCCGGCGCCGATATGATCAAGACCTCGACCGGCAAGATCGCAGTGTCTGCCACCCTGGAGGCTGCCGAGGCCATGTTGCGGGCGATCAAGGACTCCGGCCGCGATGTCGGCTTCAAGGCGGCGGGCGGCATACGCGACACGGCGGCGGCGGGCGTCTACCTGGCCCTCGCCGACCGGATCATGGGCCCGGACTGGGTCGACCCCTGGCGGTTCCGCTTCGGCGCCTCCGGTCTGCTGAACGATCTTTTGGCCGTGCTCGGAGACGAGGCGGCGGCGCCGGCCGCGGAGCAGGGCTACTGATGGCGCTGCTGCCCCAGGAGATCATCCGCCGCAAGCGCGACGGTGCGGCCCTTTCGCAGGAGGAGATCGCCGCCTTCGTGGCCGGCATCGCCGATGACAGTATCGGCGAGGGCCAGGTTGCGGCCTTTGCCATGGCGGTTTTCCTGCGTGGCATGGCGCGGGCCGAAGCGGTGGCCCTGACCCGCGCCATGACCGAGTCCGGCCAGCGCCTGGACTGGCAGGGCCTGGACCTGCCGGGCCCCTGCGTCGACAAACATTCCACCGGGGGCGTCGGCGACAAGGTCAGCCTGATCCTCGGGCCGCTGGTGGCGGCCTGCGGCGGCTACGTGCCGATGATTTCGGGCCGGGGGCTCGGCCATACCGGCGGCACGCTGGACAAGCTGGACGCCATTCCCGGCTATACCACCGCGCCGGATGTCGATCGCTTCCGCCAGACGGTCAAGGCCGCCGGCTGCGCCATCATCGGCCAGACCGCCGACCTGGCGCCGGCCGACAAGCGGCTCTATGCCATCCGTGACGTCACCGCGACGGTAGAATCCATCCCGCTGATCACGGCGTCCATTCTCTCCAAGAAGCTGGCCGCCGGTCTCCAGGGCCTGGTGATGGACGTAAAGACCGGCAACGGCGCCTTCGCCGCGACGGTGGAGGAGGCGCGGGCCTTGGCGGAGAGCATCGTCGCCGTCGCCGGCGGGGCGGGCCTGCCCACCACGGCGCTGATCACCGACATGAACCAGCCGCTGGGAAGCACCGCGGGCAATGCCCTGGAGGTCGCCGAATCGGTGGCCATGCTGAAGACCGGCCAGGGCGACGCGCGCCTGCGCGAACTGGTCATCGCGCTGGCAGCCGAGATGCTGGTGCTCGGCGGCTTGGCGCCGGAGGCCGCGGCGGCGGCTCAGCAAGCGGAGGCCGCGCTGACATCCGGCGCGGCGGCTGAACGCTTCGGCGCCATGGTGGCCGCCCTTGGCGGAGCGGCGGACTTCGTCGAACGCTCTGATGACTATCTTCCCAAGGCCCCGGTCCAGCGCCCGGTGGCGGCGGAGGCGGCCGGGCGCCTGACCGCCTGCGACACCCGCGCGGTCGGCCTGGCGGTGGTGGAACTGGGCGGCGGGCGGCGGCGGGTCGAAGACAGCATCGACTACGCGGTCGGTTTCAGCGACCTGCTGCCCCTGGGCAGCGCCGTACAGTCCGGCGATCCCCTGGCCGTGGTCCACGCTGCCACCGAAGAGGCCGCGGAGGCGGCAAGCCGGCGCTTGCAGGAAGCCTTCACCTTCGGTCAGACTGTCGAAGACGCCGGCGGGCCGGTGGTGCGGCAGCGCATCACCGCCGCGGATGTTTAAAAGCAGACGCTTAGAAGCGCACGAGAGGAAAGCCCCCCGCGTATGTTTGAGGCGACGGCAGCCCAGCAGCGCATGACACCGCGAGCCGAAGCGGCGCGCTTTGCTGCGCCTTCCGGCGGCCGGCTGACGGCGGAGATGGTGCAGGCCTTTGAACGCGACGGCTTTCTGGTGCTGGAGGACATGGTGCCTCAGGCAGACTGCGAAGCCCTGATCGCCCGCGCCGAGGCCATGGTAGAGGATTTCCAGCCGGCCAGCGTCGCTTCGATCTTTTCGACCCAGGGCCAGGTCCATGGCCGCGACCGCTACTTCCAGGACTCCGGCGACAAGGTCCGCTTCTTCTTTGAAGAGGAGGCCTTCGACGCCGCGGGCGCGCTGCGCCAGGCCAAGCGGCTGTCGATCAACAAGATCGGCCATGCCCAGCACGATCTCGATCCCGTCTTCGCCGCGTTTTCGCACCGCCGCGCTTTCGACAACACCGTCAAGGCGCTGGGCTGTGCCTGCCCCCTGGCGCTGCAGTCGATGTACATCTTCAAGCAGCCGCGCATTGGCGGCGAGGTCGGCTGGCATCAGGATTCGACCTTCCTCTATACCGAGCCCCTGAGCGTGCTCGGCCTATGGTTCTCGCTGGAAGACGCCACGCTGGAGAACGGCTGCCTCTGGGCGCTGCCGGGTGCCCACAAGGGTCCGCTGCGCCAGCGCTGGCGCCGCGTTGGTGAGCGTCTGGTGATGGAATCCCTGGACGAGACACTCTGGGACGAGGAGACGGCGGTGCCGCTGGAGGTGCGCCGGGGCGCCATGGTGGTGCTGCACGGCAAGCTGCCCCACGGCAGCCTGCCCAACCGCTCCGAGCGCTCGCGCCACGCCTATACCCTGCATGTGATCGACGGGGCCTGCGACTATCCGGCGGACAACTGGCTGCAGCGCAGCCCGGCGCTGCCGCTGCGCGGTCTCACCGCCGGCGGCGTGCAGGTGCCGCAATAGAGTTTATGGGGCCGGCGTTTCCGCGCCGCCCGCCTGCGCCGCCCGTCTGCGCCGCAGATTGCTTTTGGATTGGAGAAGAAGATGACTCTTTCTCGCAGCCTCCGGCAGTGCGTTTTCACCGCGGCTCTCATAGCCTCGGCCTTTCTGATCCCGGCCCTTCCCGCAGCCGCGGAACCGGTCACGGTCAGCCTCATGCACATCAACGATCTCGACCGCATCGAGGAATCCAAGGGCAAGGGCGGCATAGCCCGGGTCATGGCCCTGGTGCAGCAGGAACGCGCCCGCGCCGACACCGTGATCTTCACCCACGGCGGCGACACCATCTCGCCCTCGCTGCTGTCCTCCTTCGACAAGGGTGCCCACATGATCGACCTCTACAACGAGGCCGAACTGGACCTGCTGGTGATGGGCAACCACGAGTTCGACTTCGGTCCCGAGGTGGCCAAGCAGCGGGTAAGCGAAGCCCGCTTCACCGTGCTGGCCAGCAACAGCCGCGACAGCGACGGCGAGCCGCTGGACGGCACCGCCGCCACCTGGATGGCCGAAGCCGGGCCCTACAAGATCGGCTTCTTCGGCCTGACGACGCCGGAGACCGCGGACATCTCCAGCCCCGGCACGGTGACCTTCGAACCGCTGCTGCAGTCGGCCCGCGACTACTCCCAGCAACTGCGCGATGAGGGCGCGGACCTGGTGGTGGCCGTGGCCCACACCGGCGTCGAGGAGGATCTCATGCTGATGCGTGCCGACAGCGGCATCGACATTCTGATGTCCGGCCACGACCACCTGCTGGTGACCTACTACGACGGCCAGCGTGCCTTCATCGAGTCCGGATCGCAGGGCGAGCAACTCGTTGTGGTCGATGTGACCCTCAACACGGTGGAAAGCCGCGGGCAGCAACGTTTCGTCTGGGAGCCGGCCTTCCGTATCGTCGACAGCCGCAGTGTCGAGCCCGATGCGGCCATGGCGGCCAAGGTGCAGGTCTACCTCGACCGTTTGAGCGAGGAGCTGGACGTGCCCATCGGCACTGCGCTGACCGCCCTCGACAGCCGGCGCGCCTCCGTACGCGGCGGCGAGACGGCCATCGGCAACCTCATCACCGATGCCATGCGACAAGGCGTCGAGGCCGACGTGGCGCTCACCAACGGCGGCGGCATCCGCGGCGACAAGACCTACGACGCCGGCATCACCCTGACCCGCCGCGACATCCAGACCGAGCTGCCCTTCGGCAACAAGACCGTGAAGCTGGAGCTGACGGGCGCGCAGTTGATGCAGGCCCTGGAGCACGGCTTCAGCAAGGTGGAGGAGGGGGCCGGGCGCTTTCCCAGCGTCTCCGGCATGACCGTGACCTGGAGCCGTTCGGCCCCGGCGGGTCAGCGTGTGCGCTCCGTCACCGTCGGCGGCAAGCTTCTGGACCCGGAGGCGAGCTACACCCTGGCGACCAACGACTTCGTCGCGCGCGGCGGCGACGGCTATGCCGTCTTTACCGAGGCGGTGCCGCTGATCGACGGCATCTCCGCGCGTCTGATGGCGACCATGGTGATGGACTTCGTCGCCGCCACCGGCGAGGTCTCCCCCAAGGTGGAGGGCCGGGTGACGGCTGTCGACTAGAAAGCGGTGGATTGGAGGGGCGGCGACAAGCGCAGGCCGGTGCGAATCGAACGATGATCGAAACGCTCGCCTTCGATGCCGACGATACGCTCTGGCACAACGAGCACCTGTTTCAGGATACGCAGGAGAAGCTTGCGGAAATCGTCGGCCGCCACCGCCCGGGGGAGGACATCGCCGAAGCCCTCTATGCCGTGGAGATGCGCAACCTCGCGCTTTTCGGTTACGGCATCAAGGGCTTCACCCTCTCCATGGTGGAGGCGGCCATCGAGTTGACGCGCGGGCGCATCGCAGCGGACGAGATCCACGAGATCGTGCAGCTCGGTAAGACGATGATGACCGCGCCGGTCGACCTGCTGGAGGGTGTGGAGGCGGTGCTGGACGCTGTCTCCGGACGCTACCGCACGCTGCTCATCACCAAGGGCGACATGGTGGACCAGACCAGCAAGATCGAACGCTCCGGCCTCGCCGGTCACTTCGATCAGGTGGAGATCGTGCCGCGCAAGGACGCGGCGACCTATCGCCGGGTCTTCGACCGTCACGGCGTCGATGCGTTGCGCACCGTGATGGTCGGCAACTCCGTGCCGTCGGACGTGCTGCCGGTGCTGGAACTCGGCGGCTTCGCCGTCCACGTGCCCTATGCCATCCTCTGGGCTCACGAGGCCCATGATGCCGACCCCGTCAGCGAACGATTCCACCGCCTGGAACGGCTGGAGGACCTTCCGAGGCTCTTGCAGCGGCTCGGGGCCTCCGGGCGCTCTTCATAATCAATTCAGCTAAATCGACTACAACCGGAGATCTGGCCGCCGAACCACGGCCGTTTCCGAGAGCTTTGGGGGATTGGACATGCTGGCCGTGATGGGGGCCCTGGCCGAGGAAATCGACCTGCTGCGGGCCGAAATGACCGGGGTCAGCGAGGCCCGCCATGCCGATATCCCGGTGCTGAAGGGCGATTTCAAAGGCACCGAAATCGCGCTGGCGCGCTGCGGCATCGGCAAGGTGAACGCCGCCATCTGCACGCAGATGCTGGTCAACCTCTACGAGCCCGATGCCCTCGTGTTCAGCGGCGTCGCCGGCGGTCTGCTGCCCAATATGCGGGTCGGCGACCTGGTGATCGCCAGCCACCTCATCCAGTTCGACATCGACCTGACCGCTTTCGGCCGGCGCCACGGCGAACTGCCCGATGGGGACCGCATGATCCAGTCGGACCCCGACCTGATCGAAAAGACCGCCGATGCCTTCGACGGTGCGTTCAATGGCGCAGAGGCCGAGCCCAACCTGATGATCGGCACCGTCGTCTCCGGTGACCGCTTCGTCGAGGATTCCAAGACCCTGCGCTGGCTGCAGCGGGAGTTCGGCGCCCTGGCGACGGAGATGGAGGGCGCCGCCGTCGGCTACACCTGCCAGCTCAACAAGCTGCCTTTCGTCGTGGTGCGCGGCCTCTCCGACACCGCCAACGAAGCCGCGCCGGACGATTTCAAGGCCAACCTGGAAACCGTCTGCCGCAACTCCTACCGGCTCATGGACCGCCTCATCCCCGCCTTGGGATAAAGGCTCATTGGTCTAGGCCTTCTGTCGACAGCCAGTAGTCGTCACCGGCGAACCAGAGCCCGGCTGCATCTTTGGGGGGCGCCCCAAGGTGCAGGGCCTGAGTCGGTACGGTCTTGCCGTCGAGCGCCTCCAGCGCTTTTCCGAGGCGTCGGGCCTCCTCCGGACGCCGCGCCCCTACGCAGGGGAAGAAGCCGCAACGGCCGAGGGACCGCGCCGCGAAGCCGTCTGCGGTCTTGGTAGCGAGGAGGAAGAAGCCCCAGCCGTTCCCGCCGGTCAGGGGCAGCAGCAGGCGGCCGCCGGGGACGAGCCGGTCGAGCCAGGCACGCGCCGGATAGGTGGCGCCGGCGAAGGCGATGACCACATCAGCGGACGGCCCGCCGGTCACTTCCACGCCGTTCCCCGGGACGACGGAGGCCTGCGGCCAGAGGGCGAGGGCCGCCTTGGCGCGGCTGGCTAGCTCCGGATCCAACTCGACCGCTTCGACTTGGCCCTTGCGCCCGACGACCTCGGCCAGAACGGCGGTATAGTATCCGGTGCCCGCGCCCACCTGGACGACCCGCTCACCGGCCTTGAGGTCGAGCTGATCGAAGACGTAGGCCCAGAGCGAGGGCTGCCCGTTGTTCAGGTCGCGCGCCTCGTCGATGACCACCAGCACATCGTGGTAGAGCGCGCGGGGATCGGCATCGGGCGTCTCGAAGGCCGGCGCGCCGCGCCGGCGCGAGTAGATATGCCAGGGCCCGGCGCCGCAGAAGCGCTCCCGGGGCACCCGGGCGAAGGCCTCCACCACGGCGGCGTTGCGCGTGACCGGACTGACCGCGCGTAGGTCCTCCGCATACCACCGCCGCGCGGCTTCGATGTCATCCGTCATCCCTGGCTCCTTGTTGCGGTCCGGTCCCGGATCGTGAAGCATCTTCCCCTTCCGGCTGTCGACAATAGCATTGGCGGGCATCGGTTGCCGTGCTATGCGGCGGACATGCTTGCCAGCCTGCCTGATATCTCCTCCCTTACAATCCTTCTTCTCGGCGCCCTGACCGCGGGTTTCGTGACCGGATTTGCCGGCTTCGGCACCGGACTGGTGGCCTCGGGGTTCTGGTTCCATGTGCTGCCGGCGGCCACGGTGCCGCCTCTGGTGGTGATGGCCTCGGTGGCGGCGCAGCTCGTCAGCCTCATCGGCCTCAGGCCCCGCTTCGACTGGCCCCAGGCGGCGCCCTATCTGATCGGCGGCATCCTCGGCGTGCCGCTGGGCGTGATGGCCCTGGCGGCGGCCTCGCCGGACCTGCTGCGCACGGCGGTGGGCATCTTTCTGGTGCTCTATGCCCTGGTGCAGTTCTCCGGCCTCCTGCGCCTGCAGATCGGCGGCTGGGGCGGGCGCTCCTCCGATGCCGCGGTCGGCATCGGCGGCGGCATCATGGGCGGCTTCGCCGGCCTTTCCGGGCCGCTGCCGCTGATCTGGCTGCAGCTGCGCGGTGGACCTGCCACCGGCCAGCGCGCTGTCTACCAGCCCTTCAATCTCATCGTGCTGGCCACCGCCTCCGCCGGCATGGCCCTCGGCGGCCAGGTCGACACCGCGGTGCTGACGGCGCTCTTGTTCTCGGTGCCGGCCACGGTGGTGGGCGCCTGGACGGGCGCGCGGCTCTACCACAAGGCCAGCGAAAGCCTGTTCCGCCGCGTCGTGCTCTCGCTGCTGCTGCTCTCCGGCGTCATGCTGGTGCTGCAGAGTCTTGGGCGCAACGGCGTCTTTGGCTAGGCTGGTTGGCTAGGCAGTCAGAGGGAGAGCCATGCGGCACAACGGTGGATGTCACTGCGGGGCCATTGAGGTCACCTTCGAAAGCGCGATCGCGCCGGAGGCGATGGAGGTGCGGGCCTGCCAGTGCAGCTTCTGCCGCAAGCATGCGTCGCTGGCCGTCTCCGACCCTGCCGGCCATCTCCGCATCACCCTGCGCGACCCCACCGCCGTCCAGCGTTACCGCTTTGGGTTGTCCACTGCAGATTACTTCCTCTGCCGGCGCTGCGGGGTCTACGTGGCCGCGATCCTGGAGGAGGCGGGGCAACACTATGCCATCGTCATCGTCAACGCGCTGGAGGAGGCCGGGCGCTTCAGCCAGCCGCCGCTTGCCGCCGACTACTCCCACGAAGACGAAGCGGCCCGCCGCCGGCGCCGGCGGGAGCGCTGGACCCCGGCGGTGATCGAAGCGCCCTGAGGGGCCCCAAACGCCGGCATGCCGATCCCGACCCGGCTGACATCCACGATCTGCGGCGCAGGGACTGCCTGAAAGACGGCGCACAGCCATTGGGGCGTGTGGGCTGTCAACGCATGTGGGCGGCCCTCACCGCAACGTGATGGCGGCCGGCAGCGGGACGGGCTTGACCTCTGACTGCGTCCCCGGTTATAGAACGAACGTTCAAAAACGGAGGCTGCCGTGGCCCGGCCGCGCGAGTTCGACAAGGAAGAGGTGGTGGCGGCGGCCCTGGGGGTGTTCTGGCGCCAGGGCTATCAGGCCACCAGCGTGCAGGACCTGGTGGAGGCCACCGGCGTCAACCGCGGCTCCCTCTACGATACCTTCGGCGACAAGCACGGCCTCTTTCTGGAAGCGGTGGAGCACTACCGCCGCCGCTTCACCGGGCGTCGCCTGAGGCGCCTGGAAGAGCCGGGTCCGCTGCGCCCGAAGCTGGCCGCCTTCTTTGGCGACGTGGTCGAGTTTTCGGTCGGGGAAGGCCGGCTGCTCGGCTGCCTGATGACCAATGCCGCCATCGAGATGGCGCCGCACGACCGCGAGACGGCGCTGGCCGTCGCCGCCAACATGGGCAGCATGGAAAGCGCATTCCGCCGTGCCCTCACCGCCGCGCAGAAGAACGGGGAGCTTTCAGCCGACAAGTCGCCGCGCGACCTCGCGCGCTTCCTGACTGCAACCGCCAACGGCCTGCGCGTCATGGCCAAGGTGGCGCCGGAACGGGCGGCCTTGAAGAGCGTCGTACGCATCGCGCTGCAGGCGCTCGATTGATTTTTTGGGCCTGTTATTGAACGAACGTTCCAGAATTCCCATTGAATGAAGTGCACAAACCCCAATCAAGGAGACCCCTGAAAATGTTGAAGCCGCGCGAAGCCGCCCCCGAGATGTCCTTTCCCACCATCGACGGCGAAACCTGGACGCTGTCCGAGCGCAAGCCCCAGAGCCTGTCCATGGTCGTGGCCTACCGCGGCCTGCACTGCCCGGTCTGCCGCGGCTACCTGAAGGAGTTGAACGACCGGGTCGGCGAGTTTGCCGAGCGCGGGGTCGAGGTGGTGGCCGTCAGCAGCGACGGCGAGGAGCGGGCCCGCGCTGCCAAGACCGATTGGGAGTTGCCCGATCTCACCCTCGGCTATGACCTCGGCATCGAAGACGCACGGAAGATGGGGCTCTACATCTCCACCAGCCGCGGCAAGACCTCCATCGGCATCGAGGAGCCGGCGATGTTCAACGAGCCGGGCCTTTATCTGGTCAAGCCGGACGGTACACTCTACTCGGCCTTCATCCAGACCACGCCCTTCGCCCGCCCGAAGCTGGAAGAAGTGCTGAAAGCGGTCGACTTCATCAACGCCAACGACTATCCGGCCCGCGGCGAAGCCTGAGGGCGCGCCTGGGGATCAGCCGGTCGGAACCGGACGGGCTGTCACCCCCCTCCCGACCTCCCCCCATTAAGGGGGGAGGGGTTTTGTGACAAGCCTCAATGGATTTTCCCTCCCCCTTGATGGGGGAGGGGTAGGGTGGGGGTGAGCCACAAGCCCGCTGTGTACCCGCTTGCCCCTCCGCCTACTCCGCCGCGTACTTGGCGACCAGGGCGCGGGCTTCGGCCAGCAGGGCTTCGCCGTCCTTGCCCGCCTCGGCCATGGATGCCAGCCAGGTGTCGACCACCGGTGCGGTCGCGGCCTGCCAGCGGGCCAGCTCTTCGCCCTCGATCACATGGAAGCTGTCGCCCAGCTTGGCGGCGGCTTCGCGCCCCGGCGCCTCCGCCTCGTCCCAGAGCCGGCCGATCTTCTTGGCCAGCGGGATGCCGCTGTTGGCGTCGATGACCCGGCGCAGATCTTCGGGCAGGGATTCGTAACGGGCCTTGTTCATGGCGAAGAGGAAGACGGCGGTGTAGAGCCCGCGCTCGCCCCCCACCTCCGTATGGCTCTGGGTCAGCTCGTGCACCTTCAGGGGCAGGGTGACCTCGTAGGGCAGCATGGTGCCCTCCACCACGCCTTTCGACAGCGCCTCGGGCACGGCCGGAACCGGCATGCCCACCGGCGTCGCGCCCAATTCCTTCAGCGCGATGTTGGTCAGCCGTGTCGGCGCGCGCACCTTCAGCCCCTTCAGGTCCTCCAGGCTGCGCACCTCGGTGCCGCGGATGTGCAGGGTGCCCGGCGCATGGACGTGGACCATCAGCGGATGGACGTCGGCGAACTCGGCACGGGCGTGCTTCTCGTAGAAGGCCTGGGCGGCCTGGCTGGTGGCTTCCGCCGAGGCGGCCATGAACGGCAGTTCGAAGACCTCGATGGTGGGGAAGCGCCCCGCGGTATAGCCCGGCAGGGTCCAGACGATGTCCACCACGCCGTCGCGCACCTGATCGTAAAGCTGCGGCGGTTTGCCGCCCAGCTGCATGGCCGGATAGATCTCGATCTTGATGCGCCCGCCGGACTCGGCTTCCACTTTTTCCGCCCAGGGCGCGATGAAGTCCTTATGGGTGGTGGAGGGCGGCGGCAGGAAGTGGTGCAGCCGCAAGGTCACCTCCTGGGCCACAGCCGGACCTGCGGCAAACCCCAATCCGGCAATCATCGCCCCGGCAAGCCCTACAGCCAGCGCCCTGCGCCGGCCCCCAGTGGTCTTCTCCCCGGTCACCTTCTCCCCTGTCGTCTTCAGCATCTCACGTCCTCCCTTTCGGCCCCTTCGGCCCATCTTCTTCGCGCCACCGACGCGCCTGAAATGGCTTCTAGCCCGCAATGACTTCGGGGACGAATGACATAGAATGAGGCGCCGGGCAACGGAGTCCGCGGCATCTTGAGAGCACCCGCCGGTGGTGCGGCGGCCTCCGGTCAAAACATGGATGAGGACGGGGAGAGGCAATGAAGCTGCACAACTACTTTCGAAGCTCCACCTCCTACCGGGTGCGCATCGCGCTGGCACTGAAGGGCTTGGCCTACGACTACGTCGCCTACCATCTGCGCAAGGGCGAGCAGCGCGGGGCGGCCTACTTGGCGCTCAACCCCCAGGGTTTGGTGCCGACCCTGGAGACCGACGGCGGCGCGCTGCTGCCCCAGTCCCTGGCGATCGTCGAGTATCTGGACGAACTGCAGCCCGATCCGCCGCTGCTGCCAGCGACGCCGCTGGAGCGGGCGCGGGTGCGCAGCCTCGCCTATGCCGTCGCCTGCGACATCCATCCCGTGAACAACCTGCGCGTCCTGCAGTATCTGGTCGCCCCGCTGGGCCATGATGCCGCCGTCCAGGGCGAGTGGTTCCGGCACTGGGTGGCGGTGGAGTTCGCGGCGCTGGAGAAGCGTCTCTCGGAGGAACCCGAGACCGGACGCTTCTGTCATGGCGACCGCCCAGGCCTTGCCGACATCTGCCTGGTGCCCCAGGTTATCAACGGGAACCGTTTCGACTGCGACATGACGCCCTATCCGACCATCCGGCGTATTCACGAGGCCTGCATGGCGGTCCCGGCTTTTGCCGAAGCGGCGCCCGAACGCCAGCCGGACGCGGAGACCTGATTCTCTGCTGCCTATGCCCGGAGTCTCTTACGAATACACTGCCTTCACGGCACAGAATCCTAGTCATCCCTGGTGCCGGCAGCTTAGAATGCTCGCCCAATAACGAAATTCGGATAGATGGAGAGCGCCGCCGATGAAAGGTGACAAGCAGGTCATCGCGCACCTCAACAAGGTGCTGAAGAACGAACTGACTGCGATCAATCAGTACTTCCTGCACTCGCGGATGTTGAAGGACTGGGGCGTCACCCGGCTGGCCGAGCACGAGTACGAAGAATCCATCGACGAGATGAAGCACGCCGACAAGCTGATCGAGCGCATCCTGTTTCTCGAAGGGCTGCCGAACCTTCAGGATCTGAACAAACTGATGATTGGCGAGAACGTCAAAGAGATCCTGCAGTGCGACCTGAAGCTGGAAGAGTACGCCATTCCGGACCTGCGTGAGGCGATTGCCCACTGCGAAAGCGTCAGCGACTATGTGTCGCGCGAGATCTTCGTCGACATCCTCGAATCTGAGGAAGAGCACGTCGACTGGCTGGAGACCAATCTGGGCCTTATCGAGAAGATGGGCCTGGAGAACTTCGTCCAGCACCAAAGCGGCCACGACAGCGGTTCGTGAGCGGGGCCGCGGTCTTCGGGGCCCTGTGTTCGGGGCCATCTGAAAGGCTGACGCGGCGCCTACTTCGCCACTGACCCTTGAAGCCTCCGGCCATGGCCTCGTCCCCTGGCCGGGGTTTTTGCCTTGCTGAGCGGGAGAAGCTGGCCTTGAGGCGGGGGTTCGGCCGCAGGCGTGGTACGCGCCGCATTCCGGCTTCCGCTTCTACGCCGATTCACCAACCACTGAAGTACGGCGGCGAGTTGACCGTCCGGCAGGTTGCGCCAGAGGAACATCGCGAAGGCGCTACTCCGCCGCTACCCGGGCGGCGGTATGCACTTCGTCGACGATTTCCTGGGCGCAGGGGATGCAGGTGCCGCAGCAGGGGCCGTTGCCGAGCGCGGCATAGGCCTCGTGGGCGCAGCGGACGCCGCTTTCCGCAATTTCGCGGATCTCGGCATCGCGGTAACCGTTGCATATGCAGACGTACATAAGCTCCTCCGACGCCTGAGTATCGTGCGAATGATAATGATTGTCAATCGCGTTGATGAGAGTAAGATGCCTGCATTAACAGGGGATTGAGGGGGGAACGGAGGCCAGCGGCGATGGCCGCAAGACCCTGACTTTCCACAGTAATTGAGAATGAGATTCAGTCGCGATCACTGGCGGCGTGACGAACGCTCGGACAATCAAATCGGGCAATCAAAGCAGAAAGGGGAAACACAGATGAGACTCTCCGGAACACTGGCGGCGGCAGGCCTGGCGCTGATGCCGGCTGTCGCTCTGGCGGACGGCCATGCAGGTGCAAAGGTGGCGGTGCTGGAAACCTATGCGGATATCGCCCACGCAGGTTACGAGGATTCGCTGATCACCGCGCGGGACCTCCAAAAAGCGGTGGACGCTTTGATCGCCAATCCAACCGAGGGCAGCCTGGCCGCGGCGCGCGACGCCTGGATCGCCGCCCGGGTGCCCTACCAGCAGACCGAGGTTTTCCGCTTCGGCAACGCAGTGGTCGACGACTGGGAGGGCAAGGTGAACGCCTGGCCGCTCGACGAGGGCCTGATCGACTACGTGGACGGCGGTTTCTATGGCACCGAGTCCGACGAGAACCCGATCTTCACGGCCAACGTCATCGCCAACAAGACCCTCAAGGTGAACGGCGAGTCCGTCGATGCGTCGGTCATCACCAAGACCTTGATCGCAGACGTGCTGCACGAGGCCGAGGAGGTGGAGGCCAATGTGGGAACCGGCTATCACGCCATCGAGTTCCTGCTCTGGGGTCAGGATCTGAACGGCTCCGGCCCCGGCGCCGGCAACCGTCCGGCCAGCGACTTCAGCACCGCAAACTGCACCAACGGCAACTGCGACCGCCGCGCGGCCTACCTGAAGGTCGCGACCGACCTGCTGATCGACGACCTGGAGGAGATGGTGGCGCTTTGGGATGAGAACGGCCCCGCTCGCAAAGGCCTTGTGAGCGGCAACCCCGAGGCCGGGATCACCACCATGCTCACCGGCATGGGCTCGCTCTCCTATGGCGAACTGGCGGGCGAGCGCATCAAGCTGGGCCTTATGCTGCACGACCCGGAAGAGGAGCATGATTGCTTCAGCGACAACACGCATTACTCCCACTTCTACAACCAGATCGGCATCACCAACGTCTATCTCGGCACCTACAAGCGGGTCGACGGCAGCGTGGTGAGCGGCCCCAGCCTGTCGGACCTGGTGGCGGGCAAGGACTCTGCCGTCGATACGGAGATGAAGGAAAAGCTGGGGGCCGCCCGCACGGCCATGCAGGCCATGGTGGACCGCGCCAAGACCGTCGAAGCCTATGACCAGATGATCGGCGAGGGCAACGCCGAGGGCAACGCGGTCATCGAGACCGTGGTGCAGTCGCTGACCACCCAGACCAAATCGATCGAGCGGGCGGTTGCCACGCTCGGCCTGGGACAGATCGCTTTCGAGGGCTCCGACAGTCTCGACGATCCGCAGGCGGTGTTTCAGTAAGACAGAGGCGCAACGCACGTAGAGGCGGCCGCCACGAGACTGGGGCAGGGGCGGCGATCGGACAGCTCGCATCATGATCAGACCTTCCCTCTCCTTTCTCGCCTTGATCGCCATAATGAGCGGGCCGGCAGGTTCGCTTGCCGGCCCGACGCCCGAGGAGGCGGCGCGTATTGCGGATGTCATCCGACCGACTGCGGATTTCACCCGCGCCGAGCCTTTCGAGGCGCTGCCCGCGGGGGCGGCCACTTCGAAGAAGCGAAGTCTCGACACCAATTCCTTCTCACAGCATTCCGGAAACATGGACTTCGAGCGGCAGCTCGATTTCAAGCTCGGCAACGCGCTCTTCAAGCGACTCTGGGTCTCTTCGCCGGCCTCCACGGACTCGGCCGACGGTCTGGGACCGTTGTTCAACGCCCGCTCCTGCCAGCGCTGCCACCTGAAGGACGGGCGCGGGCACCCGCCGGTGGCGAACTGGCCGGATGACTCGGCTGTTTCCATGTTTCTGCGCCTCAGCATTCCGCCTGAGACCGAAGAACAGCGTGCGGATCTGGCTGCCAACCGCCGCAACGTCATCCCGGAGCCGACTTACGGTGGCCAGCTTCAGGACCTCGCCATCCAGGGCCACGCCGCCGAAGGCAAGATGCACATCGTCTACGAGGAAGAGCCGGTGACGCTGGCCGATGGAGAGGTCGTGAGCCTGCGGAGGCCGACCTACAGCATCACCAACCTGGGCTACGGGCCGCTGCATCCCGAGGTGATGATGTCGCCCCGGGTGGCCCCGCCGATGATCGGGCTCGGCCTGCTCGAGTCGATTGCCGAAGAGGACATCCTCTCCTGGGCCGACCCGGACGACGCCGACGGCGACGGCATCTCCGGCCGCGCCAACCGTGTCTGGGACAAGGAGGCCGGCGCGGTTGCCCTCGGGCGCTTCGGCTGGAAGGCGGGCGAGCCCACGATGCTGCAGCAAAGCACCCATGCCATCAACGGCGACATCGGGATTTCCGCGCCTTTGGCGCCGGCACCGGCCGGCGACTGCACGGCGGCGCAGAACCTTTGCCTGGACGCGCCGCATGGAGCCTCTGCCCGGCACGAGGGCTTCGAAGCGTCCAGCGAGATGCTGCGCCTCATCACGTTCTACAGCCAGAACCTGGCGGTGCCGGCACGCCGCAACCCCGAAGATCCCCAGGTCCTGGCTGGTAAGAAGGTCTTCTACGAGAGCGGCTGCATCGATTGTCACCGCCCGAAGTACGTGACCCAGCGCGAGGCGGTCGGGCGGGAGCAGTCGTTCCAGCTGATCTGGCCCTACACCGACCTGCTGCTGCACGACATGGGCGAGGGCCTGGCCGACAACCGGCCGGAAGGGCTTGCCAACGGGCGGGAGTGGCGCACGCCGCCGCTCTGGGGTATCGGGCTCACAGAAACGGTAAACGGCCACACGCAGTTCCTGCACGACGGCCGGGCGCGCAGCCTGCTGGAGGCGATTCTCTGGCACGGCGGTGAGGCTCAGGCGGCGCGGGACCGGGTGGTGGCGCTCGGCACGTCGGAGCGCGAGGCGCTTCTGGCATTCCTGAATTCGCTCTGAGGGGAAGGGATGAACCGGCAAATGAGTCCGTCCGTTCGAAGACTGTCGGCTTTAGCAACAGTGGGGTTGGCGGTCTCGTTCACGGCCCCGGCTGCTGCCGACGACTTTGCCGCGCTGAACGAGGTTGTCGTCGCCGACTATCTGCTGCCGCGCTACGAAGCCCTGGCCGACGCAGGCAGTGCCCTGGACGCGGCCCTGCGGCAAGGCTGCGGTGCGGGAACCCTCGGGGCTGATGCCAGCATCGCCGCCTATCACGAGATGGCGGATGCCTGGATGGCGGTTCAGCATCTGCGCCTGGGGCCCAGCGAGTTGTTTCTGCGCGCCGACCGCATACAGTTCTGGCCCGACAAGCGCGGCATTACCGGCCGCCATCTCAGCAGACTCGTGACCGAGGCCGATCCGGCCGCGCTGGAGCCGCAGCGCTTCGCCCAGGGCTCGGTTGCGGTGCAGGGCCTGCCGGCGCTCGAGCGCCTGTTCTTCGCGCCGCCGGAAGGTGCCGATCCCGCCTTCGCCTGCGACGTGGCGGTCGCCATCGGGGCCAATCTCAAGAGCATCGCCGGGGGAATGCTGGACGACTGGCGCGAGGGACCGACGCCCTATGCAGCTGTGATCAGGAGCGCGGCCGAGGGCAATGCCGCCTACATGGACGCCAAGGAGGCGAGCCTGCAGTTCGCCAAGGCGCTGCGTGCGGCTCTGGTGGCAACGACGGACCTCAAGCTCGACCGTCCGCTCAGCACAAGCGCCAAGGCTGTAAAGCCGCGGCGCGCGGAATCCTGGCGCAGCGCGCGTTCGCTGCGCAACATCAGGATCAACATCGAAAGCGCCGAAGCCCTCTACAGGGATGGCGGGCAGGCCGGCTTTGCTGCGCTTCTGCGCCGGCAAGCCGGCGGCGAAGAGGTCGACAAGAACATCGCGACCGCCTTTGCCCAGGCCCGCGCCCGGCTTGACGCCTTGCCGGACTCGCTGCAGGCGGCCCTGGATCAGCCCGAGGGCTGGCAACATCTCGATGACCTGCGCAGTCACCTGCGCGATCTTCTCGCGCTGCTGAGCGGGCCCTTCTCGCAGACCCTGGACCTGCCCCTGGGGTTCAACAGCTTTGACGGCGATTGATGGTGATGGCCATTGACCGGCGCAGTCTGCTGGCCGGGGCAGTCGCTGCTCCGCTGGCTTTGTCTGTGCGCCCAGCCCGGGGCGCGAGGCCGGTGCGCGTCTTCGTCAGCGCCTGCGGCGATGCGGCCGGGCGCTTTTCGGTCAAGGCGGTCGCTGCGGACGGCCGCCTGCTTTCCGACCTTCAGTTGCCCGGGCGCGGCCATGCCGCCGCGCGGCGGCCCGGACGCGACGAGGTTGTCGTTCTGGCGCGGCGCCCCGGGCGCTTTGCGCTGGTCATCGATCCCTTCGCCGGCGGCATCGTCCGGCAGATCGAAGCGGCCCCCGGGCGGCACTTCTATGGCCATGCCGTCTTCAGCCCGGACGGCCGCCGGCTGTTCGCGACCGAGAACGCCTACGCCGAAGGCCAGGGGGTAATCGGGGTGTACGATGCCGCCGCGGGCTACCGCCGCGAGGACGAACTGCCCTCCCACGGCGTCGGCCCCCATGAACTGGCGCTGCTGTCGGACGGGCGGCGTCTGGTGGTTGCCAACGGCGGGATCAGAACCCACCCCAACAGCGGGCGGCGCAAGCTGAACCTGGAAAGCATGCATCCGAACCTCGCCTACGTCGATGCCGGAAGCGGCGCTTTGCTGCAACGCCTGACGCTGCCCGGCGATCTGCACCGGCTGTCGATCCGCCACATGGCCGTGACCGCCGAGGACCAGGTGTGCCTGGCGCTGCAAAACGAGGGGCCGCGCGACCGCCTGGTGCCGCTGGTCGGCCTGCAGCGGGACAGCGCCCCGATCACTCTGGCGAAGGGGCCCGAGGGCGTTCTGCGGCGCATGCGCCACTATGCCGGCGGCGCGGCGCTGGATGATGAGGGCGGCGTGCTCGCCGTCTCCGCCCCGCGGGGCGGCCTGATCACCTTCTGGTCGTCGCAGGAGGGGGGCTTCCTCGGCAGCCTTGAGGTGCCGGACGGCTGCGGCCTCGCCGCAGCGGGCGGTGCCGGTCGCTTTGCCGTCTCAAGCGGCGCAGGGCGCTTGTTGATCTACGATGCGGTCAGCCGGCGGTCCGAGACCCTGCGGGACGACCGGCGCCATGGGCTGGCCTGGGACAACCATCTGCTGGCGTGCTGAAGCGGGAGGCCACGGGGAGGCCACGGGGAGGCCATGGGGCGGCCGTTCGGGCCGATTCGGGGCTGCTTTCCTTTGGGCCCCCGATCCTCGGGAGCCACGTCCTTCCCATCGGGGCTAAGTGCTGCTGCTTTCCCAGAGTGCAATGCAGAGGCCCGAGAACAGCACCGGGCCGCTGGGCGCCGCAGGGGCTGCGCCGCTGCTTTCCAGCGTCACCATCAGCGACTCCGATGTCTTCACCGCGTTCCAGGCGTCCTCATCCAGGGGCCGGCCGGCCCGATCGTCGCCGGCCAGTTGCAGCAGGGGACGGATCGTGCCGCTGCCGCGCTCCACGGCCCAGATCTGGAAGACTTCGGCATCCGGCCTTTCCAGCGGGCGAACCGGCTTTACCGAAAGCCGCCAGGGGCCCTTGTAGGCGGTCACGACCAGGGCGGGTTGCTCGGCCGCGTCCTCCAGCACCGCCACATAGCTCGGCAGCACCTGCTCGGGCGCCGTCGCGGCGATCTGCTGCTGCTGTTGCTGTGCTGGTTGCGAGAGGATGAACCCGGCATAGCCGCCGACCAGCACCACCAGCACCGCCGCCGCCGCGCCAAAGGGGCGCCAGAAGGCAAGGCTGTCCCAGAAACTGGAGCGTTCAGCCTCGGCCTGCGGATCGATCCTTTTGCGCAGGGCGCGGAACACGCGCTCCGGCGGTTGCCGGGGCGGGGTGTCTTCGGTGAGCGGCGTCAGCCGATCCTCCCAGGCCTCGACCTTGTTGCGCAGCGCCGGGCGCGTGCGCATCAGGGTCTCAAATCGCCGCCGCGCCGGGCCCTGCAGGGCGCCGACCACATACTGGCTGGCGAGCGCTTCCTGCAGCTCCGGGTCGTCGTACCTCATTGATCCAAACACTCCCTGACCTTGATCAGCCCGCGGCGGATCCAGGTCTTCACGGTGCCGACCGGGCGTCCAATCCGGTTCGCCACCTCCGTGGGTGTATAACCCTGGTGGTATGACAGCAGGATGCAGTCCCGCTGTTCTTCCGTCAGACCGGAGAGACAGCCCAGCACGCGCTGCATCTCCTGGCTTGTCTCGGCCTGGGCCGCTGGGTTCTCGCCGCTCATTCGCCGGTCCTTTTCAGGACTCCATTCCTCTTCGGCGGCGCGATAGTCAGCCTTGCGCAAAAGATCCAGCGCCTGGTTGCGAACAACGTTTATCATCCAGGTCATCGGCCGCCCCCGGCCCGGATTGTAGCTGTCGGCATAGCGCCAGATCTTCATGTAGGCCTCCTGCAGAGCCTCCTCCGCCCAGGCCTCACGTTTCAATATACGAAAGGCGATGCCGAAGAGTTTCGCAGAAGTGGCTTCATAAAGATCCGCAAAGGCTGATTGGTCGCCCAAGCTGCAACGCGAGAGCAGGAGACCCAGTCGTTCCGAGGACTCGAAGCTCGCCTTCGGCTTCATTACGTTTACCCTAAAATAAGCGGGCCGCTCCGGCTTGCGGTCCGGCTGCCAGTCCTTGAAGTATGGCTGGCCGGGCCAAAGAGATCGACCACCATGTGCGCCGCACCCCGAAGGATCCGGCGGCGGCGGTCGATTTCAACGCATGCTTGGGGATTGCTGTCGGCCAGAGTGCACCCATGACGCGGCGACGTCGGGCAGGATCATAACGGCCGATTCGCCTGTCGAACCAGCATCAATCCTGCAAAGCTGGGTTGCGGCGCGGTGCTTGGAGCGATTTGGGCTTGGAGCGATTTGGGCTTGGAGCGTTTCGGCCGCCGGACCTCTCGGCATATGCCCGTTCTGCTAGAAATACTTTACAGTCCACACTCGCTAATCATATTGATCAGACATACTGTTGAAACAAACTATCCGTAACGTAAAGCTCATTACTCTGTTACACTAAGTTAAGGTCTGACGAATATTTTTTGGGTATTCATTGGCGAATTTCGTGGCGTCAGCTATACCCGAAGCCTAGTGGCTTTGGCATATAATACGGTGCGATTCGTGGGGTTTACCTAAGCAGACCGGCAGCCTTCCGCGCCGGGCGATTTGGATCATGGGTGTCAGATGACCGGGCTTTCTTCAGCTGCACCTCAGGGGGCTTCGTCCTCGCGGCTGACCAGAACCCGACGGCGTGCCGCACGCCGTCGCCGCGGCCTCCTGCTTCCGATCCTCATGCTTGCTGTGCTCACGCTGATGGCGGTTGCCTTTGCGCTCTACTGGGGTGCGCGGGAGCTCAACGACAGCCAGGCGCAGGCGCAGGAGTCTCTCGTTTCGGCCAGCCTGGATGCCCGGCGCGAGGCCTTCCGCCATCTGGTGGTGGACTATGCCTGGTGGGACGAGGCGATCTACGTTCTCGATGTGGGGCTCGACGAGCGCTGGGCGCGGGAGGAACTGGGCGCCTATCTGCTGGAGGCCTTTGGTGTCACCGGCATCTGGGTTCTTGGGCCGCAGAACCAGACAAAAATCGCTTTCCTGGACGGCGAGCCGTCGCGGGTGGATCTGTTCGATCAGCTGCCGGCGACGGTAAACGGGCTGCTGGACGCGGCCCGCCTGGGCCGCAGCATAGAAGCGGTGCCGCCGGCTGGCTTCGTTGTCGTCGGCGGACGCCTGCACATGGTTGGTGCCAGCATCATCTCGCCCTTTGCCCAGGTGGGTGACCCGCCCAGTCCGGAAACCGCGTCCCTGCTGGTTTTCATGCGCCCGCTGGACCAGGATTTTTTCAGCGCGCCGAGCCTGGCGAGCTTTCTGAAGGATGCCGGCTTTGCCGAAGGCCCGGCGGCCGAAGGGTTCCTGGATCACGAGATCCTCGGGTTCGACGGCCGGCCGATCGGCTGCATCTACTGGCGTAACCAGAGGCCGGGCGATGATCTGCTCTGGGGCGTCGCGCCGCTGCTGTTGGGCGCGCTTCTGGTTTTGGTCTTTCTTCTGGTGCTGACGGTACGACGGGTCGAGGCAGTGGTGTCGCACGAGGGGCGGCTTTCAGCCTCGCTCGATCATGAACGCCAGCGGCGCGAGGACAAGTCGCGCTTCGTTTCCATGGTTTCGCACGAGCTGCGGACACCGCTGCAGGCTGTGGGCGCCGCCGCGGACGCCCTGGACCGCTATGGCGGCCGCATGGGGCCCGCCGAGATGCGCGAGGAGGTGGAGACCATCCGCCGCGGTGTCGATGCCTTGGCTGGGCTGGTTGACGATGTCCTGCTCATCGGGAAGGTCGGCGGCGAGGGCAAGGTGCAGTCGATCGATCTGGCCCATCTCTGCTCGGCGGTCTGGCGAGAAGTCTCGACGGCTCTCAAGGCGCACCAGGAACTGCGGCTTTCGGACCGGATCGGCGCGCCGATTGAAAGCGGCGCCCAGGTCATGCTCCACACGGTTCTGTCGAACCTGCTGCAGAATGCGGTGAAGTACGCGCCGGAGGCGGAGGCGGTCGAGGTCACGCTGTCCAAAGGGCAGGGGCGCTATGAGATTTCGGTCCGGGATTTCGGGCCGGGTGTCCCCCGCGAAGAGCGCGAGGCCGTGTTCGAGCCCTACTGGCGTGCCGATCGCGTGCTGGAAACCTCCGGCGCCGGTCTGGGGCTGTCGGTTGCGCGGGCAGCGGCCCGTTCGATCGGCGGCGATCTGACCATCGAATCCGATGGCCTGGAGCGGGGAAGCCGATTCGTTCTGCGCTGGCCGTCCTGACGGCGCATCGTCCTCGCTGCCGCCCTCGCCGCTTCTGACGTCCCCCAAACTTGCGTTCGTGCCGGCATCGCGCGTGCCATGCCGACCCTGTTGACCCCGTTCCCTGTTGACCCCGTCCCCTATTTCGCCCCCTCACCAGTCGCCCTGTATCCGCGCGCGACCAGCAAGTTGCAGGAAAGTAACGTCAAGTTAACACTGATGGTAAATTCATTTTCCCAAATGAATTACGAATGACACGTTATGGGTGCATACGCGTTCAAAGTGTGCTCCCTCATGACACCGCTTACCACGCCGCCTACTCCTAAACCCGCACAATTCTGGGATTTTTGGGCAAGCCAGGCTCCCTGGCAGGTGAATCGTAGTCGATTCGTCTACGAATCTACCGCCTTTGCTCACGTTTAGGTTGTCACAGCGAAGTGAGTTGACGTACTAGTACAAATAATCAGAAATACTTAGGCTTTACAGCTTGACCCTGGATTTGATCGTAGGTTGACCGCCAGGCTGGGCGTTGGATCGAATTTTTACCATCTTTACGAGAGATTTTCCTTTGTCGTCTGCGGTACCTATAGAATATAATCACTTCGGGGTCATGGAATCATCGAAATGTAGGGTGAAATGATGCTTGCTCACGAAACACCAGTCGGGAAGGCTAGGCAGGCGCATCCCGTCGACGTTCATGTCGGCGGCCGCGTGAGGCTTCGTCGCGTCTTTCTGGGATATTCACAAGAAAAGCTGGCCAATGCGCTCGGCCTGACATTCCAGCAGATTCAAAAGTATGAGCGCGGAGCCAACCGTATTTCAGCGAGCAAGCTCTATGAGCTGTCTCGCATCCTAAGCGTGCCGGTCACCTACTTCTTTGAAGGTGTGGAGTCCGACGGCGAGGCGGTGGCGAACGGCGCCGACGCTGCGGCCGGCGGGGCCGGGGCTATTCATTCCTCTGATCCGGATTTCACCAATCAGCGGGAAACTCTGCAGTTGATCAGCTCCTACTATCGGATTCCGGACTCCAAGGTCCGCGCCGAGGTGCTATCCTTGTTGAAGACCTTGGGCAGAACGTCCGAAGGCTGAGCGTTTTCGACAGATCCTAGGGAGGGCATGGGGGACCTCGCGCAAGCGGCAATGGGTTGCCTCCCGCGATCGCGGGTCGCCCGCCTCCGCAAGGTGGCGGCCTCCGACCTTCTTTCTGTGCGCTTAGGCTGGCGCACTGCCCTGGCCGGTCAAGGCGGCCGGCCTCCTCATCGCGGCTTGTGGGGTTCTTCTCTCACGACGGCTTGGCGGGATCGGTCATGACCGGCCTGCCGATCGATCAGGTCGATGCCCTCAGCAGGGTGAAGACGACTGAGGAGATCGGCGGCCTTCTTCAGGGTTTGGTTGAGGCGCTCGGTTTTGCGGCCTACTCCTACGTTCATGTCCGACCGCCGCTGGGCAAGCGCATCCGCTCCTTCGTCCCGGCCGATTCGCCGAACGGGCGCGTGGTGCACGAGTTTCTCGCCACCTTCCCGGATTCCTGGATTGGGCACTATCTGGCGCGCGGCTATGGCGATATCGATCCGACTTTCCTTGCCGCAACCGGCACCACGCTGCCGTTTGACTGGCTGACCCTGACCGCACGGGGCGACCTCAGCAGCGGTCAGCGCCGGCTGTTGAACGAGGCCGAGGATTTCGGCCTGGGCCTTGGGGCGACCGTACCCATCCACGGTCCGGACAGCGGACTGTCGACCCTCAATGTTACCGCCCGCCAGGCCCAGCCGGCCTTCGAGGGAACATATCGGCAGTCCCGCCATGACCTCGTCTGGATCGCCGCCCAGGTTCACGAGGCTTTTCTGCGGCTTTCACAGGACGCGCCGGAAACGCAGCGCGTGCGCCTTACCGACCGCGAACGCGACTGCCTTTTGTGGACGGCGCGCGGGAAGACCGCTTGGGAGGTCGGCCAGATCCTCTCTATCTCCGAAGAGACGGTACTGTTCCACCTGAAGAACGGCACCCGCAAGCTGGGCGTCTTCTCAAAGCATCATGCCGTCGTCAAAGCGGTCATGAGCGGATACATCATCCCCTAACCATCTGATTTCAATAAGGAAGCGTGCTGCGCGGGGGGCGTTGCCCCTCCCGGCAGCTTCCTGCTGCGGGTTTCTCCCCCCCATTTCTGGGGGGCTGCGGATCGCATCGCGGCGCGCTGAAATCACGGCGTATTCGGGGCCTTCGAAGCAAGGCCTGCCGGGATCCGAAACCAGGGGGGGACCGCGCCGTGATCGACGTTGTAACGCCGGATTTCTACAGCGCTTACGCCAAGGATCTGAGGGCGATGTTTCAACAGCGCTTCCGCGTTTTCAGGCAGCGGCTGGGCTGGGACGTTTCTTCCGAGGCGGGTGAGGAGCGCGACGGCTTCGACACGCTCTATCCGACCTACCTGCTTGCCAGCGACCAGGACGGCGCGCTCGTCGGCAGTTGGCGGTTCCTGCCGACGACCGGTCCCTACATGCTGCGCGATGTTTTCCCGGAGCTCCTGGAAGGCGAGAAGGCGCCTTATCATCCGCTGGTCTGGGAGGGCAGCCGCTTTGCGGTGGAGGGCCGCAGCACCCGCGGGCGCACCAGCAGCGAGCTGCTCTGCGCGGTGACCGAGACCTGCCTGGCGATGGGCATCCGCGAACTCATCACCGTCTACGACGCCAGGATGGAGCGCCTGCTGCCACGGCTGGGCTGTCCGCCGCGCCGGCAGTCTGAAGGCAGACGCATCGGCAAGGAAATCGCCTTCGCCGGCCGCTTTGACATGACCCATGCAACGCTGGCGAACCTGCGCGCGGTTGCCGGCATTCGCGGCTCGGTCATCCGCAACGCCTTCGCCCTGGAACAGCAGGCCGTCGCCTAGGCCGGGACGGGACCCGGGTGCGGAGCCAGACACTTTGATGAGAGACTTTTTTGGAGAGTGCAATGAGTAAGAATGAGATGCCGATTGAGCTGAGGCTCTGCGATCCTCTTCAGGATGCCGAGGCCATCAAGCGATGCCTCGATTACCTGAGGATCGAAGCCAAACGCACAGGGCTTTCCTTTGCCGCCCACCTGATCGGAGTCGCTGCGGAGGCCGTCGAGGACTCGATCGCGCTGACCGAGAAGTCGGTGGCTCAGGTGGAGCGCAAAGACGCCAAGCCGGTGCCCGACGTTTCCAACGTCCCATCGACGCAGCGCCACTAGACCGGCGCGGCTGCCGCTCCGCGCCCTGACTTCCCATGCGCCGCCCGTCCGGCGCTTTTCATCCGGCGTGTCGGTCACGCTCCGGAAAGCGGACCGCTCGTCCGCGGACTGGCTGGTGACGGCGTTTCACGCCCGGGTCCGGACCAACAGGAGATCTGCACCATGAGCCTTGTCGTCGATCGTTGCGAAGGGTTTGGAGATCTTGACCGCGGGTCCGCCGTTCCGGCCTTGAAGGGACTGCCGCTGCTGGGCCTCGCGCCGGCACTGCGCCGCGATCCGCTGCGCTTCTTCACGCGGGTGGCCGCGGACCATGGCGATGCGGTCTGGTTGCACCTGGGACCGGACCGGGTCCTGATGGTGAACGACCCAGCGATGATCCGTCACGTTCTGCAGGACAATCGCCCGAACTACGTGAAGAGCCGCTTCTACGACATGATGCGGCCGGTTCTGGGCGAAGGCATCTTTCTGGCCGAGGGCGATGACTGGCTGGGGCAGCGCAAGACCGCGCTGCGCAGCTTTCAGGGTTGCCAGCTGCGCCGCATGACCGCGGCGATGCAGGATGCGGTCGACGACATGCTGCAGCGCTGGCAACTGCCCGCGGCCCGGGGCGAGGCGCTCGACGTTGTGCCGGAGATGATGCGGCTGACCCTGGACATTCTGATGCGCACCCTGTTCTCCGTCCGGCTGGACGGTGACCACGAAGAGGTCTTTCAGGCCATGACCGTTGTGCTGCGCGACGCGGAGCGCCGCGTCTGGTCGCCGTTTCAGATGCCCCGCTGGCTGCCGACGGCGCGCAACCGGTCGGTGGCGAAGGCGCTCGCCGTCCTCGACCGCTTTGTCTACACCATGATCGCAGAGCGGCGTCGCGCCGGCGCAGAGGAACGCCGGGACAGCGAAGACGCAGGCGGCGATCTGTTGGACCTGCTTCTGGCCGCGCAGGGCCAGGACACCGACAGGAAACTGCGAGACCAGATCCTGTCGATGGTTCTCGCCGGTCACGAGACCACGGCCAATGCCTTGGCGTGGTGCTGGTACCTGCTGTCCCTGCACCCGGAATCCCTTCGCCGCGTCACGGCCGAGGCGGAGGCTCTGCCCGCGGGGCGCCCGCCGGCCTTCGCCGAGCTGGCCGGGCTGACCTATACGCGCTGCGTCTTCGACGAGGCCTTGCGGCTTTATCCTCCGCTCTGGACCTTCTCGCGCACGGCGCTTGCCGAAGACGAAATCGCCGGGCTGCCGGTTGCGGCCGGGACGAACGTCATGCTGAACGTGTTTGCCGTCCACCGCCGGCCGGAGCTTTGGGACAACCCGGAAGGCTTCGATCCGGCGCGCTTCGATCCCGAGACCGGCGACCCGCGCCGCCGCTTCGCATACTTTCCCTTCAGCGACGGACCGCGCAGCTGTCTTGGCGAGCGCTTTGCGGTTCTCGAATCCCTCATCGCCATCAGTTCGGTGGTGCGCCGCTTCGACCTGCACCTGCTTCCGGGGCAGGACGTCAGGCCGGAGCCGATGATCACGCTCAGGCCCCAGGGCCTCAAGATGCGGCCCTTTGCACGGACGGCTTAGGGTTATGCCCGCGCCCGTCTTGGTGATCCTGATCTATCTGATCGGGTTGGGTATCGTTTATCCGGCGCTGCCCTTCCAGGCCCTGGCCTTGGGAGCGAGCCCGCTTCAGGTGTCGATGATCCTGGTCACCGATACGGCCATGGTGCTGCTGCTGGCGCCGCTGTTCGGGCGCCTGAGCGACCGCTTCGGCCGACGCGGCGTGACCTGCCTGGCACTGGCGACCGCCCCCTTTGCCTATCTCCTGATGGCCTATGCCGACTCGCTGCTGATGCTCTTTGCGGCGCGGGCCCTCGCAGGCGTCAGCAACGCGGCGGTGCCGGTGATCCAGGCGCTCATGGCCGACAGCACCTGTCCGAAGCGCCGCGTGCACGGGATGGCCAACGTGAATTCCGCCTTCGCCCTCGCCTTTATCGTCGGGCCGCTGCTCAGCCGCAGCTGGCTGCTGGGGCCAGAGGGCGACGACTATCAGGCGGGCGCCCTGGGTGGCGCGGGCTTTGCCGTTTTGGCGGTTGTCCTGGCTGTCCTCCTGCTGCGGGAGGTCCGCCAGCCGGGGCAGGCCGGAGCCGCTGTCCGGTTCGCCAGCTCGCGGGCAGGCCTCCTGAAGGTTCCGCAGAGGCTGTTTCTGGCGCCTTTGCTGTTGGGGCCCATCGTGATCATGGCGCTTCTGGCCTTCGCCTATGCGGCGATGGAAGCGACGCTGGGCCTGTGGTCGGACCGGGTGCTCGCGTGGCGCGCATCCGACGTCGCCCTGGGGTTCATCTGCGCCGGCGTGGCCGCCCTGTTCAGTCTCTGGGTTCTGATTCCGCTGCTCTGCCGGCGCATCGGCGAGGAAGCCGTCGCCGCCGCTTCGTCCCTCGCCATGGTCTTCGGCTTGTTGCTCTTCGCCTTCTGGCCCGGCGACCTTGCGATTGCCTTTGCGATGATGCTTCTGGGCGCCGGCGTTGCGACGAGCCTTTCCTGCCTGCAGGCTCTTCTGTCCAAGGCGGCACCGGCTTCGGCGCAGGGGGCGGTGCTGGGCGTCAATCACGCCGTTCTCAGCATTGCGCGCATTCTGGGGCCGATCTGGGGCGGGTTTGCCCTCGGCAGTCTCGGGACAAGCTGGCCGCATCTCTCCGGCGCCGTTCTCGTTGTCAGTGCGCTGATCGCCTTGATCCTGCTGTACAGGCCGCGCGCGCAGCCCCAGGCACAGCTCCAGCCCCAACCCCAGCCTCAACCCCAGCCCCAGTCCCAACAACGTCAGACATCCCTGCTTTGAGAGGAGGCAAAGATGAACGTTGCCAGTTTCCTCGATGCCACTGCCACCCGAACGCCGGCGGCAACGGCCGTGGTCCACGACGGCAGGCGCTACAGCTACAGGCAGGTGGTGAGGGAGGCCAACAGGGTTGCCAACGGTCTGCAGGCCGAAGGCTTCGGCCCCGGCAGCCGCATCGCCCTTGCCTGCAACAACAGGCCCGGGTTTCTGGCCGCCTACTACGGCATCCTCAAGATCGGCGCGGTTGCCGTCGTGCTCAGCACGACGCTCAGAGAACGGGACATCCGCTTCCAGCTTGAAGACTCCGGTGCCGAGGCCCTGCTCTGCTTTGAGGGTTGCGGCGACCGGGCCTATGCCGATGAAGCCCTGCCGGCAGCCGATGCCGCGCCGCACTGCGCCAAGGTCTGGGTCATTCCCGCCCGTCCCGAGGCAGCCTCTACGGTGGCGGGCTATCCCGCCCTTGCCGATCTGACGGCCGGTCAGTCAGACCGCTGCGCCACGCGCAGCTACGCAGCTCAGGAGACGGCCGTCATCCTCTACACCTCCGGCTCGACGGGGCGTCCCAAGGGCGTCGAACTCACCCAGTCGAACCTCATCGAGATGGTGCGGATCAACCGCGGCCTCGCGGCGCCGGCGGCCACCGCCGTGCGGCTGGTTTCGACGCCGCTGTTCCACGTGATGGGCCAGATCTGCGGCATGAACCTGGCGGTTCTCAACGGCGAGACCATGGTGCTGGTAGAGCGCTTCGATCCCGCCCTGATCTGGCGCCTCATTGTCGAAGAGGCGGCGACCTACTTCGTCCATATGCCGATCTTCTACCGCTACCTGCTGGAGCGCGCTGATGCGGTGGACACTGCCGCGGTGCGGCGCAGCCTGCGCCTCTGTGCGACCGGTGGCGCGCCGCTGCAGGACGATCTCCGCACCGCCTTCCAGGCGCGCTTCGGTCTCCCCCTGGTTCCCGGCTACGGCCTGACCGAGGTGACGTCGATCGTGGCCTGGGGGGCGGATATGCCGCTGCCACGGGCAACCACTGTCGGGAAGGTGGTGCCCGGTGTCGAAGCGGTCGTCGCCGACGGGGCCGGCAGGGCGCTGGCGCCGGGTGAGGAGGGCGAGATTCTGGTGCGCGGGCCCGGGGTGATGAAGCGCTACCTCAATCTGCCTGACGTGACAGGGACCCGTCTCAGGCACGGCTGGTTCCACACCGGCGACATCGGACGCTTCGACGGCTTCGGCCGGCTCGACGTTCTCGGGCGCGTTGACGACAAGATCCTGCGCGGCGAGGAGCATATCTACCCGGCCGAGGTGGAAACGGCGCTCAAAGGCCATCCGGCGGTCCGCGAGGCGGCGGTCATCGGGATTCCCGACGACGTTCTGGGTCAGGAGGCGAAGACCTTTGTGGTGCTCAAGGAAGGCTGCGCCCTCAGCGGCGGCGACCTGCTCGGCTGGCTGGCACGGACGCTGCCCGACGGCAAGTGTCCGGGTCTGCTACAGTTTCAAGAGAGCCTGCCGCTGACCCCGACAGGCAAGGTCGCGCGCCACCTGTTGCGCTAGCGCTCCCGGCGGCTGGCCGGCGATGCTAACGGATTGTACACCATCGCTGGCTAGCCTGCGGTCCGTATACCACTTCCGTCCGTCCGCACCCGTCATCCAGACAGGGCATCATGGTAAACCGCAGCTTTACCGTCCGAGGGAAAGAGCGCCGCCGCGACCGCCGCCGGCGGCTTCAGCTTTCCGCAGAGATCGACGGCCATGCCGTCTCTCTGGTGGACATTTCCATTGCCGGCTTCGGGGCTGCGGTCGATGCAACGGACCGGGCAGCGCCAAAGCTGCCGCTCGGCCACCGCGGGCGGCTCGACATCTGGCTGTCGGATGGCCGGCGCATGCGCCTGGAGATAGAGATCGGGCGCGAGGTGGGCCCGGACGGCATGTTTGGCGGCCGCTTCCTCGATATCTCCGACGAGAACTTCCGGCTCATCGAAGCGATCCTGCTGGGCCGCGAGCATCTCGTCTAGAACGGATCCAGCAAGCCCGCTTCACTCTTACGGATGGAGCGGTGCGTTTTCCTCACACGGTTCTCGAAGAGGGGCATGACGGCCGGTCACGCTGTCTTTGACAGCGAGCCTGTCGAACCGGCTCAGTCGGTCTGCGCGACCTGGGTCGGGGCCGGTGCGGGCTTGCGCGAATAGAAGATGTGGAGGCCGATCTTGGGGCCCCGCACGAAGGCCTTGCGCCAGGACGGGCTCACATAGTCGGCGTGATACCAAAGCGCACCGCCAGTGTTGTCGCTGACACGGCCCCAGTAGACCTTGCTGGCCAGGCGCTCGCTCTCGGCCCAGGCGGTCATGTCGGTGACGAGATCCTCCTTGCCGTCGCAGTACCAGGAGAACTGGCACTTGTGCAGCACCTCGGCCGTGCCGTCGCGCACGACGTCGCAGACCGTCTCCGGGAAATTGCGGGAGGCGACGCGGTTCATCACCACATGGGCGACCGCCAGCTGGCCTTCCAGCGGCTCGCTGCGGGCCTCGAAGTAGATGTTCTGCGCCAGGCAGGTCAGCTCATCGCGCAGGTTGCCCGGGTCGGGCGTGTAGACGCTGGCGAGCTGCTCCTCCAGATCCAGCTGGCGGAGACCGACCTGGCGGATAAAGAAGAAGTCGGGGTCGATGTCCTTGACGTCGACGGGAATGAAGCTCTGGGCGGTCACCCGGGTCCAGGCGCTCTCTGTGCTGTCGCTGGTCGCCACATGGGCAAGCGCGGCGCCCGCGATCACACAGGCGATGGGTGCCGACACCGCAGAACAGACCGCCCCGGCGGAAAGACCGCGCAGGTTGAAGCCCAGCTTCGCCCCGGCTTTCACCCAGCCCCGGCGCGCGCGGGCAAGCCAGCGCTTCCGGTTGGGCCACCGAGGGGCCGATATGGCTTCACTGCGACTCATTGTCTGTCCTGTACCCTGTGAACGCGGCGCGGTCTGCGCTCTGTCGTGGTGGGGCGGGCGATGGTTTACCGAAGGCCGTGCTTCGGCCTCTCCCTTCCCTTGTACGCTTAACCGCTAGTAAAGGTTTACACAATCTTAACATCGCATATCAAGAACTTTCGCCAAAAGTTTGAGATAAATTTGCCACATTTTCTAGTAAAATTAACTATTAATGCCGAATATCTTTGAAAACAGCTTTGTATTGATGAGAAAGAAAATTTCGTTCTGAGTATTTTTATTTGGATAAGAAAACTTTTTCTCGATTTTCTGTGTTGGTATTCTGATATTGCTGAAAGGATAACTAAACAAACGCCTGGCGATTACATCACCTTTCGCCAGCGCAAAAGAGGACTCGCGGCGCAATCTACTGGCCGCCGGCCTGCCGGATCTTTCGCCCGGGCGAGGCGTTAACCATTGAATATTGGAGTCTGAAACAACCGTAGCGCCGCCCGGCGGGCCGGTGGGCCTCTGTGTCAACCGTAGGGCGCCCGGGAAGGGGGCGCAGGCGCAGGCATTGCTGGTTGACGGACGTGGTTAAGAAAGGGCGCGCCGGGCAGGCGTGCTGGACGATGGGGCGCTAAACGAGGGGGGCTCTAAACGAGGGGGTTGGGGCGCCGCGCCCAGGGAGCCTTGTGGATACCGCATTCGGTCTTGGCGCTGCCCTGCCAGCGCCCGCTGCGGGAAGCGCCCTCAGGGCCCCCGGAGGGGGCCGTGCAGGGCGCGCAGCCGATGGAGGCATAGCCCTGGTCTGTAAGCGGATGGGCCGGCAGGCCCCGCGACTCGAAGGCCCGGCGCAGCTCTGCGGAATCCCACTGCGCCAGGGGGTTAACCTTGATGCGGCCGGACTCGGCCTCGAAGACCGGGATCTGGCCGCGCAGGCCGCCCTGGAACCGCTTGCGGCCGTTGATCCAGGCACTGAAGCCGCTGAGGGCCCGCTCCAGCGGCAGCACCTTGCGCAGGCGGCAGCAGAGGTCCGGGTTGCGCCGCCACAGGGTGCCGTCCGCATCGGCGCGGGCAAGATCCTCGGTCGCCGGCGTCACCGAGCGCAGGTCTGTCAGTCCCAGCCGCTCCGCCAGGCGGTCGCGGTAGGCGAGGGTCTCCGGAAAGTGTTTCCCGGTCTCCAGGAAGATCACCGGGGTCGCGGGGTCGACCTGGGCGACGAGGTCCAGCAGCACAGCGGACTCCGCGCCGAAGGACGACACCACGGCGATGCGTCCGGGAAAGACATGCTTGATCGCCGCTTCCAGCACCGTCTCGCTGTCTACCTCGCTGGCGGCGGCGCCGTAGCGCAGCTCCAGAAGGCGGGCGCGCTCCTGCAGCCGCAGGGCCCGGTCCTGGTTGGCCGCGGGGCGAACCGTCAACGCCGATCTGCTCGTCCGTGAGGCCAGCACTCTTGCGACTCCCCGGTCCAGGCTCTTGCCCGAGCTCTGTGACTTGCGGCGCTACTCGGCAGCAACCGCGCGCGAAGATCGGAAGCCGGCGCCGAGCGCGCCGCTGGGCGCACGGCCGTCTGCAGTCGGCTGGTACCAGATCTGGATTTCCTCGATGGCGTCCTTCCAGGCCGCCGCGGTCTTCTCGTCCGCCACCGCGAAGCTGTCGAAGCCACAGCGCAGCATGAAGAAGAGCTGGTCGCGCAGCACATTGCCGACGGCCCGCAGTTCGCCCTTGAAGCCGTGGCGCTCCCGCAGCAGGCGCGCATAGGAATAGGCGCGTCCGTCGTTGAACTTCGGGAACTCCAGGGCGATGAGGTCGAAGTGCTTCAGGTCTCCAGCGATGTCTTCGGGCGGCTGGTCGCTGGCCAGACGCAGGCCCAGGCGGCCGTTGCGGCGCAGCAGCGCCGCGCGCTGATCGCGCCACTGATCCAGCGTGACGATCAGGTCCACCTCCAGAGAAGGGGTCTCCGTCGGCGCGGTTTGGCTGTCGTTTGCCGGCGCGTCGTCTGCCGGTTCGGACGTCTCGGGGAGGTCGGACCAGGGGTCGTCGGCGATCCGTCCGTCTTTAAGCAGCGGCATAGAGCTTCTCCTTGAACGGCGCGATGCCGACACGGGCGTATGTATCGTTGAACTTCTCGTTGTCCTGGCGCAGATCCAGGTAGGTCTCGACGATGTTGTCGACGGCATCGACCACCGCGTCGTAGGAGAACGCAGGGCCGACGATCTTGCCGACGGCGGCGTTTTCATCGGCGCTGCCGCCCAGGGTGATCTGGTAGAACTCCTCGCCCTTCTTGTCGACGCCCAGGATGCCGATGTGGCCGGCATGATGGTGGCCGCAGGCATTGATGCAGCCGGAGATCTTGATCTTCAGATCGCCGATCTCGTGCTGGCGGTTGAGGTCGCTGAAGCGCTGGGTGATGCGCTGGGCGACGGGAATGGAGCGGGCGTTGGCCAGGTTGCAGTAATCAAGCCCGGGGCAAGCGATGATATCGGAGACGAGACCGATGTTGGGCGTGCCCAGGCCGTGCTGGACCAGCATCTCCCAGACCTTGGCCAGATCGCTGAGCTTCACGTGCGGCAGCACCAGGTTCTGTTCGTGGGTGACGCGGATCTCATCGAAGCTGAACGCTTCCGCCAGGTCGGCCACGGCGTCCATCTGCGCGGCGCTGGCATCGCCGGGCGCCTCGCCCTCGGGCTTCAGCGAGATGGAGACGATGGCATAGCCGGGGACCTTGTGGGCGGAGACGTTGCTGCGCACCCAGCGGGCGAAGTCCCGATCCTCGAAGCGCCGCGCCTCGAAGCCGCGGTCACTCTCCGGCAGGTCCTCAAAGGCCGGCGGGGCGAAGTAGCTCTCGATGCGGGCGATCTCCTCGGCCGGCAGGGTGAGTGCGCCGTCTTTCAGATGCGCCCATTCCTCTTCGACCAGGCGGGTGAACGCCTCGGCGCCGGTCTGCTGCACCAGGATCTTGATGCGCGCCTTGTAGAGGTTGTCGCGCCGGCCGAGCTGGTTGTAGACCCGCAGGATGGCCTCCAGGTAGCTCAGCAGGTGGGCCTTGGGCAAGAACTCGCGGATGGTGGTGCCGATCACCGGGGTGCGGCCCTGGCCGCCGCCGACGATCACCTCGAAGCCGACCTTGCCGGCCGCGTTGCGGCGGACCTGCAGGCCGATGTCGTGGAAGCGCACAGCGGCGCGGTCGTTGGGCGCACCGGTGATGGCGATCTTGAACTTGCGCGGCAGGAACGAGAATTCCGGGTGCAGGGTCGACCACTGGCGGATGATCTCGCCGTAGATGCGCGGGTCCTCGATTTCGTCGGCGCTGGCGCCGGCGAAGTGGTCGGCGGTGACGTTGCGGATGCAGTTGCCGCTGGTCTGAATGGCGTGCATCTCGACCTCGGCCAACTCCTCCAGGATCTTCGGCACGTCTTCCAGCTTCGGCCAGTTGTACTGGATGTTCTGGCGCGTGGTGAAGTGGCCGTAGCCGCGGTCGTAGTCGCGCGCGACGCTGGCCAGCCTACGCATCTGGCGCGACGACAGCGTGCCGTAGGGCACGGCAACGCGCAGCATATAGGCGTGAAGCTGCAGGTAGAGCCCGTTCATCAGGCGCAGGGGCCGGAACTCTTCTTCGCTCAGTTCACCGGAGAGACGGCGTTCCACCTGTCCGCGGAACTGGGCGGTGCGCTGACGGACAAAGGCCAGATCGAATTCGTCGTAGCGGTACATCGTCTTGTGTTCCTCTCGCCCTAGGCTTCCGCCACCAAGGGGGCTTTACGATAGTCGGCGCGCACGGTCGGGCCGGCGGCACGGATGGTCTCCCGGGTGGACAGCGGCTGCAGGATGCCGTCCACCTCGGTGACCTCGACCAGATAGGGGCCGACGATCTTGCGTGCGGCCACGTCGGCCTCCGCACGCTTCAGCAAGTCGTCCTGGGCGGCGCTGTCGTTGCTGGTTACGGCTTGGTTCAGCCAGGCCGTCCACAGGCCGCTTTCGGTGAGATAGACGACATCGCCTTCGCGCAGGCGGTTGGCGGTGACGGCTTTCAGAGGCACAGGTTTCTGGGGCATCGCTGTGATCTCCGTCAGACGGCCAACGCTTCGGGCAAGCGCCGGGGGAGGGCGGTCAGTTCGGCCTCCAGGCCACGGTCTTCGCCGGTCATGGCCTTGCGGGCGACTTCGCCGATGATGATGAGCGCAGGTCCCGTGACCGCCGCCTGCCGCAGGCGCAGATCCAGGTCCTCCAGCCGCCCGGTGACGATGCGCTGGTCGTCGCGGGTGCCGTTCTCGATCACCGCGACGGGGGTCCCGGCGGAGAGCCCGTGTTCGATCAGGCGCTTCGCGACAACGCCGGCTGTCGAGACGCCCATGTAGACCGCCAAGGTCTGTTTGCCGCTGGCCAGGCTCGTCCAGTCCAGATCCGGCTCGCCGTCCCGCGCATGGCCGGTGATGAAGGTGACGGCCAGGGCCGTGCCCCGCAGGGTGAGCGGAATGCCCGCTGCCGCGGCGCAGCCCGCCGCCGCCGTTACGCCCGGGACGACCTCGACCGTGACCCCGCGGGCCTCCAGATAATCCATTTCCTCGCCGCCGCGCCCGAAGATGAAGGGGTCGCCGCCCTTCAGGCGCACCACCCGGTGTCCGGCCAGGGCGTGCTCGGCCATCAGGGCGTTGATCTCGTCCTGGCTCTTGCTGTGGTTGGCCTTGGCCTTGCCGACGTAGATCCGCTCCGCATCGCGGCGCGCATAGTCGACGATTTCCGGGCCGACCAGCTTGTCGTAGAGCACGACATCGGCTTCCTGCAGGCGGCGCAGGGCCTTGAAGGTCAGCAGGTCCGGGTCGCCCGGACCGGCGCCGACGATGGCGACCGAACCGGCCGGCGCGGCCTGCGACGCCGGGCCGTTGATCAGGCCCAGCATGGCCTCGCGGGCTGCGGTTTCGCGCCCGGCCAGTACTTCTTCGGCGACCGGTCCGGTAAAGAACCGCTCCCAGAAGCGCCGGCGGCCTGCGGGGGGAATGGTCGCGCCGACGGCGGCGCGGAAGGTTCCGGCAAAGCGCGCCAGGGCGCCGAGGCGGGCCGGCAGCATCGCTTCGATCCGGGCCCGCAGCTGGCGCGCCAGGATCGGCGCGTCGCCGCCGCTGGAGATACCGATCACCAGGGGGTCGCGGTCGATCACCGCCGGCATGATGAAACTGGAAAGGTCGGGCCGATCAACCACGTTGACGGCGACGCCGGCTTCGGCCGCCGCTGCGGCCACCGCCTCGTCCACGGCCGGCTTGCCGCTGGCGGAGATCACCAGGGCGCGTCCCCGGACGTCTTCGGTCCTGAACGGACGACACATCCATAGGACCCGGCTGTCGCGGGCCTGCTCGGCCATATCGGTGCTGAGGCGCGGCGCCACCAGGGTGACCTTGGCGTGCGCCTTCAGCAGCAGGCGCAGCTTGCGCAGCGCCAGTTCGCCGCCCCCCACCAACAGGGCGGAGCGGCTGGAAAGATCGTGGAAGGCCGGGAAATACCGCATGGGTCCTGCTTTCGTGCCGGTCGGGTCTCCGTTGCCGCGGCAGCATGCTGCGAAACGAAAATCCGATACAAGTCAGTGTGTTAGAGTGCCGTACCCAGTTTGCAATCGGCCAGTGGCGGTCGGTGCTAGGCATGCCCGGGCCAATTTCACAAAAAACGTAGGGTGATCATTTTCAATTGTCCATAGGAAAATGTATAAATTGGGTATTACACTAACTAATAGTGTGCATTAGATGATACGGAGCTTCCCGGATGACAGGGGGCCGCCGCCTGCGTATCAATGCGCTGGAGGGGGGCCGTCACCGCGGCCGCAGGAAAGCAATCAGCCGTCTCGAGGGAGCGGCCGTCTCGAGGGAGTGATTGAATGATCCGTGGGTTGTCTGCCGGGCGTTTGGCGGCGCCGTTGCTTTGCGTCGTGGCGATGGGTCTTCTGGGTGCCTGCAGCGCCATGCCGTTTCAGGTTTCCGGTTCGGACGAGGCCGTGGAGTCCGCTCGGGCGGAAAGCGCCGGCCTGCTGCCGCGGTTGCGGCCCTATGCCTTCGGCCTTTGCTACAGCCCGGCGGTGAACGAGGATTCGGAAGTCGACGACGAAGCGGCCTACATCTGCGACGGCGGGCGCCTGGTGCGCAAGAACGAGGACGTTTTCTGGAACGGCTGTTCGCTGACCCAACCCAACCGGGTCAATTTCGTCTGCTTCCCGCCGGACAAGGCCAAGCGGCCGACAGCCTCCCAACCCCAATAACCGGGCCGAAAAGGTCTGTCCTGCCTCAGACCGGCAGCCCGTGCCGGGCGAGAGCTGCCAGGCTGTCGGCGCGCTGGCTGACCACCGCTCGGTCCCCTTCCAGGCGCAGAACCGGGCAGGGGAGGGTTTCCAGCCAGGTTTCGTGCATTTCGCGGCTCCGCCCTTCCGGGGGGCCGATTTCGTACTCGGCGGCCCACTCAAGAAAAGCGATGCTGGCGTCATGGCGGTCGCCGCCGGGTTCGATCCGGTTGCCGTAGCGCTCGACCTCCCGCCGGCGCAGGCGTTCCAGGCGCACCCCGGTGGGCACTGAGAGGAAAATCACCAGGTCGAACTGTGGGATGAGCGGCGCGCCCCAATGGCCGATGGAGCCGGAAAGCACCCATGATCCGGCCTCGGCGAAGGCCCTGTTCAACAGGCGCAGACGCTCCTCGACCGGTCGTTTCAGCGTGTAGGGCGGATCGCCTGGCTGCCAGTAGAATTCATCGGTATCGAAGCGGGCCACCCCCAGATGCTCTGAGAGCGCATGGCCCAGGGTCGAGGTGCCGCTGCCGGAAGCGCCGGTGATGTGCAATCGGATCATCGCTCAGGAGTCGAGCCGGGCCCATTCGTCGAGGACGCCGGGGTCGCTCTCGGCGGCCGCATGTCTGCTGCGCAGGCGCGCGACGGCTTCCTGCGGCAACAGGCAGAGCAGGGCCCAGACCGCCGCGCCGCGTACCAGCGCGGAAGGGTCATTCAGCAGGGCCTCGATTGCTTTTGCTGGTGCCTTGTTCCCGGCGTTGCCAAGGGCGATCAGCACATTGCGCAGGAAGCGGTCGCGCCCGATGCGCTTGATGGGCGAGCCGGCAAAGAGCCTGCGAAAGCCGGCGTCGTCGAGGTCGAGAAAGTCGGCCAGCCGCGGCGCGGTGAGTTCGGCACGGGGCAGGAAGGCGGCCTCGCGGGTCGGCTGCGCGAACTTGTTCCAGGGGCAGACGGCAAGGCAGTCGTCGCAGCCGTAGATGCGGTTGCCCATGGCCTTGCGGAACTCCAGCGGGATCGGCCCCTTGTGTTCGATGGTGAGGTAAGAGATGCAGCGCCGCGCGTCGAGTTTGTAGGGGGCCGGGAAGGCGTCGGTAGGGCAGATGTCGAGACAGTTGCGGCAGCTTCCGCAGTGATCGCTTTCCGCCCTGTCGGCTTCGACTTCCAGATCGGTGTAGACCTCGCCGAGAAACAGCCAGGAGCCCAGCGCGCGCGACACGAGGTTGCTGTGTTTGCCCTGCCAGCCGAGGCCGCCGGCCTGCGCCAGGTGTTTTTCCATCACCGGCGCGGTGTCGACGAAGACCTTCACTCCGGCCGCCAGATCCTCATGCATCCAGCGCGCCAGGGCCTTCAGACGCTTCTTCATCAGGTCGTGATAGTCGGCGTTGCGGGCGTAGACGGAGATTGCCGCACGCTGCGGTTCGTCCAGCAGCGCCAGGGGGTCTTCGGCGGGGCCGTAGTTCTGGCCCAGAACGACGACGCTGCGCGCTTCCGGCCAGAGCGCCTTCGGGTTGGCGCGGCGTTCCGCATTGCGGGCCAGCCAGTCCATCTCACCGTGATAGCCCGCCGCCAGGAACTCCTTCAGCGCGGCGGCTGCGTCGGGGGCGACCTCCGCCCTGGCAAAGCCCACGGCGTCGAACCCCAGCGCCAGGGCCCGCTCCCGGATTGCCGCCTTTTTAGAGGGCAGGGAGGTCTCCCGCGTCCTGTTGCCCGGTAAACGCTGCGATGAAATCGTCAAGCCGCTGGTCCTCGATTGCCTGGCGCAGGCCGGCCATGAGTTCCTGATAATAGGCCAGATTGTGGCGGGTCAGCAGGATCGGGCCAAGCATCTCCTTCGCCTTGAAGAGATGGTGCAGATAGGCGCGGGAGTAGTTGGTGCAGGTCGGGCAGGGGCAGTCCGGATCCAGCGGGCGGGCATCGTCCTGATGGCGCGCGTTGCGGATGTTCACGCTGCCGCGGCGGGTGAAGGCCTGGCCGGTGCGCCCCGATCGGGTCGGCAGCACGCAGTCGAATATATCGATGCCGCGGGCGACGGCGCCGACGATGTCCGCCGGCTTGCCGACGCCCATGAGATAGCGCGGATGGGTTGCCGGCATATGCGGGACCGTGGCGTCCAGCACCTCGAACATCACCGCCTGTCCCTCGCCGACGGCCAGCCCGCCGACCGCATAGCCGTCGAAACCGATCTCGATCAGCGCCTCGGCGGAGGCACGCCGCAGCGCCGGATAGACACCGCCCTGGACGATGCCGAAGAGCCCATAGCCCGGCCGCACGGTAAAGGCCTTGTGGCAGCGGGCCGCCCAGCGCATGGAACGCTCCATGGACTCGCGCGCTTCCGCCTCCGTCGCCGGGTAAGGCGTGCACTCGTCGAGCACCATGGTGATGTTGGCGTCGAGAAGCTCCTGGATTTCCACCGCCCGCTCCGGCGTCAGGGCGTGGCGCTCGCCATCCAGGTGGGAGCGGAAGGTGACGCCCTCCTCGGTGATCTTGCGCAGTTCCTGCAGCGACATCACCTGGTAGCCGCCGGAATCCGTCAGGATCGGCCGCGGCCAGTTCATGAAACGATGCAGGCCGCCCAGGCGCGCAACCCGCTCCGCCCCTGGGCGCAGCATCAGGTGGTAGGTGTTGGCGAGCAGGATCTCGGCCCCGCTTTCGCGCACCTGGTCAGGAGTCAGTCCCTTCACGGTGGCGGCGGTGCCGACGGTCATGAAGGCGGGCGTATTGATCGTCCCGTGCGCCGTCTCAAGCTGCCCGCGGCGGGCCTTGCCGTCGACGGCACTGACCGCAAAGCGGAGGCCGTGGGCGCCGGCAGCGGTTTGTTCGGCCCTGTTCACCGGGCGCCCTCCGGCTCCAGCAGGCAGGCATCGCCGTAGGAGTAGAAGCGGTACTGCTCAGCGACGGCGTGGGCGTAGGCGGCCTCCATGCGCGCCTTGCCGGCAAAAGCGCAGACCAGCATGAAAAGGGTCGACCGCGGCAGGTGGAAGTTGGTCAGCAGCAGGTCCACGGCCTTGAAGCGGTGGCCCGGCAGGATGAAAAGATCGGTGTCGCCGACGAAGGGCGTGACCGTGCCGTCGTCCGCGGCAACGCTCTCCAGCAGGCGCAGCGCGGTGGTGCCGACCGCGACGATGCGCCCGCCAGCGGCCCGGACAGCATTGATCCTGTCCGCGGCGTCGCGGGTGATTTCGCCGGTCTCGCTGTGCATCCGGTGGGCGGCGGGGTCGTCTGTCTTCACCGGCAGGAAGGTGCCGGCGCCGACATGCAGGGTGACCGCCACCCGGTCGATCCCGGCCCCTTCGAGTGCGGCCAGCAGGCTCTCGGTGAAGTGCAGGCCGGCGGTGGGCGCGGCGACGGCGCCGGCCCGTTCCGCGAAGACCGTCTGGTAGTCCTCCCGGTCCTGCGGATCGCCCCCGGAGTCGCGCTTGATGTAGGGCGGCAGCGGCATGATCCCGTGGCGGTCCAACGCGGCCAGCAGGTCGCTGCCCGCTTCGTCGAAGACCAGGGTGACTTCGCCGCCCTCGCCCTTTTCGGCGACCGCGGCGCCGAAGTCCTCGGCGAAAACGATCCGGTCGCCGGCAGAGAGCTTACGCGCCGGGCGCGCAAAAGCCTTCCAGGTCCTGGCCGAGGTGCCGGCGTCCACCGCCTTGTGCAGGGTGACCTCGATGCCGCTGCTGCCCCTTGTGCCGGTCAGCCGCGCCGGGATCACCTTGGTGTCGTTGATGACCAGCAGGTCGCCGGGGCGCAACAGGCGGGGCAGGTCGGCGATGGTCCGGTCCGCCAGAACCGGCCCCACATGCAGCAGGCGCGCGGTCTCGCGCGGCTCGATCGGATGCTGGGCGATCAGCGCGCGCGGCAGGTCGAAATCGAAGTCGTCGGTGCGCATGGCGGTTTCTGGGCGAAGGCCGGATCTGGGAGGTGTTCGGTTCAGGGCGAAAGCCGGGACGGTTGTCGTATCACCCGCGCGGGGACAGGCCAAGCACCCCGGTGAACTCCCCGGCTGGTTCCCAGGAGAGGCACCGCTGAAGAACCGGCGGCCGGTCAAACCGCCAGTCTGCGGTCGTAGCGCAGGCCGACGCTGACCCGCGGCGTCTCGAAGCGGTCGACGAAGTGAAAGGGGCGGTCGGTTCTGCCATAGAGCCCTGGTCCGCGCATCAGCACCAGCCAGCCGGGCGGCGCCGCCACCGCCCGGGCCTCCGCCCCGCTGCGGTCGCGGCAGACCGCAAAGCGGCAGCGTCCGCTCAGGGTGATGACGGAGATGAGGCCGCGGTAGGCGATATGGTCGCGGTGGGGCGTGATCCCGCCGGAGCCTTTGGGGTAGCGCTGGACGATGAGATCGTTGACGGCAAAGCCTTCCGTCAGGGGCGGCGGCGTCAACAGTGCCAGGGCATCGGTGAAGGCGGCGTCCAGCGCCGCAGCGCAGGCGGCAAGAGCGCCGTCATCGGGAACCGCGCAGCTCACTTCGCAGTCCTGCCAGACGCGCTTGTCGCCTTCTCCGATCACCGGTCGTGCCGGGCGGTAGCGCAGGCTTTGAGAGTCCGCGATCAAGGCTTCGATGGCCTCTGGCCCCAGCAGCGGGAGCGAAACGGCATCGGCCTGCGGCAGCGCGGCGATCGCTTCTGCAAGGGCTCTGCGGCCGCTTTGGAAACGCTCGAAGACGGCGGTGCGACTCACTGTTCGCCCGAGGCGCTCGTCGGGGCCTTGGTTTCGGGTGAGGGAATGAGCAGCACCGGCGTGGCCGGCTGCGGCCCGCCGGCGGTTTCCAGCGGCGGCCGCAGGTAGAGGTTGTCCGCAACGGTGGGGACCTGCGGCACGGCCCCGGCGATGGTTGCCGTTTCCGGCATCGGCGGAACCGCTCCGCGCGCAATCGCATCGCCACGACCGCCGGCGTAATCGTCTGCGCGATACGTGGCCAGCCCCTTGCTGTCGATGACGAAGACGACCTCACCGGCGGGGCCGGAGGCGGCCACTGGCGCGGCGGCACGAGGGGTCTGCAGGGCTTCAGGGGCGGCTGTCGCCGATCCGAAGGTTCGGGAGTAGACGTCGCGATAGGGAGAGCCCTGGGCAGAGGACGCATAGGTGGGTGAAAAGTAGCCGCCGTCCTGGGCTGCGGCGGGGACCGGCCAGAGCGCAGAAAGACCAAGCAGGCTCAAGGCCGCTGTCATCGTCGGAAGTCGTGCCACCGCCATCGTTCCTTCCCCCGAAGGCACTGCAGTCAACAGCCGCCATAGTGGCGCTGCAGTGGCCTTGGCGTCCAGAGACAATGCATCCGCAGAAGCCGTTTCACGGCGCCGATGCCGCCGGCTTATCGGCCCGCTTCGCCCGCCAGACGCTGGCCGTCGCGCCAGGCCCAGGGCGCGACGAACTCGCCTTTCCAGAGGCCGCGCCGGGCTTCCTCCGCGCCGTGCTGAATCGGACCGAAGAGCGCCCCATAGCGCTCTGCGGGATCGTCATCAGGCCGGACCAGAGCCCAGCCGGTGTAGATCATGCCCTCCGAGAGGTCGTATCCCGCCGCGGTGCAGCGCGCCAGCGGTACATCGGCGGATGCGGCGCGGCCTTTCAGCCGCCGGCATTCGACCTCGACACCGGCGGTCAGATCCATAAGGGCCGCCTGCGCAAGCAATCCACAGTCATAGAAGCGCTCTTTGCGGGTGCAGCGCTGCGCCAGCTCGGGCGCATCGACCCCGGCCAGATCGTAGTTCTGCCCGGCAACGGAGAGCGAGTCGCCATCGATGATCTCGGCCGTGCCGCGCACCGGCGAACCGCTCTCGGACCGGGCGCTCTGCTGAGACCAGGCCACAGCAAGGGCGGCCAGGACGAAAAGGCCCGTCCCGGCTGCAGCCGGGGCACGCCGACGCCCGTTACTTGACCCGCCGAAAGACCTCTCAGCAGGCCCCTCAGCAGGAAGGACCGCAGCGATGCTCGCCGATTGTCTTGACCAATGCATAGATCTGCCGCCGGACCGTGGCATCCTCAATTCGGCTGTAGGCTTGGACGAGACGAAGCATATCACGCTGGGTCATCAGGTCGGACACACGTTCCGGTGACTCGATGTCGGTCTGGCCGGCGGCGGGCGGCTGTCCGGGCGCTTCTCTGGCGGAGAGCTCCTGGAAGAAATACTGAACCGGGACCTGCAGAACCTGGGACAGGCGGTAAAGGCGGCTGGCGACGATACGGTTGGTGCCGCGCTCGTATTTCTGAATCTGCTGAAATGTAATACCCAAAGAGTTCGCCAGGCTGCTCTGGCTGAGGCCAAGGGCCAGGCGCCGGAGCCGCAACCTGGAACCTATGGAGACGTCGACGGGGTCGGGCTTTGCGGGAGTAATCGTGGGAGTCTCAGACACGCTGTCATTTCTCTCATTCTGAATGACCCCGCGGCGATGGGTTGGTGATTCGGAGTTTTGTCTCAAAGGGTGACCGCGCAGACTTACTGCGCAAGCTTCTCGCGGATCAAGTGATCGATTTGTTCATGCAGACGTATTCATTTGTTCATGAACAACACTGGGTTGAACGACCGGCCCGGCACGCGCGAAAGAAACGCCGCGAACATCGCAGGTCAAAACGTGCAGAGGCATCGTAAACCAGCGCGTGCAGCCTTCTCCGCGCTGCAGCGTCTAGGCAGGCGAACGGGCGCGGATGCGGCTCGACAGAAGAATCAATTCCTCTATGCGAGGCCCGGTCGGTTTGGCTCAGGTGCTGGGCTTGCGCAGGGCTGCGCCCTCGGCCGCTGTCTCTGCGCCGCCGGAGCGGCTGGCAGCGCCGTCCACCGAAGCGGTATCGGTCGGTGCGGGCTGCCGCGCCGCGCAGCAGTTCACGTAGAGCTCGCTCAGGGCGCTCAACATCTTGCCCACCTCGGGGCTGGATACCGAGTAGAGCACCGTTTGCGCGTTGCGGCGGGTCTTCACCAGGTTGTCCCGGCGAAGCTTGGCCAGATGTTGGGACAGGGCGGATTGACTGAGCCCAACCAGCCGGCAAAGCTCGGTCACGGAGTGTTCGCGTTCGGACAGGTGGCAGAGGATTACCAGGCGCCGCTCATTGCCCATGGCTTTGAGCAGGCGGCTCGCCCGTCCGGCGGTCAGAAGAAGTGGTCCGTATGGCATATTAGGAAACGTTGTTCGGGGGTGGGGCAGGTCAAGCGCAAGCCGCGAACTTTTTTTGTTCCCAATTATCCGAAAGGCGGTGAGGTTTTCCGAAGTCTTGCGGAACGGCGGGATTTCTGGGGGAATGGCGCCGATTCGCCGTGGAGGACCTCTATTTTACTAACAACGGATGTAGAAATGAAAGATGTCTGAGATGTCGAAAACCGTGCTCGACGCTACCGGGCTGCGCTGCCCGCTGCCCGTCCTGCGGGCCCGAAAGGCGATGAAATCGGTCGAAGCCGGCGCGGTCCTGGAAGTCATCGCCACGGATCCGGGCGCGGTCGCGGATTTCCAGGCTTTTTGCCAGACCACGGGCGATGAACTGCTGTCCTGGGACGAGGCGGAGGGCCGCTTTACCTTCCAGATCAGGAAAGCCGGCTAGAAGCGGCGGGGCCGCGCCGGGACCGTTCCCGACAGCCCCGGCCTGCCGGGCCCACTCTCATGGGCCTTGTTTCCTCCTGCGCCTTGCTTCTGCCGGCCTTACTCTCCGGGGGCCGGCTGTGCGGGGCCCGCCACCTTCGGGCCGGACGCGGCCTTGCGCCCTTCCAGCGCGCCGACCAGCAGCGCCATCATCGGCGGGATGATCAGCAGCGTCAGCATGGCGGAGAGGGAGAGGCCGCCGACCACCACCGACCCCAGGCCGCGATAGAGCTCCGAGCCGGCGCCGGGGAACAGCACCAGCGGCAGCATCCCGAAGACCGACGTCAGGGTCGACATGAAGATCGGCCGGATGCGGTTGCGCGTCGCCTCGACGATCGCCGCGCCGGCGGCCAGGCCCTCTTCGCGCAGGTGATAGAGCGTCTGATGCACCAGCAGGATGGCGTTGTTCACCACGATGCCGATCAAAATGACGAAACCGAGCAGGGTCAGCATGTCGAGCGGCTGGTAGACGGAGGTGTTGAGCACAACCAGCCCGGCCACGCCGCCGGCGGCGGCCAGAGGCACCGAAAGCAGGATGATCAGCGGATAGATGAAACTCTCGAACAGCACGGCCATGACCAGAAAAACGATGGCCAGCGCCAGCAGGAGATCCAGGACCATGGCTTCCCAGGTCTGGGTCAGTTTATCGGCCGTGCCGGAAATGTTGAACGTGACCCCGGGCGGCAGGCCCTCGGCCTCCATCGGCTCCATGACCTCGCTGCGCAGGGTGTCCAGGGCGGCTTCCAGTGGAATGCCGGGGGCGGGGCGGATTTCCAGGGTGACGGTGCGGAAGCGCTCGCGGTGGCGGATTTCGGTGGGTCCCGAGGTCAGCACCACTTCAGCCAGAGACGAAGCCGGAATGATGTCGCCGCTGGGAGTCACCACCGGCAGGCTGGCGATGCCCTGGGTCTCGACGACGTTGTAATCCGGGCCTTTCAGCATCAGGTCCAGGCGGTCGGAGCCGACGGTGACCTCCGCCACCCTGAGGCCGTCATTGAAGGTGTCGATGGCTTCACCCAGCTCGCGCGCGGTCACGTTGTTGTCGGCAAGGCGCAGGCGGTTGGGGAAGAGCCGCACTTCCGGTGCGCCCAGTTCCAGGCCCGGGTTCGGGCGCAGCTGGTGGCCCTCGCTGCGCGGCAGGATCTGCGAGATTCGGCCCACCGCCTGTTGGGCGACGCCGAGGATGGTCTCCAGCTCCTGACCGGAGATGTCGAAGTCGATCTTGCGGCCCGAACCGATGCCGCGCCCGAAGATCGACGGCTGGTTGATGAAGCCGAAGGTTCCGGGCTCGCGGAACACCGGGCCCTCCAGGACCGGGATCAGCTCCGAAGCGCGCTGCGGGTCGACCGCGGTGGCGCCTAGGAAGGTGGTGGCCCTGGTGGCGACGAAGAAGAAGCGTTCGATCTGCGGCGGCTCGGCGTTTTCTGCCCCGCCGGGCCAAAGAGACCTCAAAGCCCCGGTGAAGCCTTCCCCGATGCCGTCCAGGGAAAAGCCGTCTTCTTCCTGGGTTTGGTAGCTGTCGGCTTCCATGCCGCTTTCGGTGATCCAGAGCGGCCGGGTCGCGGCTTCGATGCCTTTGGCGATGTCGGTGGTGGTGCCGAGGTTGTAGCCCGGCGGCGGAATGATGATGCCGAAAACGAGGTTCCGGTTGCCTTCCGGCAGGTATTCCAGCTTGGGCAGGAAGTGCCAGGCGCCCATTGACGCCGCTGTCGTGACGGACGCCACGACCACGAAAGCCACCAGGCGGCTGGCGACCACAAGCCGCACGAAGCCCATGATGATGGCGATGAGCCTTTCCGCCAGCCAGTCGACCAGCGGCAGGCGCAGACGGGTGATGCTTTTCTCGTCCAGCTTCTTGCTGCCGCCGCTCAGCAGCCAGCTGGAGAGCGCCGGCAGCACGGTGACCGAGACCAGCAGCGACAGCATGACGGAGACCGAGATGGCCACCGCGATATCGCGGAACAGTTGGCCCACCTCCAGCTGCATCACCAGGATGGGGATGAACACCATCACGGTGGTCAGGGCGGAGACGAGCACCGCCCCCCAGACCTGCTTGGCGCCCAGATAGGCGGCCTCGCGGGCCGGCCGGCCCTGTTCGCGCAGGCGGTAAATGTTCTCCAGCACCACGATGGCGGCATCCACCACCATGCCGACCGCAAAGGCGATGCCGGCCAGGGAGATCACGTTGATGGAGCGTCCCATGGCGGCCATGGCCACGAAGGCGCCGATGACCGAAACCGGAATCGCGATGGACACCACCAGGGTGGCGCGGACGGAGCGCAGGAAGACGAGAAGAATAATGGCGGCAAGGGTCCCGCCGACCCAGATGTTCTGCTGCACCAGATCGATGGCGGAGTTGATGTAGACCGTCTCATCGTAGACCTGGCGCAGCCTCAGGCCCTCGGCCGGGATCACCCCGGCCCGCAGTTCTTCGACCGCTGCCTTGATGCCGTCCATGGTCTCGATGACGTTGGCGCCGGTTTCGCGCTGGGCGTTCATCGCCATGGCGCCCTGGGCGAGCATGCGGATCGAGGCCCCGGCTTCCTTGTAGCCGTAGGAAACCTCTGCGATGTCGCCGATCCGCACCCGCGCCAGGCGGCCGCTGTCGTCATTGGAATCGCTGCGCACCACGACGTCGCGGATCGCTTCCAGGGTGTTCAACTCGCCCTCGGTGCGGACCACGTAGCGCCGCTTGCCTTCGTCCACGTCGCCGGCGCTGAGCGAGGCGTTGGCGCGGCGCAGGGCATCGACGACCTCGCTCACCGTCATGCGGTAGCGCGCCAGCACCTTGGGTTCGACGATCACCTGGATTTCCCGCTCCGTCCCGCCGAACACATTGACGCGGCTGACGCCGGGAACGCGTTCGATGCGCTCGCGCAGAATGTCCTCGGCGAAGTCGCCGTACTCGTGGATGGGCCGTTCGTTGCCGTCCTCGCGGGTGATGATGAACCACGCGATGGGACTGTCTTCGCTGCCGGCGGTATCCAGCGAGGGTTCGTCGGCCTCGTCCGGATAGCCGTTCACCCGGTCGAGCCGGTTGGAGACCAGCAGCAGAGCGCGGTCCATATTGGTGCCGACGGCGAACTCCAGGGTGATGCGGGCCCGGCCCTGCTCGGAGCGCGAGGTGATGGTCTCCAGGCCCTCGATACCTTTCAGCTCTTCTTCCTGGCGGTTGGTGATCTCTCGCTCGACCTCGGCCGGCGCGGCGCCGCCCCAGTTCGTCGATACGGTGATGACCGGCCGGTTGACATCGGGCGCCAGCTGGATGGGGATGGTCTGCAGCGCGACGATCCCGAACATCACCACCATCAGCACCGCGGCTATGACCGCGATCGGCCTTTCGATGGCGAGCTTGATGAGGTTCATCAGGTTTCTCCGTCGATCTGGACGGCGGCGCCGGGGCGCAGGCGTTCATTGCCGCGCACCACGGTCTGCTCGCCTTCGTCGAGGCCCTGGACGACCTCGTAGCGGTTGCCGACCGGCTCGCCCAGCACGATCGGGCGCGGCTGTGCCTGACCCTCGGAGACAACGAAGACAATGGTGCCGTTGGGACGTTTGATGATGGCGTCCTTGTGAACGGAGACGACGTCCCGCGGCGCGCCAACCGGCACCATCACGGTGACCGACTGCTCGTTGGCAAGCGGGCTGTTGATCTCTCCGAAGCGCGGCACGAAGCGCACGGCACGGGTCCGGGTCAGCGGATTCTCGTCGGGGATCACGGCCCGGACCGTCGCCCCGATCAGGGTCCCGTCGTCCAGCACCACTTCGACGGCGGCGCCGGAGGTGAGTCCCAGCAGCCGGTTGGCCGGCACGTCAGCCTCCACCTCCAGGGTCTGATCGGCGATCATGCGCACCACAGCCGCGCCGTCCTGCGCATAGGAGCCGGCCTCGCTCAGGCGCTGGGTGATCACCCCGTCATAGGGCGCGCGCACGGTGGCGTCTTCCAGGTCGATTTCGGCCAAGCGCAGCGTGGCGCGGGCGCTGGTCACCGCGGCCTCCGCTTCGCTGGCCGCAGCCTCGGCGATGGCGACCTCCTGACGGGCATCGTCGAAACGGGCCTGGCTGAAGGCGGCGGACTGCTTCAGCCCCTCCAGGCGCTGCAGTTCCTGTCGTGCCAGGGTGATCTCGGCCTGCTTGGTCCTCAACTCTGCCCGGGCCACGGAAAGGCCCGCGGCCGCCAGATCCCGTTCGGCCTCCATCGACACCCTGTCGAGCACGGCAATGACATCGCCGGCCGCAACCCGGTCGCCGACCTCGACGGTGTACTCCTGGATCGGGCCGCTGACCCGGGCGGCGACCGACCCGGCCTGTCGGGCGACGAGGCGGCCCACCACAGGCACCGTCTGGGTCAGCGGTTCGCTGCGCACGGCATCGACACGCACCAGGGAGGCGTTGTTTTGCGCCGTTGCGTTCTGAACCGCGAAACCGCTGCCAAGGCTCGCTCCCGCAAGACAGACCACCGCAATCGCCAGACACCGGCGTGCCGCCTTCAACCCCATGTTTCGCCTATCTCCAAACACCCTGCCGACGCCGCGACTCTCGCGCAAATTGGCGGGATCTCAAAAAAACTAAATAGATCATTGATTTGGCGTCTGGCCGCAGGGAGTCAATGGGCCAAGCCAACAACTGCGGCAGCATAGGCCCAGTCTGCGCCGCTGTCTCCTGACAATTCATTTAGGCAGGAAACCGCATTTCGGTTGAAATTGCAGGGATGACGCCGGGCGGTCACGGGCTATGATGGGCCGACCCCCCAGAGCCAGGGCCGCCGTATGAGTACGCTTCTTTTCAGTCATCCCGCCTGCGAGCAGCACGATCCCGGGCCTCTTCATCCGGAAAATCCGGGCCGTCTCAAGGCCATCATGAAGACTCTCGACAGTCCCGAGTTTTCCGGTCTGCTGCGCCGCGAAGCCCCGCGCGCCGAGCATGGACAGATTGCGCGGGTCCATCCTGACAGCTTCGTGCACGAGGTTCTGGCCGCCATACCGGACCATGGCGACCGCATGCTGGATGCCGATACCATCGTCTCGCCGGGCTCGGGCGAAGCCGCATTGCGGGCCGCCGGCGCGGTGGTCGCGGCGGTTGACGCGGTGATGGCGGGCGAAGCCGACAACGCCTTCTGCGCGGTCCGCCCGCCGGGCCACCATGCCGAGCCGCGCCAGGCCATGGGCTTCTGCCTGTTCAATAATGTCGCGGTCGGCGCCCTGCATGCCCGCGAGGTGCACCGCTGCCACCGCGTCGCCGTGGTCGATTTCGATGTCCACCATGGCAACGGAACCCAGGCCATGTTCTGGGACGATCCGGACCTGTTCTACGCCTCGACGCATCAGTTTCCGTTCTATCCCGGAACCGGACGCGCGCAAGAGCGCGGCGTTGCAAACAACATCATCAACGTGCCGCTGCCGCCGCCGGCCGGATCGGCGGAGTTCCGGCAGGCGATGCGCGACTGTGTGATTCCGGCCATGACGCGCTTCGAGCCGGAGTTCGTGTTCATCTCGGCCGGATTCGATGCCCATGCCGACGACCCCCTGGCCAGCCTGAACTTCGTCGAGGAGGACTATGCCTGGGCGACGCAGCAGTTGATGGAGCTGGCCCGCAGCGCCTGTGGGGGGCGATTGGTCTCGGTTCTGGAGGGGGGCTACGATCATGCGGCTCTGGCCAGCTGTGCCGCAGCCCATGTCCGCACGCTGATGCGCTTTTGACCTCTGGCGCCGACTGCGTTAAAGGGCGGGACCGCTGAATTGGGAACGACGCCGGCCGCCCGCAGCGGTCGACATGGCGCACGAGGACCAGACACACCCCGGGGGGGAAACGGATGCCCAAGAACGAGGTTCCCAACGACATCCAGGCGATGAGCTTCGAGGAGGCGCTCGACGCCCTGAAGCAGATCGTGGCCAAGCTGGAGCAGGGACAGGGCGCCCTTGACTCCGCGATCGAGGATTACGAGCGCGGCGCGGCCCTGAAGCGCCATTGCGATCAGAAACTGCGCGAGGCGCAGGCCAAGATCGAGAAAATCAGCCTTTCGGCCGACGGCACGGCCGACACCACCGCGCTCGATGTCGACTGAACAGGGGTGACCGGGGCGCAGACGATGAAACTTCAGGATGCCTTGGCCAGCCAGGGAGAAACGATTTCGGCCCTGCTCGACCGGATGCTCCCGAAGACCGACGGACCGCGCGGGCGCGTTGTCGAGGCGATGCGCTATGCCGCCCTGTCGGGCGGAAAACGCCTGAGGCCGTTCCTGGTGCGCGAATCGGCCCGCCTCTTCGATGTCCCCGAGCAGCAGGCGCTCAGGGTCGGGGCCGCCATCGAGATGGTGCACTGCTACAGCCTGATCCACGACGATCTGCCGGCGATGGACGACAGCGACCTGCGGCGCGGCCGCCCGACGGTTCACATCGCCTTCGACGAGGCAACCGCGATCCTGGCCGGCGACGGGCTGCTGACGGAGGCTTTCGCGGTTCTGTCCGGGCCCGAGACCCATGACCTTGCGGCGGTGCGGGTTGAATTGTTGCGGCAACTGGCCGCCGCGGCCGGGGCGGCGGGCATGGTGGGCGGCCAGATGATCGATATGTCGCCGGAGCGCGCTGAGCTTGACCTGGCCGGAATCTCCCACCTGCAAAGCCTGAAGACCGGGGCGCTGATCCTGTTTTCCTGCGAGGCCGGCCCGATCCTGGCACAGGCGCCCGAGCCTCAGCGGCAGGCGCTGAAGGACTATGCCCGCGATCTCGGCCTCGCCTTTCAGATCGCCGACGACATCCTGGACGCCGAAAGCACGCCGGAAGCGCTCGGCAAGCCGACGGGCCAGGACGCAAGTCTCGGAAAAGCCACATTCGTCGGCCAGCTTGGCATCTCAGGCGCCCGTAACAAGGCGGAGGCCCTGGTGGATTCAGCCTGTCGGCGGCTTGATCTTTTCGGCCAAAAGGCGGACCTTTTGAGAGAGGCGGCGGCCTTTGTGGTCGCGCGACGGTCGTGAGGCCCCGGTAAGACCCGGACGCTTCCGCGATCGGGGCTCCAAAGCCGTGGCAAGGGGTTCGCAGGAAGAGGCGCCGCGCTGAAGGATGCCGCAGCAAAAGATGCAGCAAAAGATAACGATAAAGCAGATAGAGCATAGGAGTGGCAGAAGCCTTGGCAGAGATCGGTCATAATCGGCGCCCGACGCCGCTGCTCGACAGCGTTTCCGACCCCTCGGATCTGCGCAAACTCGACGAAGGACAGCTGCGTGACTTCGCCGACGAACTGCGTGCGGAGATGATCGAGGCGGTCTCCGTGACCGGCGGCCATCTGGGCGCCGGCCTTGGTGTCGTCGAACTGACGACGGCCCTGCACCATGTCTTCAACACGCCCGATGACCGGCTGATCTGGGATGTCTCCCACCAGTGCTATCCGCATAAGATCCTGACCGGCCGGCGTGACCGTATCCGCAGCCTGCGCCAGGGCGGCGGGCTCTCCGGCTTCACCAGCCGCAAGGAGAGCCCTTACGACCCCTTCGGTGCGGCGCACAGCTCGACCTCGATTTCCGCCGGCCTGGGCTTCTCCGTTGCGCGCGACTTCCGCGGCGATGACAACGCGGTCATTGCGGTGATCGGCGATGGCGCGATGAGTGCCGGCATGGCTTACGAGGCGATGAACAACGCCGGAGCCATGAACAGCCGTCTGATTGTCATCCTCAACGACAACGACATGTCCATCGCGCCGCCCGTGGGGGCGATGAGCGCCTACCTCTCGCAGCTGATTTCCTCCAAGCCGTTCCAGTCCGTGCGCAGCCTCGGGCGGGTTGTGGCCAAGCGCTTCCCGCGCCCCATCGAGATGGCGGCGCGCCGCGCCGAGGAATATGCCCGCGGCCTGCTGACCGGCGGCACGCTGTTCGAGGAAATGGGTTTCTTCTACGTCGGGCCTATCGACGGCCACAACTTCGACCATCTTCTGCCGGTGCTGAAGAACGTGCGCGACGCGGACTACGAGGGCCCGGTGCTGATCCACTGTGTGACCCAGAAGGGCAAGGGCTACGAGCCGGCGGAGGCGGCGGCGGACAAGTACCACGGCGTCGCGAAGTTCGATGTCGTCACCGGCAAGCAGGCCAAGCCCGCCCCCAAGGCGCCGGCCTATCAGAACGTCTTCGCCAAGGGTCTGATCGCCGAGGCGGAGCATGACGACAGGATTGTCGCCGTCACCGCCGCCATGCCGTCCGGTACCGGCCTCAACAAGTTTGCCGAACGCTTCCCGGATCGCACCTTCGATGTGGGGATCGCCGAGCAGCACGCGGTCACTTTCTGCGCCGGCCTGGCCTGCGAGGGCTTCCGGCCTTTCGCGGCGATCTACTCGACCTTCCTGCAGCGCGCCTATGACCAGGTCGTCCACGACGTCGCGATCCAGAGCCTGCCGGTGCGCTTTGCCATCGACCGCGCGGGCATGGTGGGGGCCGACGGGGTTACCCACCAGGGCAGCTACGATCTGACCTACCTGGGCTGTCTGCCGAACTTTGTCATCATGGCGCCCAGCGACGAGGCCGAACTGATGCACATGGTGGCGACCGCCTGCCAGATCGACGACCGGCCCTCCGCGCTGCGCTATCCGCGCGGCGAGGCGCTGGGGATCGAGATGCCGGAGCGGGGGAGCGCAGTGGAAATCGGCAAGGGCCGCATCCTGCGTGAAGGCAGCAAGGTTGCCATCCTGTCGCTGGGCACGCGCCTTGCCGATGCCCTGGCCGCTGCCGACGATCTCGCCGCCCGCGGCCTGTCGACGACGGTGGCCGATGCCCGCTTCGCCAAGCCGCTGGACGAGGACCTTGTACGGCGTCTTGCCGGCGAGCACGAAGTTCTGATCACGGTCGAGGAGGGCGCAATCGGCGGGTTTGCCACCCAGGTGATGCAGTTCCTCGCGCGCCAGGGACTGTTCGACAAGGGGCTGCGCTTCCGCCCGGTCACCCTGCCGGACTTCTTCATCGATCACGACAAGCCGGAGCGTCAGCTGGCGCTGGCCGGGGTCGACCGCGAAGGCATCCTCGCCGCGGCGCTGCAGGCCTTGGGCCAGCAGGAGGTCGAGTCACCGGCCCGCGCCTGATCTCCGGCTAATCCCCGGCTGATCCGCCCCGTGATCCCCGGGGCGCAAAGGAGAGGCGGCGTTGCGGCGCGCCCGGTCCCTTATTGCAGATTGATCGGCTGGGTGCTCGCCGGCGCTCCGGGTTCGCGCACCCGGTAAGCGGGGAACCGCAGGGTGACCGTGGTGCCGGCGCCGCGCTTGCTGTCGATGGCCAGGGTGCCGCCATGCATCTCGATGAGGCGCTTGGTCAGGGGCAGGCCGACGCCCAGGCCCGAGGGGTGGCGTGCCTCGCTGCCGCTGATCCGGCCGAAGGGTTCGACGGCCTCGCGTACCTCGGCTTCGCTCATGCCACAGCCGTCGTCCGAGACCGAGATATCGAAACCGCCATCGGCGCGCTGCGCGGTACGGATGGCGATCTCGCTGCCCTTTGCAACGTGGCGCGCGGCGTTGCCGACCAGATTGACCAGCATCTGGGTGAGCTGATGCTGGTCGGCCAGCATCCTCGGGTCCTTCAGGCTGGAACTCACCACCGCCGTTGCGCCGAAGCGGTCCAGTTCCGGCTGGGCCAGTTCGACGGAGAGCCGCGCAACGCTTTCCGGGTCGATGACCGATTCCTGCAGCCGCAGACCGCCCCGTTCGGCCCGCGCGAGGTCCATCATCCCGTTGAGAACGTTCAGCAGATGATGCCCGCAGTTCTCGATCTTGGTGGCATAGGCCGGATAGCGCTCGTCCTCGATCGGGCCGAAGAACTCCCGCCGGATGATCTCGGCGAAGCCCAGCATGGCCGACAGCGGCGTCCGCAGTTCATGCGCCAGATGGGCGATGACGTCCATCTGCGCCTGGTGGGAAAGCTCCTCCTCGGCGCGCTGCAGGCTGTTGAGGGCCCCCGCGACCTCCTGGCTGATCCCCTGGGACTCGGCGCCCAGAAGCCGGCGCAGACGCCGCAGTTCCATTTCTCCGATGACCAGATCGGCGAAGTCGCGCAGCTGTGCCTGCTGGGCCTCGTCCATAGCCTGGCGGGGCTTGGTGTCGATCAGGCAGAGGGTGCCGAGGCGGAAGCCGTTGCGGGTGACCAGCGGGGCGCCGGCGTAGAAGCGGATCTCCGGGTCACCGAGGACCAGCGGATTGTCCGCGAAGCGCAGGTCCTTGGTCGCGTCCGGCACCTGCAGAACCCGGTTTTCCATGATCGCAAACTGGCAGAAGGAGTACTCGCGCGGCGTCTCGTCGACAGCCAGCCCGACCTTGGACTTGAACCACTGCCGGGCCGGATCGATGAGGGAAATCAGGGTGATGGGGACGTCGAATTGTCCCGCGACCAAGCGGGTAATACGATCGAATGCCGGCTCCGGCGGGGTGTCCAGGATATCCAGAGCCTGCAGAGAGGCCAGTCGCTGGACTTCGTCAAAGGGAATCGGGTTCATGCGGCGGTGATCGTCCCGGATGAGTATCGCTTGGCCCAGATGGTCATTAGTCTTGTCATGATTAATGAACTGTTAACACTTGTGCAAATCGGGGCCCTTCTTCGCCGTTGCCTTTGTCCGGAGCCCATGGCAGATCATGCAGGGCCTGTGTTCCAGGCTTTCAAGTCGCCGTTTGCATGACCGCCCTGCAGCTTATGCGGGTTTTCACGGCCATATATAGTCTTCATAGTGCAAACGATGTCAAAAACAATGGCTGAGACAACCGCCCCTCTGACAGCGCCCCCACCGCACTCCCTATGGCGACGCGAGATCTGGGCCACGCTGCGCCTCTCGGCGCCGCTGGCGCTCACCCAGCTTGCGATGATCGGCATCAACACCACCGACATCGTCATGATGGGTTGGCTGGGGCCCGCGGATCTGGCGGCCGGCGCCCTCGGCATGAACATCTTCATCCCGCTCTATCTGTTCGGCATGGGCATCGCCACCGTCGTCACCCCGATGACGGCCCAGGCGCTGGGCGCGCGGGACTTCCACGGCGTGCGCCGGACGGTGCGCCAGGGCTTCTGGCTGACCCTGCTGTTTGCCGCCCTTTTCAGCCTGATCATCTGGAACGGGCGCTGGCTGCTGCTGCTCTTCGGCCAGGAGGCGGACACCGCGCTGCGGGCCGACGACTATCTGAAGGCGGTGACCTGGGCGATGCTGCCGTCGCTGTGGTTCGTCGTCCTGCGCTGCTTCGTCACGGCGCATTCGCGCCCGCGCTCGGTCCTGATCATCACCCTGGCGGCGGTGGCCGCCAACGCGATCGGCAACTATGGCCTGATGTTCGGCAACTTCGGCCTGCCCCGCTGGGAACTGATGGGGGCCGGTGTGACCAGCTCCATTGTGTCCTGGCTGATGCTGCTGGCCATGCTCGTTTTCGTGCTGCGGGACCGGCGCTTCAAACGCTATGCGATCCTCGTGCGTTTCTGGCGGCCGGACTGGCCGCGTTTTCGCGAGCTGTTTCGCATCGGCCTGCCGATCGGCCTCACGCTCCTGTCCGAAACCAGCCTGTTTGCGGGGGCGGCTTTCCTCGCCGGCCTGATCAGCACGGAGGCCCTGGCCGCCCACGCCATCGCGCTGCAGTGCGCTGCGGTGGCCTTTATGGTGCCCCTGGGAATCAGCCAGGCGTCCATGGTCAGGGTCGGTCTGGCGGCGGGCTCCCGCGATCCCGCGGCGGTCGGCCGTGCGGGCTGGTCGTCGCTGCTGGTCGGCATGCTGTTCATGACCGGTTCGGCTCTGGTGTTCTGGTTCGCCGGCCCCCAGCTGGTGGGCCTGTTTCTGGATCGCGACCTGCCTGCCAACGCGCCGGTGGTGGAACTGGCGGTCGCCTTCCTGGTGATCGCCGCCCTGTTCCAGCTCGTCGACGGGGCCCAGGTGATCGCCATTTCGGCCCTGCGCGGCCTCAAGGACACCAAGGTGCCGATGTGGCTGGCCATGACCGGCTACTGGGGCGTTGGCTTCACGACCTCCGTCGTCCTGGCCTTTCCCCTTGGCCTGGGCGGACAGGGGGTCTGGACCGGCCTTGCGGTGGGGCTGGCCTTTGTCGCGCTGACCGCTGTCTGGCGGTTCCACCGCCGTGCCCATTTCCTGCCCAACGGGGGCTTGGCGCTCGCATGAGCCGCGCGGCCAAGACCCGCGCCCCTAAGATTCGCATCGACGTGGCCCTGGTCGAGCGCGGACTGGTGGAAAGCCGCGCCCGGGCGCAGGCGCTGGTGATGGCCGGCAAGGTCTTTGCCGGCGAGCGCAAGGTCCAGAAAGCTGGCGAGGCGGTGGCGCCGGACCAGCCGCTGGAGGTGCGCGGCCAGGACCATCCCTGGGTCAGCCGCGGCGGCCTGAAGCTGGCCCACGCCCTGGCGCATTTCGATCTCGATCCGGCGGGCCTCGTCTGCCTGGACATCGGCGCCTCCACCGGCGGCTTTACCGATGTGCTGCTGCAGCACGGGGCGGCGCGGGTCTATGCCGTGGATGTTGGGCACGGCCAGCTGGCCTGGAAGCTGCGCAACGATCCGCGCGTGGTCGTGCTGGAGCGTTGCAACGCCCGCACCTTGAGCGCGGCGGAGGTGCCGGAGCCGGTCGACCTGCTGGTCTGCGATGCCAGCTTCATCGGCCTGGAGGTCGTCCTCCCGGCGCCGCTGGCGCTCACCCGGGCCGAGGCGCGCCTCGCCGTGCTGATCAAGCCGCAGTTCGAGGTCGGCAGGGACCGTGTCGGCAAGGGCGGCGTGGTGCGCGATCCGGCGCTGCACGAAGAGGTCTGCCAGCGGATCGAGGCCTGGATGAACGCCCAGCCCGGCTGGCAGGTCGAGGGCATCGTCGAAAGCCCGGTGACCGGCCCGGAGGGCAACAAGGAGTTCCTGATGGTGGCCCGCAAGACGCCGACTTAACGCGGCGTTTCCCTCGCGGGCCGGCGCTATCCCGAAGATGCTCCCTAAAAGGCGCCGGGGCGCGGCTGCGCGCTTTGCGGCAGCGGGCCGCTGTGCAGCGTCTGGCCGCGCGGATCGCCGCTCATCGCTTCCATCGCCTCGATCAGCGGTGCGACGGCCTGGACCAGGCGGGCGAGGCTGCGCACCAGGGCCTGAGCGCCCGGATTGTCGATTTCCCCGCCCAGCGTGTCCTCAAAGAAGGCCGAGAAGGGGTCACGCCGTTCCGGATAGGGCAGCAGCCGGACGGCGGCGTCGGCTGGAATGCCGGCCGCCTCCTTGGCGACGCTCAGCGCCTTGCTGTATCCGCCAAGGTCGTCCACCAGTCCGGCGGCCAGGGCGTCCTCGCCCGACCAGATGCGTCCGCCGGCCGCTGCCTGAACGGCCTCCGGCGACAGGTTGCGCCCGCGCGCCACCTTGTCGGTGAAGTCGGCGTAGGTGGCGTCCAGGGTTGCCTGCAGCCATTCCCACTCCTCGCGCGTGAAGGGGGCATGGGGGCTCCAGAGGTTGGCCCGCCGGCCGGCCTGGACGCCGTCCCAGTTGACGCCGAGGTCGCGCCAGAGCTCGTTCAGGGCGAACTTGCCGGTGACCACGCCGATGGAGCCGGTGAGGGTGCCGGGCTGGGCCACGATGCTGTGCGCCGGCGCCGCCACGAAGTAGCCGCCGGAGCCGGCGATGTTGCCCATCGAGACCACCACCGGCTTGCCGAGGTCGCGGGCGCGCTGGACCTCGCGCCAGATCGCATCGGAGCCGACGTAGGACCCGCCCGGGCTGTCGACGCGAAACAGGATCGCCGCCACCTCGCTGTCGTCGATCGCCTCCGACAGTGCGTTCACCACGTCGACGGCGCCCATGCGCACCCGGCCGAACACCGGGTCGTTCTCGCCGGGTTCCAGCACGATAGGACCGCTGCCGTGGACCAGCGCGATGATCGGGCCCTCCTCGGAGTCCTCCCGGGTCGCGCGGGCGTAGTCGCGCAGCGAGACCAGCTCGGACTCCGACCCCGCCGCCGTCTCCACGGCGTCACGCGCCTGGTCCCAGTAACCGAGGTTGTCGACGAGCCCCGCCTGCAAGGCGTCGGGGCCCCGGTGGGGGGCGCTGTCGATCAGCTGGCGGACCGCCGTGGTCTCGAGGTTGCGGGCCTTGGCGACGGCGGTGACGATCTGCGACAGGCTGGAGTCCAGGTACTGCTGCAGGTTCTGGCGCTGCGCCTCCGGCAGGCGGGCCTCCGTGAAGATCGCCATGGCGCCCTTGTATTCCTCGCGCTGGCCGACCTGGGCGCGCACGCCATAGTCCTCCAGAAGCTGGCGCAGGAAGGGCTGCTGCATGGAAAACCCGGTGATGTCGACATCGCCGGAGGGCTGGATCCAGAGCTCTCCGGCGGCGCTCGCCAGGTAGTAGTGCAGGGTGCCGTTGCCGGCCTCGCCGAAGGTCTCCGCAAAGGCGGTCACCGGCTTGCCCTGCGCCCGGAAGTCGTCGATGGCCGCGCGCAGTTCCTGCACCTGGGCGAGGCCGGGTTGCCCCCAGCCGGCCCGCAGGATGAGCGCTTTCACCCGCTCGTCGCGGGCCGCGCGGTGCAGGCCGTCGACGGCGTCCCGCAGCACCAGCGCCGAGCCCAGCGAAGCCCGCGCCAGCGGGTTGTCGGGTTGCTGTTCCACCAGGCCGTCGGCCAGATCCAGCACCAGCACGGTCTCCTGCGGCAGTTCGGCCAGTTGCGGTTCGAAGCCGTCGAAGCGCTGCAGCAGCAGGCCGGCGAAAAGGATGCCGGCAGCGACAAGGAAGCCAACGGCCGCGAAAAGGCCGACGAAACACTTGAGGATGAACAGGATGATTCGGGTCATGGCGCTATATCAGCGGCTGGGCCGCCCGAGGGCCAGTTAAATTTCCGTGCCAGCCTAGGACGGATTGCCGCTGCCTGCGGGCCGGCCGGACGGGCTGGGCAGCAAAACGCCCTCTTGTCACTGGACGGGCTTGGGCGCAGTCTCGCGCTTTTCGCGCAGCCGGAGCCAGCATGAAGTCCAGAGCACACAGTCCCGCGGTCCGCCAAAGCCCGGGAACCTGCCGATTGCGGGCCCCCCGTGCGGCGTAGGGCGCGCCAGGGTGGTGGCCGCCAGGTCGAGGTCGTGGTGCAAAGCCTCGGGGCCAAGGGCGACGGGCTCAGCGAATGCGAAGGGCGCCCGCTTTTCGTGCCCATGACCCTGCCCGGGGACCGGGTGTCGGTGCGGATCACCGGCGAACGCAGCGGCGGTTTCAAGGGCGAGGCGGTCGAACTGCTGGCCGAGGGCGGCGCGCGGGTCGAGCCGCCCTGTCCGCATTTCGGGCCCTGCGGCGGCTGCGCGCTGCAGCACTTCGAGGACACCGCCTATGCCGACTGGAAGGCGGCCCTGCTGCCGCAGGCCCTGGCGCGCCGGGGGCTGCAGGCGGAACGGCTGCACCCGATGCTGCGGGTGCCGCCCGGCCGGCGCCGCCGCGTCGTGCTTTCGGCGGAGCGCAAGGGCGGGGCGGTTCTGCTGGGCTATCACGAGCGCGAGTCCCACCGCCTGGTCGACATCCATGACTGCCTGCTGCTGACCCCCGCTCTGACTGCGCTGATCGCACCCCTGCGCGGCCTGCTTGACGGCGTTCTGGACCCCCGGGAGGAGGCGCGGGTCACCGCGCTGGACAGCGAGACCGGGCTGGACGTGCTGATCGAATCGCGCCACCGCCTGGACATGGAAGACCGCGAGCGGTTGGCGGACTTTGCCGCCGGGGCCGATCTTGCCCGCCTTTCCTGGAGTGCCGGCCGGGAGGAGGCGGAACCGGTTGCCCTGCGCCGCAGCCCGGTTCTGACCTTCGGCGCCACTGCCGTGGTGCCGCCGCCGGGCGGCTTCGTGCAGCCGACCGCCGAAGGGCAGCAGGCGCTTGTCGAACGCGTGCTGGCCGCCATCCCGGCGACGGCGGAGACCGCCGCAGACCTCTTTGCCGGCTGCGGGACCTTCACCTTCCCGCTCGCCGAGCGCCTTCAGGTTTACGCCGCCGAGGGTTCCGAGGCGGCGGTCGCCGCCCTCTCCGCGGCGGCGCGCCAGGATGCGCGGGGCGCGCGCATCACCGCCGAGCAGCGCGACCTCGCCCGCTTTCCGGTGCAGGCCGACGAGCTTTCCGGCGGCGATGTCGTGGTCTTCGATCCGCCTCGGACCGGGGCCAGGGAACAGGTCCGCGCACTGGCGCAAAGCGACGTTCCTCTGGTTATTGCCGTGTCCTGCAATCCGACCACCTTCGCGCGCGATGCCCGCAGCCTTGTGGACGGCGGCTACCGCCTGACGGAGGCGACCCCCATCGACCAGTTCCCCTGGTCGGGGCATCTGGAACTGGTTGCGGTTTTCGCGCGCTGAGCTTGCGGAGACGCTCAGCCGACCCCGCGGTCCAGCAGGAAGCCGTCGGGGAACACCGTCTCCATCCCGGTTTCCGGCAGAGCGCCGATGTTGGCGTCGCCGAAGCGCGTGTCTTCCAGCATGGCGCCGATGAAGTTGGCGCCGCGCAGATCGCTGCCCGAGAAGGTGGCGTTGCGCAGATTGGCGTTGGAGAAGTCGCAGGCGGCGAGGATCGAGCCGTCGAAGTTGACCCCCTTGAGATTTGCATTGGCGAAGGAGATGGTCGCCAGGCTGCGGCCGGAGAGATCGACTTCGGTGAGGTTCTGCTCGGCGAAGTCCGCCCTCTTGCCCTGCTTGCCGTCGCTGTTCACCCAGCGCTCGTGGTCGGCAAGGGTCTTGACCAGGGTGACCGGATCAACGGCCTCCATGGGTGTCGAAAGCAGGCCGGAAAGCTCCACGCGGGTATCTTCGAAGGTTGCGCCGCGCAGATCGGCCTCCTGCAGCCGCGCGTTGGTGAGCACCACACTCTTCAGTTCGGCGCCGGTGAAGCGGCTGCCGCGCAGATCGGCGCCGTAAAGCTCCGTCCCGTCGAGCATTGCACCTGCAAAGTCGACGTCCTTCAGCACGGCGTTGCGCAGGTTCGTGTGGCTGAGGTTGGCGTTGCGGAACGAGGAGCGGATTTCCCGGAACACCTCCTGATCGCCCTTTGCGCCGTTGGCGATGATGCCGCCGCGGCGCAGATCGGCCTCGTCGAAACGCGCGTCCCGCAGGTTGGCCTTGTCGAAGACCACGGCGCGCAGATCGGCCCGTTCGAAATTGGCCCGGGTGAGATCCGCCGACTCGAAGGTCGAGCCGAAAAGCTTCGCCCGGCTGAAGTTGGCATCGGTCAGATTGGCGCGCGAAAACAGGCAGGCCATGAAGTGCGCCTCGGCGAAGCAGAGCCGGCTGATGTCGAGTTCCACCAGGACGCAGTTGCGCATGATGACCCGCCGCCCGTCGCGCTTTTTATCGACGAAGCGTTGATGAACCTCGGCCAGCTTGACCAGGGCTTCCTGGGTGATGATACGCCTGCTGAGAACGATGTTTTTGCTGTTGCTGCCTTTGCTATCGCTCGGCACGGCTGACCTGATACATGACTCTGAATCCCCCGTGGCTTGTCCAGCCACACTCTATAGTAGTCACCCCAGTTCAACTTTAAGGCGGATTGTAGAGCAGGGGAAGTGCTATTTCGGATGGATGCAGGCTTGCCGCGAAAAAGTCTGCGCGGCGGTCCGATGGGGCCTTCGTTGGCGGGGCCGGCGTCTGCCCCCTGCGATGGATACTCGGGTCAAGCCCTGACATGGCGGCTGACGATGACGGAGCAGGTGGCGCTGGTCCTTCAAGCGCACGCCGATTCTGCCACCCACACTTCCGTCACCCTCGGGCTTGACCCGAGGGTCTATCGGACCGCCTACCGGAACCCCTGCCGGAGAGGTCCGGAACTGCGAGCGCAATGGATACTCGGGACAAGCCCACTGGTGTCCGGTTTAGAT